CTCAGTGATTTCCATGGGACCCAGGACTCAACTACACTGGCAAAGAAAAAAACACTTTACAGTTACATGCGCTTCAGGTTACATACGCTTCAGGTTACAGACTCCGCTAACCCAGAAATAGTGCTTCAGGTTAAGAACTTTGCTTCAGGATGAGAACAGAAATTGTGCTCCGGCGGCGCGGCAGCAGCAGGAGGCCCCATTAGCTAAAGTGGTGCTTCAGGTTAAGAACAGTTTCAGGTTAAGTATGGACCTCCAGAACGAATTAAGTACTTAACCCGAGGTACCATTTTATATGCATTGTTTATGCATTCTAACACTGTGACACCAGATGGCACTGTGGAGTTCCTTTTTTGCCAACCTGATTTCTCATACAGTGGTACCTTGGTTCTCAAACTTAATCCGTTCCAGAAGTCTTTTCCAAAACCAAAGCGTTCCAAAACCAAGGCACGCTTGCGCTTTCCCGTAGAAAGTAATGCAAAATGGATTAATCCATTCCAGACATTTAAAAACAACCCCTGAAACAGCAATTTAACATGAATTTTACTGTCTAATATGACCATTGATCCATAAAATGAAAGCAATAAACAATGTACTGCAATCACACAATCAATCAATCAATCAATCAATCAATAGCTGAACTGGGTTCCACACAGTCACAAAAACAGCACAAAAAGAGAAATACATAACAAAAACAGACAGACCTTAGCATAACACTCAAAACGGAGCATGTCCAGCTTCCAAAAAAAGTTCACAAAGTGGAACACTTAGGTACTTCCGGGTTTGCAGTGTTTGGGTTCCAAGTTGTTAGAGTACCAAGGCATTTGAGAACCAAGGTACCACTGTACAAAGTTTGCAACGTGTTTAACTGAAACACTTCTTTGATGTGTCTAGATCCAGCCCCAAGCTTATCTAACAGGAATAGCTGTTGGAAGCAGTATAGCATAGGAAGTCAAAGGATCTTGCTCATAGCTACACTGAAAGGCAATTCCTAGCCCTCTATAAAGCAAAATAAAATAAAATAAAATAATTCTTTCTATGTACTGCATATAAGGTTTATTGCCAATACTTAGTGGTGGTTTTCCAATTTAGAATAACGAAAGCTGCTAAGTGGGTGATCACCACCACTTCCTATTCTTACAAAGTACGTCAAATGCGTCCCTCCAAACAGTGGGGGGAACCTTTGGCTCTCCACATGTTGCTGAATCCCTACTCCCATTATCCCTGACCAGCCCTGCTGGGCCTGACAGTTTAGCAACATCTGGAGGGCCAAAGGTTCCACACACCTGACCTGGAGCATGGTTTAGAGACCTGGGTCCATAGCTGTCAACTTACAGATTTGAAAATAAGGTACCAGCAGCCTCGGAAATAAGGGATCAGCAGCCAAAATAAGGGATTTTGCTTAGCTTATGAGTTCCTCCTGAAAGCGAGGGAGAGAGACTCTCGCCCACGCCGCCCGTGAGCCCAGCTTGAGGCGGTTGCAGCACCGCCGCGGCCGCTGAAGCGCCGCCCTTCTGTGTCCCTCCCCATCCCCTCCTCTTCCTCCTCCCTCAGGCCGCCGCTGCCGCCTCTGGCTTCCCCTGGCAGCGCGGCGGAAAACCTCGCAAGAGAGGGGCTGCCTGTCTGCCCGCCACCACCCGTCTTTCACAATGTGCCCCTGAGGGGGAAAAGGTAGAGACGGAGACATGGCAGCTCGTGCGCACGCTCTCTCGAGGTGGAGGACCCTGAGCCGCTGCTTCCCTTCTGAGCCGGGTGAGCATGAAACCTGGGAAATTTAAGGGACATCATGAATCCGGGACAGCAGCGGGACACGGCGCTGGGATAAGGGAGTTTCCCGCCAAATAAGGGACGGTTGACAGCTATGCCTGGATCCCAGTGCACGCCAACTAAATGTTTTCACCACAATGTGCCCGAAACTTCCCTGCTATGCAATGTCCTGTTTTGTGACATTGAGCCTGAGACAGCAGTAAGCAAGCCCTATCCTAAGAACTTGTACAATGGCACAAGATGGATTTTCCCCCAAAGCCTAGGAAGGAAGGAAGGAAGGAAGGAAGGAAGGAAGGAAGGAAGGAAGGAAGGAAGGTTTAGAGCAAAAACCAAAACAGGACAAAGTTTGAAGAGAAGAGGGGTGGGGGAGAAACACCCGGAAAGTTGTACAGCCTGCCTATTAATGCTATTTTTTATGTGAATCAAGATGGGATGCTTGCGGGCATCATTTGAAGAAGTAATTGACCTTTCCACACCTCTGCACATCCTGCAACTTGAGAAAGCAGAGTTGGCAGCAGCCTCTCTCCCCTACTGTTTAATGGGGCTCTTTTTCTTCTGCCTGCCCCTTTGCCTGTGGCATCTGTGTCCCCAGAGCACCACTGTTCTCCCCCCCCCCCACTTCCCCAGATAGATGTAATTGAGGCCATTAGAGGCAAGGCAAGGACAATAAACTCTTGGGAGGTCAATGGACACTGGTGGGAGCGTTTCAAAGCAAAGCACCTCATTTGGATATTGTGGGTACGTAGGGACAAAGCACCTTCGCACGAGTCAAACTGCCCTGAAAGAAATACAATGTACTTCTAAGTCAATGGCTTTAAAATCCAGATTCCAGTCTACAAATGGAGGGGCACAAGGTGTATTGCCGGGGGGGGGGGGGTGTGGATACAGCATGTACACTGTGTATCTGCTCATAGACTTGATGGATACATGAAACATAGAAATTGAGGCCTTGGCAAATTCAGAGAACCATACGAATCAGAGGAGATGCCAAGGCTGTCATGGTGTTCAAAGGCAGAACTCTCTCCCTAACAATTTCCTATAGGACGGCGTATAATCCAAACCATAGTCATTATTGATATGCCACTACTGTAGTTGTATTGGCAGTGGCGCCCCATCTGTGGAACGCCTCCCCATCAGATGTCGAGGAGATAAAGAACTACACAACTTTTAGAAGGCATCTGAAAGCAGCCCTGTTTAGAGAAGTTTTTAATGTTTGATGTGTTTTCTTAAAAATGTTTTTATATGTGTTGGAAGCCACCCGGAGTGGCTGGGGCAACCCAGCTAGATGGGAGGGATATCATCATCATAATCATCATCATCATTATCATCCCCAGCCACTCTGGGCAGCTCCCAACAGAATATTAAAAACATCAAACATTAAAAACTTCCCTAAACAGGGTTGCCTTCAGATGTCTCCTAAAAGTAAGACAGTTGTTTATTTCCTTGACATCTGATGAGAGGGCGTTCCACGGGGCAGGCGCCACTACCGAGAAGGCCCTCTGCCTGGTTCCTTGTAACCTCAATTCTCGCAGTGAGGGAAGTACCAGGATTTTGTTGTTATTTTTGGTGGGCATTTTTTAAAAAAAGTTATTTTTCTTCTGCTTGGTTTTGACTGTGCTCTTCTGCTTATTGTTTGGCTCTAGCCATATTGGGTTGTGTGTTTTTTAAACTGACCTTATTTTTGCTTCATGGTTTGATTGTGTTGTTACTGATCTTTGTTTGAGGTATTGTAAGCCGCCTGGAGTGGACATTTTGCCTAGGGTATGAATTTGTTTATATTTAAATTCATATCCTGGGCAACATGTCCACTCAGATTAGCTAATGTGGACCACAAGGGTGTGATATGTTGGGGTGGGGGAGGAACTCTAGCTGAAAGACTTGACCAGAAATAATGAGAACAAACTTTCCCTAGAAATGACCAGCCCCTTTGTCAGATTCAGAGAACAGCTGGTCCGAAACCACTGCCACCCTTTATTTCCCCCCCTGGCAGAGATCCTGAGCCTTTAGCAGCTGCGAGGTGGTTTGGCTGGGGAGAACTCAACACTCCCGCAGGTGATACTTCCTAGTATTGCATCATCTCCATGCCAGTTAAATTCCTGCAGCCTATGCAGCTGTTCTAGTCACCAGGTCTCTGCCCAAGGAAAATAACGCAGCACTATTGATAGAAATTATCTATTTGGATAGATCTGATATAAAGCGACAAACAAATGTGCATTTTGTTAGGATGAAATAGCTGAGAAAGAATTTACTGTAACCCTATCCGGGCCGTCTTTAGCATATGTGCTGCTGGGGTGTAAAAATCCGCCCAGGGCCCCCAAATTTAGTTTAGCTGCCCACAAGTTAACTTTTACTGAGTTTTTTTTGGGAGGGGGGAAGGCAGAGTTGTTGAACTTTTTTGGGGGGGCGGTATAGAAATAAAATAAAATGAGAACTTCGGGTATAGGGCAGTATAGAAATAAAATAAATTAATTAAAATTTTAAAAATATTTGATGCTACAGAGTAACCGAGTGATGGAAGAGGGGGGCAGGGACTTTTGCTCCATTGCTTTTCACTGCCACCAATCGAGAGGGACAGTAGGTATACATTTGGCGCCCCCCAGAATTTGCCGCATTGCACCCCCAGGTAAAGACGGCCCTGAATCCTATTTTTTTTAATATCTTGATTTTATTCTGTGAACCACCCTGAGACCCCCGGGGTATAGGGCGGTATATAAATTCAATAAATAAAATAATGATTTTATGACATTAAATGCATCTGAACGTCTTGGCAGATTTGATCAGAGGGGGTTTGCTGAAGACGTAATTCCATGTTCATCTTGTTTTAACTAGTCTCTTGCCCAGCAGCACGCAGGCAGCGACAGCCCGTTTAAATCACATTTGGAAAATAAAAATATTTGGTTGTCACGCCTAACAGCACCGGGCGGGACTTGTTTCCCAACTACCCTTTGATAAATCCTCTTTGCATTCTAGATCAGCAAGACTTTTTTTGCCGCTGCCTTTTTTTTTTTTTTGTCCTTCGGGCCTGGCCTGCCCTTTGCACCTCCACTATCCGGACTGAGAGAGATCTGCCTGTCTCGGCGCTGCGTGTAAAGGGCAGGTTAAGGGCAGCAGCTTCGGGCAGGGGGCGCTTCTGGTGGATACTGGGCATGCCTGCAGGTCGCGCGCATGCTCACTGGTGGGGGGGGAACCATTGCAGGGAGTTGAACCCATGCGTAAAAGTAAACAATTCATAATGCAATTGAGAAGAGGCGGTGTGCGTGTCTAGGGAGTGCATGGGAGTCTCTAATACAGGACAAGCCCAGAAGGACCCCTTCTTTTTTCCCTCCTCCTGCTTTGCGTAGAAAAAAAACCACACGAGATCCTGCTGGAGGGCTCTAAAAATAGGTTGCCCCCCACCCCAGGCTGAAAGGTCCCGCCTGCGCAACGGCGAGCCTTAAGTTCACCCAGCCACCACCCGCGGATGTAAGAGTCCGCAGTTTGCACAGGATCTCAGCAGATCTCCGCAAGGGGGGGGAGCAGATCCTTTCCCCCCCTTGCCCCGCCCCCGTTTCTCTTTTCCTGGGTTGACCCCAGATCTGCTCTACCCGGGGAGGAGGAGGAGGACGGATCTCGGAGGGGGGAGCGGCTTCTGGGCGGCGGGGCTGCTCTCTGGATCTGTCTCGCCGCCTTCTTCTTCCTCTTCCTCCTCCTCCTCTTCGCCTCCCCCTCCGCTCGCGCCGCTGCCTTTCCATAAACATCTGGATCAGGGGAGGGGCTTTTTTTCCGCCCCTCTCTCTCTCTTTTGGAGGGGCTCTGGGCAATTGGCAACCTCTGAATGGCTCCGGGGGAGAGGAAAGCGCGAGTAGAAGTTTAGGTTGGTATCCTTCACACTTTTCTTTAAAAAGACAATTAACAATAACGGTGATGATTATGATTGTTTTTTGGAGGGGTGTTGACTTGTGTGGATGTGAGCATCGGTCAGTTACTTTTGCTGGGGAGGCGGCTCCTCCCATCTCCCCACCCCAAGAACAAAAACTAAACCAGCAGAAGGGAGAGGTGCCTCCAGTCTGGGGTTCTCCCTCTGCCACCCCCCTCCCCAAATTTCTGCTGCAGATCCCGGGCCGACCTCCCGGTCCTCGCCCCTGTTGCTCCAGGCGAGCCGGGGTTGCTGCAGAGCTCATCTGGCCAAAGGAGCCGCCGCTTAGCAGAGTAGGCTTTGTGGTTTGTTTGCTTTTTGGCAAGCGGGGTGTAGAAGAGGGGCGAAAGTCTCCGGCGGGGCGACCCACAGGCCGCCGCTCCCTCCGCAGCCCCTGCCTAAGTTAGAAACGTCCCCCGGGCGCCGGGAGCGGAGGAGGGGCGTCGGTAAGCAGATGTGGCTCATAAAGTAGACCCAGTTCCAGAACCCGCGTTAACCCTTGCCTCTTTTTTTTTTTTATGAAATGGAATCAAAACCCCTCTAGCCATAGAATCGGGAGGGACCCACGAGGTTCATCTAGTCCAGCCCCCTGCAGTGCTGGAATCTTAATTTTCCAAAGTGGGATTTGAACCCACGACTGTGAACGATCCAGAGGCTCATGCTGATGTTCCATTGACGTCTCTGCTTTCTGTATCAGCTTGAGAGTTCTCTTTTCACCTAAGGCAGCTGTGGGTGTCTGGACAGGGATGAAACTAGGCTTTATTTCCCCTGGGGCAAAGACCCAGTTTGGCACACACACACATGCACATTTGCATATGTTGCGGACCTCAGTCCACCCCTCTGGAGACTTCACTTGGGGCAAAAAAAAACCCAGCCCCTCCACCCCCTGGCTCTGTTTTGGAAAAGGGTTTTGAGGGTGCTTTAACTACAGCTGATTTCTGCATTTGCGTTTGATAAGTGTCATATCAAGTGATGTTTTAATGTGTGTGAGAGAGAATGCCCCCCCCCAGCTAGAACTTCCAGGGATGGCTGTGAGCAGGATTCCTGCCTTTCAGGGGGCTGGATTAGATGACCCTTAGGGTCCCTTGCAAGTCTACAGTTCTATGTTTCTAAGCAGGCGTGAATCAAATCAAACTTCCATATCTCCTCAGCTGCGCCTTAGAGTGAGCTGCAAACCACTTGGAAATGGCTTCTGCAAGCAACTTTGCCAGCTTGCTATAAAAGAGCATCACTGTCTCGGTTTCAACTTCCTCATGCTTGATTTGATTGGATTTTCTCTGTTTAGTACAAGTCATTTGAATCTCTTGAATTTTGGTGGGGGGTTTTTTTTGGTTTGTGTTTTTTTTAAAGAAAGACGGAAGAGAAGAGGCGCTTATAAAATTCCCACAGTGCTCTGCTCAAGTATGTGATGCTGGCTATTACCTCCTTCCTGTGCCTATCATGAGCTAATGTTAGCAACTGCTTCAGAGCCAAATGGCTATTGAACGGCTTTCAATTTCCTTTATGTATAAATTTAAAGTTCAACATTTCCCCCCTCTTCCCTGGCATGCGTACAAATACTCTGTTTTCTGTGTTTTGTGTGATTTATGTGACAGGATCCCCAGTCGCTTTTGCTGTTCCCACTCCACCCTCTTTTGAAAACAGATCGGGAAGTATTCTCAAATGAAATGGGTCAGCAAGCCTTCAGCTGACTGTTGCGGTTCCCACATCCTTACAAATGCTCAAGAGATGAGCAGGGTCCTGCCTCTGGAATAGTGTGCAAAGGTTTACCGTTAGCTCTCAAGACAAGAAGCATTATGTCTAAAACGATGTAGCACAGGAACGCTGAAGAATTGTGTTCTCTGTACGGTGGAAACGGAGTCAGATTGAAATGACAAGAGTTTGAGAAGAATAAATCGGGCGAAAGGGAGAGGGAAATACGATGTAATTAATCGAGAAGAGATCCTCGGTTATTCGCAAGTCGTGTTGCAACTTCCCCTTGCTCTGTTTCCCAGTTGCCGTCTGGATTCCACCCTCTTCCTTTTTGCGGCTGCTGGTTTTAGTGACGGTTTGGAGTGGTGATTTGGGCCTCACTCAGCAGAATGAGCAGGAATCTCCTCAGACGCAACAGCAGGGCCTGAACTGGCCATATTCTGAAGTAACCTGCATTCCCCCACCCCTTTGGATGGCAAACCGTAAGACTGTTCAGACTCTGAATTTACTTCAGCGCTAAGCATGTACAGCTATGGTTGGCCATAACTGGGGCGGGGGGGGGCAGCTAACATGGCGCCCTCAAGACGATGTTGTCCTCCAACTCCCATCAGCCCCAGCCAGCATGGATGAAAGTTAAGGATGATGGGATTTGTAGTCCAACATCTGGTCTAACTCTTCCCTTGGAAGAGAGGTGGTATGAATAAATATTGAAAGGACAGAGCAGAGGTATAGGGACTGAGGGCAGGCCCGGCCCGGCCCAGCCATTAACCTTGGTGAGGCAGTCGCCTCAGGCAGCAGGCTGAGTACTGCTGGGAGGGGGAACAGATCCAGGCCCTCAAGAAACTTGCTGCCTCCTGCTCCTCCCTGGCCTCTTTTCTCCCTCACTTCCTTGGATCTTTCCCAGGCCTTCTCCAGTCACCTCAAGCAGCTGAGGGGAAGGCAGTGAGGGCCACCATTTTTTGTTTTGCCTCAAGCGGTGAAATGTCTTGGGCCGGAGCTGAATGCGGGGGACCCAGAGATGAGGATTTTTTTCTTAAAAAAGTCAGGACCCTAAGTTACATCTTTACTGAGTTGCTGAGAGGTAAATTACTTGATTTTTGCATGATTCGCAAACTCTCGTGTTTATAGGAGCGTATTGTTTGTTACCCGTTTCTTTTCTCTCAAGGAGGGGTTGCTTTTCAGCTGCAGGGAAATGGCACAGAATTCTCTTTTGCTACTAACAGGTCTGAGGAACCTGTGTCTCTGGCTGAACTTACAATTCCCATTATCCCTGAGCATTGGCCATGTTGGATGGGACTGCTGAGAATTCTGCTTTGAGAATATATGTTGAAAACATTTAAGAACCCATTCTTTATACTAAAAAAGTTCAGTTAAAAACAAACAAGCCCATATCTAATAATGATGCAATAGTGGTAAGTTTCCTGTATCAGCAGCAGCGTGGACAAGATGACCTCTGACGTCATTTTAACTCTTGAGTTCAAAGTTGTACAGTTTGTTTGCCACTCTGAGCAACCTATCCTAAGATTAAAAATATCCGATGGCAGAGACTGCAAGTACTGTTCCTCGTTGCTTGTCAACTTACGTGCCTGTTTGGCAGTTACCTTCATGCAAAATGTAAATTGTACAGTCAAAAGAGTTGCAGCAGATAATATGAAGCATGGCAGGATCTTAGTTAAAGGCTTTATTGTTGCTTTGAGGCACATTTTACAGCATGCATATCTATCAATGCCTTTTCCAAAGGTTAAATAAGAAGCCTGAATTGCATTGGAAGCAAATGTAGGCATTTACACTGTGCAGGTGTGTGATGTACATTCCCTGCATGCATTCACTTATTTAGGGTTGCCATGTTTCAAAAACTGAAAATCTGGACACAAGAGATGTTGAACTTTTTTTTGGCAAAATCTCAAAAAACAAAGTTTTTGAACTATTTTTAAGGAACATCACCAAAAACAACACTGACGACATGTGTTGCCATAGAGCCGGATTTTCCTGGACGTTTTTAGCAATTTCCGCCCAGACAGTTTCCGGCAGCCGAATCCCGGCGATGTCCGGGAAATTCTGGATGTATGGCAACCCTAACTTATTTTACAAATCCGTATGTTGCTCTTTCCACCCCACTCCCCTGCCAGTCTTATGTTGGTTCTTCTGTTGTAGCAGCTGTGAGGAATGCTATCGCTGGGGAATTTTAAGGAACAGCAGTCGGTTTTTTGCTAGTCATTTCTTATTGTTCGATTGAATCTCATCAGTTTTGAGATGGTGATAAAACTTCTCTGGAATCAATTATCATTTCCCCACCCCCAGGCATTTCCCAAAAGGAACCCATGATTAAAGAACATGAAAGTATTGGGGGAGAGGAGCCATTTGTTAGCAGTACCCAATTTTACTCATACTTGGAGTAGGCCTCTTGAAGTCAATGGGCTTACTCCGAGTATGACTAAATCTGGATAATCAGCCTATGTTTGCAAAGTGAAAACTGCAAATATACATATATATCAGGCACAGCATACGCACAAAAACAGTGTTTGTGACTAGGTGCTCCAGGGCAAGGAGGAGTGATTTCACTTTTAATTATCTTCATATTCTCTTTTCTAGTTTCTTGATAATGCTTATCTGGGTTTCGTTTTCATTTTCAAGGAAGTAGGAAGTAAATTGGGTATTTCCAATTAAGAGCTTAATGACAGCACTGACTAGCCCTTTAGGGCACAATAAAATTCTTCTGCCTAATTGTTTATAACTGTGAGATAACTGCATCTTGCTCATGATTTAAATTTGTCATGTGACACAATGAGATGCTAGATGTCTGATCCGCCCAAAGTTCTATTGACACTGATGGCAGAGTGTGTCACCTCTCCAGCTGAAACAAATGGGACTTATCCATGCATGCAGAAATAAGCATTTTAAATGGAAATATTTACTTTCTCAGGCTTTAGTATTTCCTCTCTGTTTAATTTCTCCTTTCATAAGTTTTCTCCATGAATGTTGGAATGGTTCTTGCTGGAGTGCTGAGTAAAATAAGAAGAATTAAATTGCTAAAGGTTTTTCTGTAGCACATAACTGTTGCACAGAAATGGCGCAATAAGATTTTGTGGTTCTTCTTTTCTTTTCTCGCAAGGACAGAAGAGTCTTGCAATGTTGCACTGAACTGTTTTCCCGTAGGTTGCTTGGAGACCCAGCAATTTAATTGGGGGCTTAAATAAATGTTGCGGTTGTTCGTTGTTTTTATTTAGGGAATGTATGTGCTGCCACTATCAATCGGGTACAATGGTAGAGTGATGATTTGTGCCCTCCATGGTGTCCCACAGACTATGAACGTGAAAAGACAATAGTTAAAGCATTAAAGTCTGGGTAGAATTCCTAATAGAACTTGGGAGGATAGATGAAATTCAGTCATGTATGGAATTTCCATTAACTTCCCTTCTACCAGCCTTAAGCATTGCATTAGCAAATATGTTAATCCCACTTTATGCTAAACAGGAGTCCCTCTTACCGGGAAGTTAGATATGTTGGCGTAGGTTTGCTGAGGGTACCACATTGGGTACCTTGATCTACATGAATAGTAATCATGGCTGGTTCCAGTGGTTCCTTCAAAGGTTATCCTACATGCAAAGGTTATCCTTCTCTTCCCAGTGCAATTCCCCATCACTTTCCTTACTGCAAAAAATGGTGAGGGACAGTGGGTTTGTTGCACAAGAGCTCCAAAGCAGCTTTAAGTGTGCAACCTGAATTCGGCAGTATGTGACTGAATCCCACCCAAAAGTAGTGACTGTCTGAAGGGAGACAAGCTACCGTATTTTTCACTCTATAAGACGCACCAGACCACAAGACGCACCTAGTTTTTGGAGGAGGAAAACAAGAAAAAATATATTCTGAATCTCAGAAGCCAGAACAGCAAGAGGGATCGCTGCACAGTGAAAGCAGCGATCCCTCTTGCTGTTCTGGCTTCTGGGATAATTGCGCAGCCTGCATTTGCTCCATAAGACGCACACACATTTCCCCTTACTTTTTAGGAGGGGAAAAGTGAGTCTTATAGAGCAAAAAATACGGTAGTTCTTGAAGCTACTTCTTCTCTGTTCCTTCATAGGGAATCCTGGGTCGCATTAGATATGTTGGCATTAACGCAGATAACCGATGTAATTCTCCACCATGGTTCAGGTCGATGACGAGCATGCAACCTGCTTCTGGTCTCTTTATCGCTACTTAAAAGACAGTTAGCATGACATCTGCCCAGGCCCTAGGAGTTATTGGCATGCAATGCTACTAAAGAAGGACAGCAGGCTGTGTTTCTGATGCTGGCGCTCATGAAGTCAGCCTCTTATGTATGGCTGCGACATTGGTATGCATTGTGCTGGATGTGGCACAAGGGGTTTACCGACTGTGCAGCAAGGAATCAACAAGATATTGTTTGGTTTCTGAATGGAACTGGGAGAATAGTGCTAACAGCTTTATGTCAGGGTGCTTCTTCCAGGAAATTAAACAATGAAATAAGTGTTTGGATCACAGCGGCCTTGTGCTATGGGTTGGATAATTAAATAATGGAAACCTCTGTAAAAGTTTTAGAACTTTAGCCGCTGCAGAGATGCATTAAAAGCAAACAGGATTGCAAACAGGAAGCTGCCTTAGTAAGGAACTTTTAATGCTTATAAGGAAGCTAATGAGCTATAGTTCCCTTAGAGGAAACCACACAGAAGTTTTTCAGAAATTGCCTCTCACCGGCTTCATGGGACCTCTCTGGATTCCTGCTCCGCCTTGCAGTGGAGTGAAGCAATCTCCTTCGATGTCACCATAAGGGGCATTGATGAAGGAAGGAGCTGGTGTCTGGTAAGACGTTTTAAAAGTGTGTTGGCTCTTGCTTGGGCGGTGGGGTTTGTGTGTGTTAAGAATCATGATGACTCTGCTTCGGGTATGGTCACCCTTCTGGGGGCGTCTATGGAAAATGCTTTAATTGATGCGAGGGGGGAAATGGCTTCACCTATGTTGGGTAAGAAGTGGAGACTAAGGGTGATATCCAGTGTTGTGCAAGCGGATCTTCCTTCCCTCCTCCTCCTCCCCCTCCTCCCCACCTGCAGTCCCCTGTGCCTCCCCAAATATGCTCTGAGTGTATCCCAGATTTGGGAGGGGGCTGCAGGAAGAGCAGGAGAGCATTTCACTGAAGATGCACATCACTGGATTTCACCTTTGAAGAAACCTCTAGAACCGGCCTTTGGAGAACATCATGTTGTCTACGCTGATATAGAGATGGACATTGTAATCAGGTTGTATCTCTTACACTGGATAATACTGCCCACTTTAATGTGTGTGTTTTGTATTTGGCGGTTTCTGTAGCAAGTCTTTCCCAATTGCAGAAGGTGAATTTGATTTCAATATAAGGGAACTCCATCTTCTACCTGAGATCTTTCTGTTGCCTCACTGCATAAGGGTTCTGGGGTTCAGATTCCAGATTCAGGGTTGTATTCAGCTAAGAAAGTCCTACTCAGAGTATACCCACTGAAATTAATGAACCTAAGTTAGCCATGTGTGTTAATTTCAGTAGCTCTACTCTGAGTAGGACTAGCATGGTCCATACCATTCCAGGAAATGTTGCGAATATCTTCCATGAAGGAAAAACGGTGCTAGGATAGCAGAAAACTGACCTTGTGGTGCAGTTTAGTGTTGCCCTTTTTTAAATAAGTTGCTTGTTTTTTTGGATTCTGAAATGCAGTTTCAATTTTTAAAAAAGGATTTATTAGACAGCTAACTTGGCACTCAGTTAGGTAAAATCATCTGCTAATTTCTAGCAGCTGTAGAATCTACTTGTGTTTCAGAAGAAGGACCCAAGGTTCTCAAACTTGACATCATTTTATCCTTATCCTACTACGATGAAGGTTACTTTTATTTTTATACAAGCTGATATGAAAAAATCAGAAAGCGGACAAAAGTTGTTGTAATTTATTTTGTATATTTTTACCCTGCCCCTTCAACCAAGATTCCAGGGTGGCTTACAAAAACATAATGCAGTTAAGACAGGTTAAACACACACACACACACACACACACACACACACACAACCCTATGGACATTACTAAGATAAGCAAGCCTAAGAGAACAGCATAAAACAGTTGTTGTGAGCAGGAAGCAGCACAATCCTTTAAATCCTAGAGATCGGATGGAACAATGAAAGCCACAACTGCTGCAAGCATCAGAAAACACATTGTAGTGATAGACTGTAGGGAGGGTTGTATGCTCACTGACAGCTGTGTGCATTGCATAAGGCCCAATTGTCTGGTTAACTTGGCATGGAAGATGAGCCTGGATACCATGCCAGACTACATGTGTATTGCAAAAAAAAGGGGAAAGAGCAGCTTACCCCAAAAATTCCCCTTGAAGTCACACCAATGATATGGAATTGCACAAGGGCACTAATCCAGTCTACATCTTGGAGATAAAAATATGCAATACACACTTTGAAAGCTGTTGGTTGGATTTGTTCATGTTTCCTGGTTTAAAACACCCATGAGGTTGATCGAGAGATTCCCCAGTTATTGACCTAGTATTGTCTATAGTAAGGGTAGCCATCATAGTGTTCCCCATGGTTTTTGGGACTTCCAACTTCCATATTTCTCCTACTAGGAGTATTGTGCTTTTCCAGTATCCCAAAGCCCAGTTCAGATGTAACAGTAAACCATGATTTTGTGTTGCATGCAGGAGTCTAAGGGTCTTCTTTCCTCTCATTGGCTCTAAATCCTTCCCTTCTGTAGGTTTCTGTTGCAGCTGAACTGGCAACCACGGTTTGCATTCGCCCTCAAAATGGCAAAACCTTATCAACAGGCCATGGTTATAGTGACTGCGTTCTCACACACCAATCAGCCAGATTTTCTGGCTCATTGTGGTTGACAAGAAGGAGCAGCAGCATATCAGTGCTCACTTTCCAATTGCTCCCTCCTTGGTGTAAGCAGCATAAACAAACCAGGCAGGCTGAAGGGAGAAACTTGGCTTTGTGTTCTGTCCAAACCAGGGATCATGGCTTATTGGCTTCCAGCGCCAGCAATTCAGGCAACTTAACAAGCCATGATTGTTGTTGACCAGCGATCTTGGCTTGTTAGGGAGTAACACATCCCTGGTTTGGACATAATTCAAAGCCAAGGCTTCCCGTTTATCTATTTTGCACCAAGGGAAGAGCAGAGTAGGAACTATCAGGCAGAGGGCACCAGCACTCTGATACACAAGAAACTCTGACTTGCCTTATGCTTTAAAGAGGGAGGGCATGTGTGGTTCGGAGGCTCCTGTAACACCAAACTATGGCTTGACATTACTTCTGAATTCACCCTTTATCAGTCTATCAAGGGAAACCGTCCATGCGAATTTGCTTTTAAAAAAATAGATCTAAATCTTTCCAGGTAATGCCCACATGTCGTAGCTAGCTTTGATGTTAAAATAACCCAATTTACTATGCTATGTAAATGCCACGCAATTACAATCATTCCTCACTTGCAAGCATTTTCTGCTTGCCTGACAAAATGATCTCCCCTCTCCTCCCCCTGTGTTCTGTTTTTGGGGATCTCCTGTCATTCCCACCCCTAGCTGATTTTGGGGGAAGTGCAGTTCCAAAGTAAAATTTACTCATAAAATGAGAGCACTGTTTTCTAAATTTAGTTCTGGTTGTTTTAAAAATGGCTCAGCCTCGCTCTCAACTTTCTTTCTGATTTGCTTCAGTTTTAAAACCTCAGAGTTGCCGTTCTGTTCTCAATCAGGGTATAAACGTGTGTGTGTGTGTAACAGTTTAAACAACTCATGTCAGTTAAACATAAAGGAGAATGAAAACAGCTGGTTACAAAACGTGGCTTGCCGATAGTTTTATGCAAAGTTGATTTTTCTGTGGAAATCCCCTCTGCTTCTCAATTACACCATACTTAGTCACTGTGGGAGGAAAAGCATAGCTGTCCCCACAAATTAGCGAACCAGGAGACCTAAGAAAATCTGAGCAACCTTCTGTTTTTCCTCCTTGTAGCTTTTGAAGAAGCTGGCTAGTGCTTCAGCCATACTTTTTCTTTTTTAGCTTCCATCATCTCTAAATTCAGCTGATCTTTCCTTTTAACTCTCATGAGGAAAGAAAACTGCAAACTCTGAGCTGCAGTTATGTGGCTTCTAAAATGGGAAGCTCTCACTAACCGACAAGTTCCCCTCCTGTGATTAAAATTTAGGCATATGCTTTGAGTGGTTGAGGTTCTTGTTTTTGTCTTTTTATTTTTTGCTGCTCCTGTGGTTCCAGACACGTTGATTTTTATTTGAGATGTTCTGTGGTCAGTGTACAACGTGATTTATTAGCTGGGCAATGGCCTGGTTGTCTCGGACTAGGGTCTGAACTAGCTTTCCATGGACAAACACCCTCCTTTCTTAACAAAGGCAGACTCCTAGGTTTGGGATTCTGTTCACTGGAGATAGCATGTGCTATTGTGCAGATTAGGGGTACAGTCAAACTTCGGTTCTCACATGGCTCCGTTTTCGAACGTTTTGGCTAGTGAACACCAAAAACCCAGAAGTAACTGCTCCATTTTTTGAGCAATTTTTGGAAGTCAAACGTGTTACGTGGCTCCCGTTTTGAGTTTCCCTATTTTATTGAAGCTTCCGGTTTCAGTTTTTGGTCGTCAAACATTTTGGAAGTCGAACAGTCTTTCAGAATGTATTGTGTTCGACAACCGAGGTTTGACTGTACCGTAAGAGGGGTGCAAAGGCAGTAAGAGTCCCTCAACAATTGCCTTCCTCCTGTGTACAATGCTGGCAGCGTCAAGCCTCACTTATTATTGGGCAGAGTCACATGAGCACTTGTGCAACAACAGCTGGTCTCTAAATAGAATCAGTGCAGATTCCCAGAACCTTTTTGTGTCAGTCTGTTAAAAGCATCTCTATGACCCGACACCAAGTGAAGAGGAGGGTTTGCTTTTCTTAGAAGCGTATAGTTTGCATTTATGGTCTTGCCCCTGTTCTTGAAAGGTCAGGGCTGACAGCAAGTTTATTATCCACAATCAATGGGATTTTGGAAGGATCTAAGATACTCTTGCATACATGTGCCATTAAAGCAAGCCCATGCTTATTGAATTAAAAAGACCTTGCATTTCCTCTGGGAGGCGGATCAGCCTCTACTTTTGGCACACCTTCAAAGACAGAGAATTCCAGAGCCAGAAAGCAGTTATCGAGACAGAGTGTTTGCTAAACTCGTTGCTAATTGCCGATCTCCCTGCATTAAATACACCAAGGCTTTAATCGTGAGTTTCGCATTAGGCTCCTGCCTAACTTGTGAGGCAAGGTCTGTTGCCACGTCTGGAAGAGTTGCAGAGCAACCCAGTTCTGTCAGTAATAGCTTAGAAACAGAAAACCATATTAAAATGCCTGCTACAGTTCACAGAGTTATCACTGTTGGGGGGGAAGGGGTGATGGTGTTTTAGATATGTACTCTGAAGCCTTTTGAGAAGACAGTGTGAGAAATATGAGCATTACACTTTATTAATTTGCGTGTCTGAGTGGTACTGCAGGCTTATTCCAAACGCTCTGGAAAACAGGTCTTGAGGCAGCTTAGAATAATAATTCATGCACAAGAATTTCCACTGCCCAAACATAACCAGATGGTTCAGTGTCCTGTGTTAACTCCGCTGCTTATTTTCAAATCCAAATACTTGGATATTTACTGGCTGGGGAGCAGAGAGCTACAGTATTCCACACAACGTCCTGCTGCAGATTTCAAATGTCCTAATGCTACTTCGTTTGATATAATAGGAGGCAGCCATCTGGCAGCCTTTCCTGTAATCTTGGCCCAGTTTCAGGAACTCATTCCTCTGTGCTGATTGAAATTCCAGCCATCCTAACTGTCAATGTGCATGTGCTGGGGGACTTCTTAAGATATCTAACGATCATGTTTTATATAACGTGGTTAAAGTATCCAAAACGCTTTGCCTCTGCTTCCGGTTCCGCTCTGCCTTAATGGGACAGGAAGAAACACCACGGAAATAATAATTGCCACACACACAGGAAGAACAAGCATATAGTTTGAGCTGCAGTTTTACAAATCATTTAATGTGTCAACACGAATATCTTGCCAGACCCAACCATCGCCAACTCTTTGTGGGTACCACCACACAAGCCAGTTAAGGGAAGCTTTAACGGGGGGGGGCCACGACCCTGAGTGGACTTTGGTAATCTTCCGTAATAAGATGCCCTGTGCGAGGTCAAAATTTGGCACACCCAAATGGATCTTCTCAATTATGGATTGTCTCAATTTTGCACCCCCTTGGCTCAGTGTGCCACCCTAAATCTGGTGCTGGCAGCACCTTCCTGTTTTGCCTCAGGTGGCAAAATGGGGCGAGCTGCCCCTTCTTAAGGTCCATAATTATATAGCTTGATGTAACTTTATGTACTAGCACCTCAATTTGTTCGCTTCCCTCTTCTATTCCCATTACTTTTTTTCTCTTTCTTATTCCAAAGCAAGATACTTTTGTGGTACGTACAATTGACATGCTATGTTGCATCGCAAAACGTGGCGTTTAGTTTGCCACTGCTCTCCCCGATGACTCCTGCTGCTGCCTCTATTTCCTTTTGTTAATTATCAGCACCTTAGGTTGCTGCAAATTAGCGAACAGTAGGTGATAGTTACTGGGGTGAACTAGAGCATGTGAGATATAGGACAAAGTCTCCCGTTGGTATGAGTATTTAATGCATACCTAAAGCAACTGCTTCACAAAGTTTCAAATAAGCACATGTCACTGGTGACCAGAAAGTTAATTTCTACACACAGAGAGAGAGAAGTTTTCCAGGTTTCAACAAAGTTTCCTTTTGAAGCCTTCAGACTATAGAGCAAGATGTGCCAAGCTTGCTTTGTACCAATGTAAAATTCTCCTATTTCAGCTTTAAGCTTTTCATGCCCTTTTAGAAGTTATGATGTTCTTAATTCACCTCCTGTGAATTCAGTGCTTTTCTTTCTTTCTTTCTTTCTTTCTTTCTTTCTTTCTTTCTTAGAAAAAACGGTGCCGGTACCCACCATGAAGTTGATACACTTTTAACATTACAGTGGTACCTTGGGTTACAGATGCTTCAGATTACAGACTCCGCTAACCCAGAAATAGTACCTTGGGTTAAGAACTTTGCTTCAGGATGAGAACAGAAATTGCGCAGTGGCGGCGCGGCAGCAGCGGGAGGCCCCATTAGTTAAAGTGGTACCTCAGGTTAAGAACAATTTCTGGTTAAGAACGGACCTCCAGAATGAATTACGGTAAGTTCTTAACCCGAGGTACCACTGTATTATTTTTTAAGGTGCTGGTACTGTGTATCCTTCAATCCCCCAAGAAAAAAGCTCTACCTTTTCCTTCGCTGCTGTAGCTCACACCTTCTTAACATATTCTACTGGTTTCATACTCCGTGCAGGAGAGATGTAAACTCTGTTCACCATTGCCAAAATGTGGGTGATGCACAGCATCAAGTAGCAAATAAGCACTAGGGATCTATATTAGGGCTGGGTGGGCGAGATCGGAGTTCCCAGACTCATTTCAAGGAACCAGGTGGCAGATTTGAACCATCCCAATAAGGGACCCCTGACCATTAGGTCCAGTCGTGACCGACTCTGGTTGTGGCACTCATCTCGCTTTATTGGTTGAGGGGGCCAGCGTACAGCTTCCGGGTAATGTGGCCAGCATGACTAAGCCGCTTCTGGCGAACCAGAGCAGCGCACGGAAACACCGTTTACCTTCCCACCAGAGCAGTACCTATTTATCTACTTGCACTTTGACGTGCTTTTGAACTGCTAGGTTGGCAGGAGCAGGAAGTGAGCAACGGGAGCTCACCCCGTCGCAGGGATTCGAACTGCCGACCTTCTGATTGGCAAGCCCTAGGCTCACCCCAGCAGTATGAGGACCAAATTTAGCACCGAAGTGAAAACTAATCTGAGCCTCCAGAAGTGGGAGGCGGCTGCCTCAGCGTACCTCATGGGCGATCTGGCCCTGACCTTAGATCAGGAATGGGCAACCTGTGGCCCTCCAGAGGTTGTTGCCCTGATCTCCCCTCGTCTTCGGACAGCATGCTGTCTGAAGCTGATGGGAGCTGGAATCCAACAAGCTCCACAGGAGTCATAGATTAGCCATCCCTGCCTTGGGATGCCTAGCTGTACCTGAGCACACCGTTTTCAGGTGGAGGAGCTGCCGAAATGGGTAACTGCTCTGAGCTGACTCTGTGGAGTAGGATTTCCGGGCTTCCCTCTCCCTCAGATGCAGCAAGGGGAGAATGACTGTTGAGGGAAACAGTTCTGGGATGGGAGGAATGAATGAAAGGCAGTTGGTGCCAGCCACCTCTAGGCTCTTCGTAGGGACAGGGTGTCCCCACTGCTGCTGCCACCGCCTCCCAAAGCGGCTCTGGATGTCAGGCAGAAAGTTTAGGGTGGAGAACAGCGCAGGTGACTCACCCTTTTTGTTTAACACCCGAAGACAGAACCTATTCATCTCCTGTTCCTTTCACAGAGCAATTCCTGGAGTGGTTTAACAGGGAAGTCTGGGAATTGTAGCTCTCTGCTGGGAATAGGGGTCTCAACAGCACCCGCAGCCAGTAATTATTGGGGTGGAAGCCATGGCTGTTTAAAGTGGCGTCATAGTGCTTTCAATGTGTGGTGTGAATGTGATGGAAGAGAGGCCTGCTACTGTCAGTAAATCGTGCTAGCGTTTTTCCTCTCAAGTCTTTCAAAATTAAGATTGGTTTTAAAGACAATGGGGACAGTGTGTCATGAGCAAACATCAAGTCACTTCCTGAACTCTTCAACTTCCCTTCAAGTTCTTTCGTACTCAGGGGGTCTACCACATTATATATATATATATATATATATATATATATATATATATATATATATTCCTGCTGACTGAGGGATCGCTTCAGCTGTGTGTGCAAATAAAATGAAATGAAATGAAAGCATAAATAACCAGCATTTGCATTTTCAGCTTTTGGGTGCAACTTCCCAGTGAGGTTTAAACTGCATGGGCAAATGGGAGCTTCGGGAAGAAGTAGCCACCTGACACTGTTTATGTGTGAAAGCACGATCCAGTACGCATGGTTTGCATGGCCAAAATCTCAGATTTGATTTGTTCACCAGCACTTCTGGCTGAAAGGATATTTTGCTGTAGTTTGGGGTGTGCATGTGGAATACTGGACACGGTGGACCATAGGCCTGGTTCAATATAAGGCAGCCCCTGATATAAAGCTTAAGCCAGGGCTGGCAGTATATCTAGTAGTCCTCATTACTGTACCTAAGGACAATAGACTCAACATTTTAATGGCCAAGGTTCAGAGATGATGCAAGTTGTAGGCTAGCAACATCTGCAGGGCCACAGTTTTCCCAGACCTGCTTTAATTAAAAGAGGAAGCCTCCTTGTAACAAAGTTTGCCACAAAATGGGTGCTGGGTGAAGTGGGACCCCTGGCAAAGCAACCCAGTTCGAATCAAGGTTCTCTAAATGTGAATAGAGCTTATCTTTCTTTTAATTGGGGGTAGTCGTATCTGACTGTGCCCAAACTGGTGAGTGGCGTTTGTGTGCAGGAGTGAGTGGCAGATCTTGCATAATAAATATTAAAATCTTCTTCTTCTACTACTACTACTACTACTACTACTATTAGTACCTTCTACTAGTGGTACCTCAGGTTAAGTACTTAATTCGTTCCGGAGGTCCGTTCTTAATCTGAAACTGTTCTTAACCTGAAGCACCACTTTAGCTAATGGGGCCTCCTGCTGCTGCCGCGCCGCCGGAGCACGATTTCTGTTCTCATCCTGAAGCAAAGTTCTTAACCTGAAGCACTATTTCTGGGTTAGCAGAGTGTGTAACCTGAAGCGTATGTAACCCGAGGTACCACTGTGTATCCTACTGTTCCTCTGAGGAGATTAACGTGGTTTGCCTAGTTCCTTCCTGCTCCTTTTCAAGCTCATAAGAGCTCTGTGGGGTCTGCTCTGTGTCTAAGACAGCGTTTCTCAAACTTGGGTCTCCAGCTGTTGTTGGACTACAACTCCCATCATCCCTAGCTAGCAGTGGTTAGTGATGCCGGGAATTGTAGTCCAAAAAACAGCTGGAGGCCCAAGTTTGGGAAACACTGTCTTAAGACAGAGCAGACCCCACTTTTTTATAACTAGGAAGCCAGAGTTGGTGTGTTTGTGTGCTGGCTAGGCACTTGGGCCAGAACTAAAAGATCAGCCTTTGCCAACTTGCTGTGCTGCAGCTGTCTTTGGACTCTGACTCCCATCTAGGTGAGGCTGATGGGAGTTGTAGTGCAAAGCAGCTGCAGCACACCAGGTCAGCGAAGGCTGGGGTGGACAAACCACCTTTTCTCTCTTTTCAGCCTGGTAGGATGGCAGTACTGCCATGCATATAAATGCAATATTTCAGTACAGGAGCCTGAGACAGTGACTGCTCAGTACTTTGTGGAATGAATAAAACTGCTTCGTTCTGGATACAGTTTTGCATGTGAATAGAGATGAGGTTGTAAATGCAAATCTAGCAGTGCCACCTTCCTCCTTTGGCCCATCTTTAAATGGTTATAGGGCCTCTCCGCATTTCAAATTCTGTGTAAATGCTAGCTCCCATGCTACTTCCTGTGGTTTTTACTTGCAGTTTGCATCACTGTCTGCTAACTTTCTTTTTATCAACTCTGCTACATCTTCAGTGGTAATCTTCCATGGGATTTTGGTACTTTTCCTCTAGCCTGTTCTAGGTAGGGGATGGGGGATCTTCCAAGCTCAAGTTTGCCAAGATGGCATTAACGGAGTTGTATCTGCATGAATTGTACCTAATTTGGATGCGGGTGGCGCTGTGGGTAAAACCCTAATTGGGTAAAATTCCCTAATTGGGAATTGGGACGCGGGTGGCGCTGTGGGTAAAACCTCAGTGCCTAGGGCTTGCCGATCGCATGGTCAGCGGTTCGAATCCCCGCGGCAGGGTGAGCTCCCGTCTTTCGGTCCCAGCTCCTGCCCACCTAGCAGTTCGAAAGCACCCCTAAATGCAAGTAGATAAATAGGTACCGCTTTATAGCAGGAAGGTAAACGGCGTTTCCGTGTGCTGCGCTGGCGCTGGCTCTCCAGAGCAGCTTCGTCACGCTAGCCACGTGACCCGGAAGTGTCTGCGGACAGCACTGGCCCCCGGCCTCTTAAGTGAGATGGGCACACAACCCTAGAGTCGGACACGACTGGCCCGTACGGGCAGGGGTACCTTTACCTTTACCTGCATGAATTAGTCAAAGGAAAACCTTAGTTGTGTTTGTATAAAAGAGACTCTTATTGCCTCTGTTCCAAAATTAAGAACGGAAGAAAAACCCCGTTGAATCAAGCCAGTGACCCATCAAGTCCAGCATCCTTTTTCACATTGGCCAACCAGATGCCTATGGAAAACCTAAAAACAGAACCTGAGCAAAAAAGCACTCTCCCCCTTTGTAAAGGTAAAGGTACCCCCGACCGTTAGGTCCAGTCGCGGATGACTCTGGGGTTGCAGCGCTCATCTCACTCTATAGGCCGAGGGAGCTGGAGTTTGTCCACAGACAGCTTCTGGGTCATGTGGACAGCTGTTTACCTTCCCGCCAGTGTGGTACCTATTTATCTACTTGCACTTTGACGTGCTTTCGAACTGCTAGGTGGGCAGGAACTGGGACTGAAGAATGGGAGCTCACCCCCTTGCTGGGATTTGAACCGCCGACCTTCTGATCGGCAAGCCCTAGGCTCTGTGGTTTAGACCACAGTGCCACCTGTGTCCCACTGTGCCACACTGGTAAATTGGACTTCACCCCTACCTATAGCTCTTTCTGCTTTTTTAAATAATCAAGGCTGGGTTGGACCTTTGTGCTCAATAAGCCAAAGTGAAGGCTTTTTTTGTGGCAGAAGGTGACCCTGTTTTGAAACCTTTGCTGATTCTTCCTATTGCATGAGTTTCTTTCAAAACTTCCTGTGGCTCACACCACAGTCCATGTTCTCTGATCGCAATACAGTGGCTTGGAAGCTACATTCCTACCTATAAGCAATTTTTAACTGTCTAGTGCAATTGTTTCCCAAACATGGGTCTGCAGATGTTTTCGGACTACAATTCCCATCATCCCTGCCCATTGGTCTTGCTGGCTAGGGATGATGGGAGTTGTAGTCCCAAAGCAGCTGGAGACCCAAGTTTGGGAAACACTGATCTAGTGAAACGGAGAGAGAGAGAGAAAAATACTCTGCTGCGGAAAAGCTTCCATGACAGGATGGAGTTAATGGGAGGAATGAAATGTTTGTGTGTGTGTGTGCTCATTCACATTTGTGTGGTCCTGTCCCCTCTGCCAGCAGCAGGCCACAGACAGAGCATGGTTTAAATGAGTCAGCAGTGTGGCACCACAAAAGATTTCAATGCATGCACACAGTGCAAGCTTTATTTAATATGGCGTTGAACTGACCGGAGGGCCATTCCTGTAACACTCCTAATTGTCTCCTTGCGTTTACCCTTTTAAGTTTTAGAGCGCTCTGAGCGGAACAAACAAAAGATAGCAGAATTATGCAAACAAATGGGATGCATAATAACGTGAGGTATAAATATTCTCCGAGTCGAAACGAAGTAGACGGAGCAAGTTTTTTTTTAGCAAGAGGCAGTGTGGGGAAGTGTGGTGTCATGTGGCTATGTGACAGGAAACTCAGCTGAAAGCTGAGGTGAGCTTCAGACGTGACGGCTCTCCTACTGTTGAAGACAGTGCAGGTCTGTGTTTTTCTTTTTGCAGCAAGTTTTTATTCTTTTCGAATATGAGTGTTAATGTGTGTGTTTAAGGTTGTCGTGGTTGGGGTAGGACGATTGTAGCATGAGACTTTCACTAGGACAGCGCTGAGCTTCTGACTTGCAAGGTCGCCCAAAAGATGCATATAACAGGGAACAATTAATATTCAGGTTGGTGGTTCAGTTTGTATGTGTGTGTGTGCTGGTGAACTTACCTGTCTGTGAGAAGATGAGAATTTTAATATTTTGGTAGTGAAAGCATGTTTTATTGTTGTGGCACCAGCGGTTCTCAACCTGTGGGTCCCCAGATGTTGTTGGACTACAACTCCCATCATCCCTGAGCTCTGGCCTTGCTAGCTAGGGGTGATGGGAGTTGTAGTTCAACAACATCTGGGGACCCACAGGTTGTGAAACACACACACACAGCTGGGGTGGGGAGAACCTTGAACTGTTATTGTAATTGGCTAATGCAAAAGACTTAAGGCTGCAATCCTATACACAGCTATTGTCAATTCGTGTGTTTCTTTTTTGGTCCGTTTAGGTTTTCTGTTGTTTGTTTTTGTTTTTGTTTTCTTTTTCTCTCTTTTTTATGTACGGTTGTTTCATTTTTCTGTTTGCTTATGAAAATTAATAAAAAGAATTTTTTTAAAAAATTGTCCAATCGTGCCTCCTTTGGAGTAAGGCCCCTTGAATTTAGTGGGAATTAAATTATATGTGCTTTTGTGTAAGCATGCCTAGGATTGTGCTGCAGATGTGGCTGCTCCTTTAGTGGAGTTTGCTAGCTCTGAAATGCTATTACTGATTTCAATACTTACAGTGCCTAATAATTTTCTAAGCCCTGCACGTATATTAAAAGAGAGCACAAGGGCCTGCTTGTGAGCTTGCGGCATAATTAGATGCAAAATGAGCGAAGAAGAGGAAAGCAAGCGTTGCGGCTCCTCCAGGGGCCGGTGAATGGAGCCAGGTTGGTCTCCCCTTTGTCATGGTGTTCTCCTTGGATGCAGACAAAAATCATAGAATTTGTAGAGTTGGAAGGGACCACGAAGGTCATCTAACCCAACCCCCTGCAATGCATAACTCTTTTGCCCAGTGTGGGACTTGAACCCACAACTCTGAGATTAAGACTCTCAGTGCTCCATGGAGCTCTGGCCAATGGCATAAGCCAGAGTGTGCCTCCTTTTGCTTCTTCAGTCCCTGGGCATCGATCTGATTTTGCTTTCTTCTTTGTCTTTGTCTGAAACGTGTCTCACTTAAACCCTTTTTGCTCCAAGAGTAAGAAGAAAATCTTCCCAGCATCCAGACAATTGCTGGGCTTGGTGTAAGGGGCCTAACTGGTAGGATCAGATATTCTTTTTTCCCCTCCTCTGGACCTCCTTCCTCCCCAGGCTGTATCACAAGCTGTTTTTGAAACTTCCATCAGTTTCAATTGCAGTCTTCCAGCGGACGACGGGGGGGGGGGGTTGCTTTTGGAGGAAAAACAAGTCCAAAAGTGCATTTAAAGTCACAGAACCAGTTGGGTGGTTCTGTGGCCTCTGTCCTTCTCTGTGAATAACTTGCATATTCTTCTGAAAATTCAGGGTAGTGCTGAGACTAGGACTGGGCGGGGGAGGGGGCACCCAAGTTGAAATACATTCTCAGCCAAAAATTGCCTGACCGGGTAGTTGTGAGGACAACATGGTTGGGGGAGGGGAAATGCGTGTCTCACTTTGAGACCCAGAAAGGACATGGGGGAAAGAGCACCAACCCAAAAACTGGATCAGTGACTTCCAAGACGTTGTCCTGTGGTCTGTCCCTAACTGTGCAAAATAATATTTGGGTTCAGAATGTTTTATAATATGCTGATTCTTGACAATGCAGAGGTTGACTAGTGTTTTTCTACCCCCTCCTTCTGAAAAGAAAATGTCCTTGTCATCACAGTGGTGAAAATCCACAACCTGTGGGGGTTTTTTTAGTTATAGGCACATGTAACAAAATAATCAGCATTTGCTGCTGTAATGAGACATGCCTGGGTCAGCAGTTCGAATCCCCGCGATGGAGTGAGCTCCCGTTGCTCTGCCCCAGCTCCTGCCAACCAAGCAGTTCGAAAGCACATCAGTGCAAGTAGATAAATAGGTATTGCTACGGCGGGAAGGTAAACAGTGTTTCCGTGCGCTCTGGCTTCCGTCCCAGTGTCCCATTGCACCAGAAGCAGTTTAGTCATGCTGGCCACATGACCCGGAAAGCTGTCTGTGGACAAATGCCGGCTCCCTCGGCCTGAAAGCAAGATGAACACCGCAACCCCATAGTCGCCTTTGACTGGACTTAACCATTCAGGGGACTTTTACCTTTACTTTTACCTTTGTATGATTGGATTCACATAAATACTGCTAGATCTATGCAATAATGCTATTTATAGGGAAGAACGCAAACTTCTTTAGTGTGTTGTGCTTCTGGTGGTGAAGCCTGTGACATTCATTGGCTGAAGCAGCAGCACAGAATGTTCATAACCACCCCAACTATTCAGGCTTCATAGATTATACATCTATACAGCTCAGTTTCTGTGGGGGAAGGAGAAGTTGTCAGTTTGGCAAGGGATTAGAACCTCACCCAGACCTTAGTTACAGAAGTAGGTTTGTCAACTAGTCTCACAAGAATGAGGGAACTAGAGGGTTGCAATCTTGGAGGTAACATGGCTGAATCAAGGGACCCAACTCAGTAAAGGAACCCAGCTGAGAAAAGAGAATTGAGAGAGAGAAAGGGACGAGTGGGAGAAGGTCCTCTGAATAAGACTCTAAGTGTGGTTTAAGGAGAGGAAGGCCGGGGTACAAGGGAAGGAGACCAAGAAACTGAAGGTAGCTGGAGGAAATTGGACAAAAAGTGAGTGGTGTTTTAAGGCGGAGACCTGGGGAACTGATGGAATGAAGAAAGAATAAGCAAGAGGGAAAGTCTGACCGCAGCATAATTTCACAAGTGTTGGAGGTACAGGAAGGTCCGTTCTGGGAACTGGAGAGAAATGGCCAGTCAAAGGAGATTTAGTCCTTGTAGGACCCTGGGCCATGGAGAAAAGGATCCAGAAGATTACTTGATTTAGCAGTCTTCCCCATCCTGGTGTTTGACTACAATTCCCATTAACCCCTGTGCCAGTATGGCCAGTGGGTCTGGGGTGATGGGAGTTGTAGTCCAAAACATCTGGCTTTTAGGAACTAGGCTCCGATTGACGTGTTTTGCCAGTTGTGGCTTCCACTGCCACTGCCGTCAGCATGGCGATCTGGTGACCCTAAAGAAACAGTAGCAAGGCCCTGTAAATAGGTGTTGTAAGGAAAGGCTGAGTTGCAAATACTGAGTGAGCACCCACCACACTGTGTTATAATTTTCAGGGCGCGGGTTCGTTTGCCAGGAACGTTTATGTTTGCTCTCTTGCACTTCTCAAGCACTTACTGCCTATATAGGTACACAGAGGCTGACTCTAGACACATCAAGCGTTTCAGTTAAACACGTAAATTTAAACTGGGAAAACAGGTAGAGAGAGAAAACGGGACTCCACAGCGCCATCTGGTGGCGCAATGTTTATATCGCATATACAGTGCCTATAAATTGCTTTTTCTTTGCCATTCTCGCTGAGTCCAGAGAGGGCTTTCTCGCATCACTCCTATTGGGGCAAGTCCACAGATGCTGCAGGGCTGTGCCACTTCCTCTTCCTGTTTCACTTGTCTATGAATGAAGTAGGCAAAACAGGAAGCAGCAGCCACCTCTGTGTACCAATATATATACAGGCGGGGTCACCCTGTGGAGTGCCCTCCCATCAGTTGTCAAGGAATTAAACAACTATCTGACTTTTAGAGGACATCTGAAGGCAGCCCTCTATAGGGAAGTTTCTGATGTTTGATGTCTTACTGTGTTCAAATTTATTGGAAGCCGCCCAGAGTGATAGGGGACAACACAGATAGCATCTTCCGCTTTAAGTGCAATTATTGCGTGAAGATTTGTGCAATTGCAAACCTCTGTGCACAAAAATCATGCTGTGAAAAAAAATGGCCCCTGTGTCCTGCAAGGCTATGTGTGTGACTGTACAAAACCTTTGGTTTCCATTGTACAAGGCCATTCACTTTGCTTCAGGTTCTATGTTTTCTTTCACACTCGTAGCACTTCTTTGTGGACCTGTAAAATGAATGGAAAATCTTTTTTGAAAGCACCACCATTGAAGCATGCAAAAGCAAAGCAGTGAATGATAGCCTGTGTTTGATAAACGGATAACGCTGCTTGATGAGAAAAACTGAGAAAAGTTAGAGAAGAGGAAGTGGGAAGAGTCAGAGAGCATTGCGACAGAGGCAAAGAAGGGAGGGGGAAAAACAATAAGGGGATTGTACAAAAGTGGTAACTGCGTAAACCAGAGAGGGGAGAATTAATTTTCCAGATTAAAATTAGAGCAGCAGGAAGAAGAGCAAGAAAAGACTACGCAACTATGTAAAAATGGAAGAATGAAGTAATGGTTCAGGCTAGGGCTGGGCGATATATCAATATATTGTCCAAAACCAATTTGAAGTCCATATCGTGATATCAGTTTCATAATAAAAATCACAATGGAGGGAATACCACGGAGCCACCCAATATCACTACATAGCTCCATCCTTGTTTCAGACATCATGATATATTATTATATTGCGATGTTTAGCTGTGATAGATCACGATTTTTGAAAAATATCTGAAGGAACATCTCCACCCCCATCTTTCAGCCCAGACACTGAGGTCCAGCTCCGTGGGCCTTCTGGCGGTTCCCTCACTGCCAGAAGTGCGGTTACAGGGAACCAGGCAGAGGGCCTTCTCGGTAGTGGCACCCACCCTGTGGAATGCCCTCCCATCAGATGTCAAGGAAATAAACAACTACCTGACTTTAAGAAGACATCTGAAGGCAGCCCTGTTTAGGGAAGTTTTTTTATGTTTGATGTTTTATCGTGTTTTTAATATTCTGTTGGGAGCAGCCCAGATGGGCAGGGTATGTATAAATAAATAAATAAAATTATTATTATTATTATTATTATTATTATTATTATTATTACCCAGCCCTAGTTCAGGCTCAACAGAAAGAGAGAACAGGTAAGGAAATGAATCTAAGCTGCTGTGGAGGCTGAGGCAGTGTGTGTGTTTGGGGAGGGGGGGTGAGTTGATTTTGCAATGCTGGAGAGAGGCTGGCTTGAGAAGCCTCACCAGCGGTTCGATGGTTCTCACGCTTCCATCTAAGGCAGTTGATCACAGGCCTGGGGAGCCACTGAGGTGTAGCTCGTGGCGTATTGGATCTGCTCAGCCATGAAGCCGACATCGTGACCTTGAGCTCGTTGTTATTTGCCAGCCTAACCAACCTCGCAGCGTGCTTGGAGGACATCTGATGCTTGATAATAGGATGTGGTATTGGGTTCTTATTTTTGTACAAGTGCAATAAAAAGGACGTGCAGCCAACACACACCTGTTCCAAGCTAGGACTTAGCCTAGGGTATCGATACATGGCAGCCCATCTGCCTTCTGCTTTCAGGCCAGAACCTTTCTTCTGCACTGTGCTTCTTCCTGCTCAGATCCTCCTGCGCTCTGCAGCTGTTGCAAGAGGTACAGCATGCATTTCATTTCTTTTTCGAATTCGCTCCCAGAAGCTTTGGCAAAGGCCACCTGCTTAGAAATAGGTTCAAAGCATATTCCCTAGGAGAGGAGGCCTATCACTGGCTAATATGGAACATCCAGCTTCAGGGGCAGTCTACCATGTAACCGGGACGCGGGTGGTGCCGTGGGTTAAACCACAGAGCCTAGGACTTGCCGATCAGAAGGTCGGCGGTTCGAATCCCTGCAACGGGGTGAGCTCCTGTTGCTCGGTCCCTGCTCCTGCCAACCTAGCAGTTCGAAAGCACGTCAAAGTGCAAGTAGATAAATAGGTACCACTCTGGCGGGAAGGTAAATGGCGTTTCCGTGCACTGCTCTGGTTTGCCAGAAGCTGCTTAGTCATGCTGGCCGCATGACCCGGAAGCTGCACGCCGGCTCCCTTGGCCAATAAAGCGAGATGAGCGCCGCAACCCCAGCGTCGGCCACGACTGGACCTAACGGTCAGGGGCCCCTTTACCTTTACCATGTAACCAGTGTTAGAAACTTATATATATAACCCCGGCACTATATGGCTCCTTAAAGCAGGGTTACAGTCGCCAAAACATAACGCCTGGTTGCCATTTTTGGGCCAGGTGGCTCAAAAGCCGTATTTTTCAATACCACTTTTGGGTTCCTGAAGTTCATTCTGATTGTGCAGATAGAATATCATGGATAGAATTCTACAGGATGTGTTGCCACTGTGTGAAAACGATCAAGACCCAATGATCTCCAGGCGTGGCACCTCCAGATGGTGGAGACATCAGGCGTCATCCTGCCACCTGAGCATCTTCACTTGGTCACAAGAGGCCGAAAGCCAAGTACAAAAATGCGATTGGCACCTGGCGAATATCGAACTCTGCACGTAACAGCAGAGGGCTTTCTGGATGCACGTGGAAGATCAATCTGGGAAAATGGGACACTGAGCTAGATCGACCTTTCATCTGATCAGCTGGGTTTCTTGTATTATTTCTTGTGCTATAGATGCAAGAGCCTGCACGAGAAAAGCAGTTTGAAAAGTGGGCAGTGTGGGTTTTCTTTAAAGCTGTTTCCCTAACTTCCAAGGTTTTTTATATATATAATTTATCTGGCTATTTAAGCTACCATGCTGTTTTGTTTCAATAGGCTCCTGTCCCGGAGCTTAGGTGGAATTGTAATTAAAGTGAATTGGGGTTAATAAAGTGCTCCTATTAGTTGCACTTTTCTGAAAGCCCTCGGTGTTTTGTTTTTCCTGCATAGCCCTGCGTGCCACCAGAGCTCATTTGACCCACTAGCATGTTTTTCCTGTTGGCGCCTGTAGGTGCCCTGCACAGCTGCCCTTGCCCTTATACCCTCCTTTCCGCACCTGTCTGAATTCAAGCCCTGCCGGTCATTTCGATTAAAATCTTGTCCCTGGGAGTGGCTGGTGGGTGTTTTGTGTTCAGAGGGAGTAGGAGTGTGTGTGTGTATGTGTTTTGGTCGTGCTTTTCTGCCCTTTTGGTTTGCAACAAAAAATAATTAATAGGAATGTTATTATGAAGCCAATTGAGCGTTAAGTAAAGTGCATAACATTAGTTATAGAAGTGTAAAATGTAAAGTAACAGTTTAAGTGGTTCTGGCAGTGGGCTCCATGCCCTGGCATATGTCCAACATCTGCCGAACTTTGCTGCTTAGAGATGTTAAAATCTGTGTATTATTTTATTAGCTTTTCAAAGGTGCAAACCGCGATTTCTGCTATTTTTTTAAAGAGCCTGCTATATAGACACACACTGCTTACTCCTTCTCCAGGGCCCTTGTAAACACCTCCTTTCTCTGTCATATTTTGATAATTTTTTTAATTTTTACAATAGACTATAGTGTGATGCTTTACAAACTAGCTCAGAAGTAGCCAATGTGGTACTCTTCCCCAGATGTTTTAGACCACAACTCCCTGACTTTTGGCCAAACTGACATGGGATGTTGGGAATTGTGGTCCACAGAGGCTAGACTAGACAGTGCAAATGAAGGATGCAAATACTCTTCTAAAACGTAAATAAATAGGGACAAATGATCAGCACGAGGAGGGAAGGGCATGGGTGAGTTTTCCGTGATGGCAACCTTGGTTATGTAACCCTTACAAATCTCTGCTTTTGGGGGAGCAACTCTGTGGGGTAGATAGAAGGTTTCATGCTCCTTGTACAGCAGCTTCTTGCAAAGGCATTCCACAAACCCAAGCCTTCCTACTCTTCAGCTGTCCTGAAGCTCCAAAGAACTACAGTTGCAGGTGTCTTGGCGTGATCAAAGTCTCTCAAACAAATTAGTGCGTGTGCTTTATTTCTCAGAAAAGGTAACTGCTGCCCAGATTTTTCAAAGATTCGTTTGGGACCTGCCAGCCAGCCTTGGGCCAGATGTTTAAGTGAATTTGTTTAGTGTGCAAATTAAGTGTCTTGGCTTTTTTCCTTTTTTTTTTTAGCCGATTCATTAGTAGCCTGCAGTTTTGCTAGGCTATGAAGATTTGTGTTTGGCCCCTTCTAAAAGAAGCTTCTGTATGGGGTCAGACAATAGAAAAATATCATTAAATGCTTGGCCCAATTTCGGCTGCGTTTGTGCATGTGCATACGCATTGCCTGTTTGTTTTCTCCCCCAGGCTAATAGCCAGGGAAATTTTGTTTCCTTTGGTATATTTCCTAAGTAAATGTTTTGCAAGGTTTCTTTCACCTCCAAAGTTCCAAGTAGTTTGGAAATGTCAGTTGAATAACACTCTTTTGAGTGGGTATTCCTAACCCTAAACATGCTCGAAACAGAAATTGCTGATTTTTATCATCTGGGTTAGGATTACTGTCCAGACCTCCCCAAACCTTGTGTGTTCCAGATGTTTTGGACTAGAATGCCAATCTCTGTCTCAGCCAGGTGGAGGTTATATGGCAAGACATCTGAAGGGCACCAGGTTGGGGATGACTGATTCAGACGAAGTAGGATCTGAAACAATATATAAATCATGCATAGAAGTATGGGCAGGAGGCTTCGAGTTCTGGTATTCCAGTTTTATTCTGGCAAAGAAGATTTCCCCTGCCCCACCCCTCAATCTCTGCAAATGCAGTTTTCCATTTATTAATGGCAGAAACTAAATAGAAAAGTAAGTAAGCTTAAAACAAATTCATTCTTGCCTGGTGCTGCCAAAATATTTATCCCTACTGGCAGCATTGCAGCATTGAAATAAAATTTAAAAGTTAACAGGGAGGAGAAGAGGCCGTTTCATACTGTTCTTTGTGGTTTTCGCAGGTGCTTAAGCTAAAAAGGAAGCAAGTTGAATTGCTTTTATTAAAAGTTTTCTGCTTATTTTGCAAGGTATTAAACTGGTGTCTCCCCTCTACCCACCCAAAAAACCCTGCTGATTGATGAGACTCAGCTTTTTTCTCTCCCTGAGCTGGAACTAGAATAGAGGCACATATGCTGAGAACAGGAGAACAATCTGAAATATTTCAGTGCTCAGCCAGAGATTGTGTATTTGTTCCACAAGATGAAATTCAAAAGCCACAGTATCTTTCTTTGGACCACTTAAAATCATAGCGGTCAACTTTCAGATTTGAAAGTAAGGGATTAGCAGCCTCGAAAATAAGGGATCAGCAGCCTCACCTGTCCTGGGGACAGTTTACGGGATATCTAACAATCCGGGATAGCAGTGGGAAGCAGCGGGAAACGGCGCTGGAATAAGGGAATTTCCCGCAAAAAAAGGGACGGTTGACAGCTATGCCTAAAATCTGGGGTGGGGTGGGGGGGATGTACTAAGTAGTGTTTTAAGTTCTCCAGAACTCATCTTCAGGTTGAATGTTTAGCAAAAGGGAGAGTTCTGGAGAACTCAAAAAGTTTGCTCACCAGGAAGGAGTGGTTTGACACTTCCTTCCACAGCCACGAACTCAGTGGAAACACCTCTCTCCAGTGCATGGTACCGCAGTTAGCGATAGGGGGAAAATATCCCATTGCGTCGTGATGAGGGAGGAAGGAGTTGGACCTCCGCTACCTGTGTGCTGTGGTCCTCGTGGAAATCGGGAGAGAGAGCATTCTCTTCGCCTAGGATTACTTTAAAAATATGTATCTTGTCTTACTATAATCAGCATGATTTGATGTAGTTAAAGCACCACAGTGGCACGTGTGACAGGCGTCATTCAAAGCCCAAAGGCAAATTTGCTTCTGTTAAACCCCCGACTGCTGAGAGAACGTGAAGAAGTATCTTTGGGAATTCAATGAGTTGGCATGTGCAGAGCACATACACAAAAGTTGTTAGTTGGTTATGTATTCAGATTGGTGTGGTTTGTGGGTGGAGACGCTTGCTTGCTACTTGGTGACCTTTAAGGGCTGAAGTAGACATTATGTTAATCGTGGGGTTAACAACCACATACAGGGATTTTATAAGTATAATGATATGTGCAAGGCAATGGAGAGGGGAGAATTTTTTCATCGGGATCATAGCAAGGGCTTGTTTACCCCTTCCCTCCACTTCTGTAAGCCTGACAAAAATTATCCCCCTTGTGCAGCAGTTTGGACTTCCAAAACGTTCAGAAACCAAAGCGCGGCTTCCGATTGGCTGAAGGAAGCTCCTGCAGCCAGTCGGAAGCCCTGTTGGTCGTTCGGGTTCCAAAGAATATTCACAAACTGGAACACTCTTGGGTTTCTGGCATTCAGAAGCGGAAACATTTGACTCGCAAGTTGTTCGGGATCCAGGGTACGACTGTACAGTGGACCCTCCGGATATGAATTACCGTATTTTTCGCTCTATAAGACGCACTTTTCCCCTCCTAAAAAGTAAGGGGAAATGTGTGTGCGTCTTATGGAGCAAATGCAGGCTGCGCAGCTATCCCTGAATCCAGGAGAACAAGAGGGATCGGTGCGCACCAATCCCTCTTGCTCTCTTGGCTTCAGGGATAGTCGCACGAAGCCTCTTCAGTGCAACGGGAGGAGCGCTCCCCCTGCCCTGAAGAGGCTTGGCACGGCTATCCCAGAAGCCAGAACAGCAAGAGGGATTGCTGCTTTCGCTGCGCAGCAATCCCTCTTGCTGTTCTGACTTCGCTTAGCTGGAGAGGCACTGCGTAGCTTTCCTTCTGCTGAAGGGAAAGCTGCGCAGCGCCCCTTCAGCAAAGCGGGAGGAGAAACGGAGCTCCTTCCATTTCTCCTCCCGCTTTGCTGGAGAGGCGCTGCGCAGGGAGGGAGAGAATTTTTTTTCTTGTTTCTTGTCCTCTAAAACTAGGTGTGTCTTATGGTCGGGTGCGTCTTATAGAGCGAAAAATACAGTGAATTCATTCCGGGGGTCCATCCGCAACCTGAAAAGCCCGTAGGCAGAGACGCTGCTTCTGTGCACGCGGCGCAATTGAGCGCTTCTGCGCATGTGTGTGGCACACAGAGTGCTTCTGCTCATGCGTGCGCAGTGAAACCTGGAAGTATACACTTCCTGGTTTGCCACATTCGTAACCCAAAAGTTACGTACCCAGAGCGGTACATAACTAGAAGGTCCACTGTATTTGACTTTTAAAAAAAACCCCACACACAATGCAAATGGTTTTATTATTTTAAAAGTTAAAAACTTAACTTTCAAATATGTCTTTAAAAGGTATCTTTCATTGGCAGTCATTGCTAAACAATGGCCTTAGTTTTTGAATCCATATGGTGGGGGGCTGGGACTTACAGCGTTATCCTTTAAAAAAGAGAGATGAAAGGTATGTTGCTTATTCCCTCACTTCCCCCCTGCCCCCTTATTTCCTAATTCCCGTGAAGATATGCTAAAGTCAAAACTCAGCTCCTCTCCTTCCCTTTGTCTGTATTGCGCACAAGCTTGAATGCTGAAGTTTGCATGATCTCCCTCCAACCAATAGACTGCAACAGCTGGAAGGTTAGCTGAGGATACAGCTTCACATTAAAAAAATCTCCCTTAACTGGTCAAAGCAGATTCATCATACAGGTGATTTCTCTCTCTCTCGAACACTTAAGGGGGGGAAATCATGTAAATTTAGCCAAATTCCTGAAACTGTAATATTTATCCAAAATGTAGTTGCCATACCATGTTGTTAAATGTTCTGGTGGTGAATGTAACACATGGGACAAATTATACAGAGGGCGGCTTTCTTCCTGAAAGCTTTAGTCTACGCTGTGTGGAAAACTCATATGGCTCTCTGTATACTTTTTTCCAGCCAAACATCTATATTTCAGGGTCAGCCCAGGCACCACTTTTGATGATGCTAGGAGGGCATCATATCACAACAAAGGGAGGGAGCACTTAACCTTTGCTCCCGTCAGCTGTTTTTCTACAGCAAAACACTTCTCCCTAACACTTCCTATCCAAATGGGATTCCAGACAAGTTTTTTTAGTTTGCAAAACCATGGACTATGAAACCCTCCAAACTGAAGCACCTTAGAGGAAGGTCCTGATGAAATCAGTGGGGGTTTGAGTCAGATTCCTTAGGATCGGGTGGTCATTAATGACTGTACAATCTATTCAGGAGCTTTAAGCACCTCCCTCTCTCATCTGGCGGCCTCCCCATTGCATTTTGGAGAGGAGGAGAAGGAGCTGTGCCCAGGATTTAGGTACCATACTTTAAACATGCCACGCTGGGCAAAGGCTCTGAAACCGCCATTTCTGTTTGCACTCTTTTTACGTGGATTTCTTGAAAACAAGTCATGCCAGATGAATCATATTTCTTTTTTGATAAAAATTACAAGACTGGTGGATCAGGGGAATGCTGTGGATGTAGTAGTATATCTTGATTTCCATAAGGCTTTTGACGAAGTCCCCAATGATATTCTTGTGGAGAAGCTGGAAAAATGTGTACTGGATGAGGTAACTGTTAGGTGGATTTGCAACTAGTTGACTGGCTGAACCCAAAGAGTGCTCACTAATGGTTCCTTGTCATCCTGAAAAAATGGGGACAAGTGGGAGGCTGCAGGATTCTGCTTTGGGCCTACTGGTATTCAACATCTTTATAAACAACTTGTCTCAAGGTATTGTGGGGAAGCTAACCAAATTTGCAGATCACGCCAATCTGGAAGGGGGAGCCATTACCACAGAATCGGGACTCAAGTTGACCTTAACAGATTGGAGAACTGTGCCCAAACAAACAAAATGAATTTCAGTAGGGACAAATGTAAGGTTCTTCACTTAGCCAGCAAGAACCAGCTGCACAAATATAAGGTGGGGAACATCTGGATTGCCAGTAGTACATGTGAAAAGGATCTAGGAGTCTTAACAAGCTTAACATGCAAGAATGGTGCAGCAGCAAAGAAAGCAAATGCTATTCTAGGCTGCATCAATAGAAGTATAGTGTCTGGGTCAAGGGAAGTACCGGTAATAGTCCCACTGTATTCTGCCTTGGTCAGGCCATACTTGGAGTACTGTGTCCGGTTCTGGGCACCGCAATTTAAAGATATTGACAAGCTGACATGTGTGCAGAGGAGGGCAACCAAGATGACCAAGGATCTGGAAACCAAACCTTAAGAGGAACAGTTGAGGGAATTGGGTATATTTAGCCTAGTAGAGAGAAGACTGAGAGGAGATTTAGTTACAGGTAGGTAGCCGTGTTGGTCTGCCGTAGTCGAAACAAAAAATAAAAAAACCCTTCCAGTAGCACCTTAGAGACCAACTAAGTTTGTTATTGGTATGAGCTTTCGTGTGCATGCACAATTCTTCAGATACCAGCACTGCATGCACACAAAAGCTCATTCCAATAACAAATTTAGTTGGTCTCTAAGGTGTTACTGAGAGGAGATGTGATAGCCATATTAAAATATCGAAAGGGCTGGCACATGGAAGATGGAACAAGGTTGTTTTCTCTTGCTCCGGAGGGTAGGCCCCAAACCAATGGGTCCACGTTACAAGAAAGAAGATTGCGACTGAACATCAGGAAGAGCTTTCTGACAGTAAGAGCTGTTAGACAGTGCAACGGTCTCCCTTGGGAGGCTGTGGGCTCTCCTTCCTTGGAGGTTTTTAAGCAGAGGTTGGATGGCTGTCTGTCATTTATGATCTTCTTGAAATTTCTGCATTGCAGGGGGTTGGACTAGATGATCCTTGGGATCTCTACAGTTCTCTGATTTTACAGTGCATTTGATTTGTCGTAGGTCAACAAATAATTGCCCTCTTGTGCTTTCACAGAGGTGGGAAGATTGCAGAAAATCTGACTCTCTCTGTGTGTGCACATGCAAAGATCAGAACAGCAGCAGTCGCAGGTCTAGATCATGGGGAGGCAAACTAAGGCCCGGGGGCCGGATCCGGCCCAATCGCCTTCTAAATCTGGCCCGCGGACAGTCCGGGAATCAGCATGTTTTTATATGAGTAGAATGTGTCCTTTTATTTAAAATGCATCTCTGGGTTATTTGGGGGGCATAGGAATTCATTCCCCCCCCCAAAAATATAGTCTTGCCCCCCACAAGATCTGAGGGACAGTGGACCAGCCCCCTGCTGAAAAAGTTTGCTGACCCCTGGTCTAGATCCTTTGTAGCACGACTCTTTCACCCTTTTTAAAGTACCTCTTTTTGACATATGCAGTGCTGGGGGTTTTTTGCAGTTCCTTTTGCCATGCAGCCACTTCTGTATCTGAAGCCCAGCTATAGCAATTTCTTTTCTCAACAACCGCCATTGCAAGGTTTGTGTGTTAGTTGCTACCTCAACGTGCTGGCAGGCATAACAAATATGGTTGTCACAGTTTCAGCCCTGTCCAATGAGGCACCCTGAAAGAGGAGTCCTTGTGATAGAACTCCCACCTCCCCATGGCTGGCATGGGAGTTGCTAGGTGCAGCGTCGGGCAGCTACAGAGAGAGCCCTGCCCTGTCTCCTGTCAATTGCCTTAGGTGTGCAGAAGAAAGCCTCCTTTCTCCTGGGTATACGTGCAGAAGAGTCTGCTATGTGGTGGAGGGTGAGCAGCTGAAAGGGCAGGTCCAAAGCTCTGCCCTCCATGCACAAAGATGTGCACCAGACCCTACTGAGATACAGGTAGAACGACTTGCACCTGCAGATGTCATGCAGATTTGTGGAGATGGCTTGTGCAGTCACAGGCCTCCTGTTGAATGTACAGTGGTACCACTGGTTATGTACTTAATTCGTTCCGGAAGTCCATTCTTAACCTGAAACTGTTCTTAACCTGAAGCACCACTTTAGCTAATGGGGCCTCCCGCTGCCGCCACGCCGCCAGAGCATGATTTCTGTTCTCATCCTGAAGCAAAGTTCTTAACCCGAGGTACTATTTCTGGGTTAGCGGAGTTTGTAACCTGAAGTGTCTGTAACCTGAAGCATATGTAGCCCGAGATACCACTGTAATTGGGAGTAACCAAGTGGGTGGCGCTTTGGGTTAAACCACAGAGCCTAGGACTTGCCGATCAGAAGGTCGGCGGTTCGAATCCCGTTGTTCGGTCCCTGCTCCTGCCAACCTAGCAGTTCGAAAGCACGTCAGAGTGCAAGTAGATAAATAGGTACCGCTCCAGCGGGAAGGTAAACGGCGTTTCTGTGCGCCGCTCTGGTTCGCCACATGACCCAGAAGCTGTACGCCGGCTCCCTCGGCCAATAAAGCAAGATGAGCACCGCAACCCCAGAGTCGGCCACGACTGGACCTAATGGTCAGGGGTCCCTTTACCTTTTAAGTAACCTGTGGCCCTCCTGATGTTGTTTGCCTTCAGTGCCAGACGGTACAATCCAGCACAGCCGATGGTCAGGGATGGTTAGAGTTGTCATCTAGCAACATCTGAAGGGTGATACACAGGTTCCCCACTTCTGATGTAGCCCCTTCACAGTGAAGCCGTGACGCATCAGTCTTCCAAGGCAGAGGGGAACTGTGTCGCCACGTATGCAACCTCTGCCTGCTACAAACAGTTTCTCACCATGCCATGCTAGATAGGGGCCAGCATGTGGGGGGGGGGGAACCCTGGCATTGCTGAAGACCATCAAAATCAGCTGTATGTTTGCAGAAAGCCATTTTTAACAACACCTGTAAGCTTATGCCGTTGAACACCGCAGCGCAGAATTATTTAGAGACTGGTTTAGACTTCCTGGGAGTACTGCTGTCATTTTATTTGGAAATGTTGACAGGAAAACCAGTGCTTGTGCAGTGTGTGAAGGCCACAATTGGGGGGGGGAGGACCATCTCCACCCCGATCATTCAGCCCGGACACTGAGGTCCAGCTCCAAGGGCCTTCTGGCGGTTCCCTCACTGCAAGAAGTGAAGCTACAGGGAACCAGTCACCGGGCCTTCTCGGTAGTGGCATCCACCCTGTGGAACGCCCTCCTATCAGATGTCAAGGAAATAAACAACTACAGTGGTACCTTGGGTTACATACGCTTCAGGTTACATACGCTTCAGGTTACAGACTCTGCTAACCCAGAAATAGTACCTCGGGTTAAGAACTTTGCTTCAGGATGAGAAGAGAAATCGCGCGGTGGCGGCATGGCAGCAGCGGGAGGCCCCATTAGCAAAAGTGGTGCTTCAGGTTAAGAACAGTTTCAGGTTAAGAACGGACCTCCGAAACGAATTAAGTACGTAACCAGAGGTACCACTGTATCTGACTTTTAGACGGCATCTGAAGACAGCCCTGTATAGGGAAGTTTTTTAATGTTTGATGTTTTATCATGTTTTTAATATTCTGTTGGGAGCCGCCTAGATGGGCATGGTATAAATTTATTATTATTATTATTATTACCCAGCCCTAGTTCAGGCTCAATAGAAAGAGAGAACAGGTAAGAAAATGATATTTGGTGTCTTACTGTCTTTTAATTTGTTTGGAAGCCACCCATAGTGGCTGCGGTGACCCAGTCAGATTAATTAGGTGACTAATTAATTAATTAATTAATTAATGGTGTTGAATACTGGGGCCTGGGGCCATTGTTGTTCACTTAGATCTACAGAGGTATAGTCGCAGTGCACATGACGGAGTTACTTCTATTTCAGCCGATGTCCTCAATATGAGGTCTCCATTGGAATGTATCTGGGGAGATTGTTGGACTGTTTTGGTTCACCTGTTTAAGCAGCAAGAGCCCGTCTCGCAGAAGAGCAAAGTGTACTCCTGACGGCAATAAAGAGCAGGATCTACTTTTAAGGCTATCGCCCTGCCATCATATCTGCTGGAGCTTTTAATTGTGCATGCAAATGGGTAGTTACATTGTTTACCAGCGCTCGGCATGTGCCACCTCGTCCTTTAACAGCCCGACAAATGCCAGTTTTTCACTGCGTTAAACTTCAGTAGACTCGTCGAGCTCACCGTTTGCACAGGCATGCGAGAGCTTGGAAAGGGGCCTCGCGGGCCAAAGATGGGGACCAAATGGCCCTCCAGGTGTGTGGCTGGACTACAACTCCCATCCTCCTTTGCCATTGGCCGTGCTGGCTGGAGCTGATGGGAGCTGTTCACAGTGCAATGGCAAATCCAAGCCAGCCAATTGTGCTTGAGGAGGGTGTCGTGAGAATCATGGCCAAGGGTAGCAAGGAATTTGCATTCTAGGAAAGCAAACTGTTGTGTTAGGAAAGTTCGCCTACAGAAACTTGTTGTTGTTTAGTCATGTCCGACTCTTCATGACCCCATGGACCAGAGCACGCCAGGCACTCCTGTCTTCCACTGCCTCCCGCAGTTTGGTCAAACTCATGCTGGTAGCTTCGAGAACACTGTCCAACCATCTCGTCCTCTGTCGTCCCCTTCTCTTTGTGCCCTCCATCCTTCCCAACATCTTTTCCAGGGAGTCTTCTCTTCTCATGAGGTGGCCAAAGTATTGGAGCCTCAGCTTCAGGATCTGTCCTTCCAGTGAGCACTCAGGGCTGATTTCCTTCAGAATGGATAGGTTTGATCTTTTTGCAGTCCATGGGACTCTCAAGAGTCTCCTCCAGCACCATAATTCAAAAGCATCAATTCTTCGCTGATCAGCCTTCTTTATGGTCCAGCTCTCACTTCCATACATCATTACTGGGGAAACCGTAGCTTTAACTATACGTACCTTTGTCGACAAGGTGATGTCTCTGCTTTTTAAGATGCTGTCTAGGTTTGTCATTGCTTTTCTCCCAAGAAGCAGGCGTCTTTTAATTTCATGACTTCTGTCACCATCTGCAGTGATCATGGAGCCCAAGAAAGTAAAATCTCACAGAAACTAGCATTGGAGAAAAACGTAAAGGAACTACCAGAAAACATAATACTGAAAGGAGAAAACATAACATGAAAGCAGATTCCAACTAAACATCAGGAAGACCTTTATGACAGTATGAGCTATTAGACAGTGGAACCAGTGTTAGAAACTGAGATATGAAAGCTAGGAGCTAAATGGCACCTTAAACCTAGGTTATGGTTCTTTAGGGTGCATGTGGGTAGAACGGGCTTTAAGTGTGTTTTGAGCAAATGGCTTTTAGGCAGCCCATATTTAGAGCAGACTTCAGCAATGTTAGAAACAGGTATAAATCTAGGAGCTAAATAGCACCTTAAACCTAGGTTATAGGCACAACAACGAAATGTCTAGGTGCGCTTTTTTGTGGCAAGAATACAAAGCTGAAAATGAATGAACCGCAGCTAAAATTCATGTTCACATGGTCTAGTCCTTCCCCTGCCCACCCTCCTAATGTACTTAAGAGGGTCTCTCCTCCAGTCTTCAATAACCTACTATATTCTGTATAAAGTCGTTCCAGATAACATTGTATTCATAGCAACATATGAAGGGACGTGGGTGGCGCTGTGGGTTAAACCAGAGAGCGTAGGGCTTGTCGATCAGAAGGTCGGTGGTTCGAATCCCCGTGACGGGGTGAGCTCCCATTGCTCAGTCCCTGCTCCTGCCAACCTAGCAGTTCGAAAGCACGCCAAAGTGCAAGTAGATAAATAGGTACCGCTCCGGTGGGAAGGTAAACGGCGTTTCCGTGCGCTGCTCTGGTTCGCCTGAAGCGGCTTAGTCATGCTGGCCACATGACCCGGAAGCTGTATGCCAGCTCCCTTGGCCAATAAAGTGAGATGAGTGCCGCAACCCCAGAGTCGGTCACGACTGGACCTAATGATAGCTTCCTTCTTCATTACTTCACTTGAGTTGATGAATCTTTTCAACACTTGACTCCCTCCCTCTTCTATCTCTCTCTGTATGTACATGCATATACACAGAGCAACTTAACTAGACTTTAGACTGCTTTTTTTAGTGTCAGGGAGCAGAAACAGTGGGCAGGAAAATGCCCACTCTTAAACTTTTGACTTAATTTTTCCCCCCCCCCCCCCCCCGCTAAGTTCTATCAGCCTTATGGGTTTTTTTTTTTTTTTGTTTTTCCTACGCTGCCATTTAGTCTTCCTCTTTTTCTCTGCTTGGAGATTAATCGTGCAGGAAATGAGTAAAACCTCCGAGAGCTGCCTGCTACTGCGGTCCATCTACATTAAATGTCTCTAGAATGGCTGCTTTAAAATGGCTGATTAGGTACATGCTGTCGACTTAAGTCTACAGAGGCCGCCACGTGAAAGACCAACTGATATATAACGCAAGGGGATTTACGAGCATGTTAATAATTTAGGAGTTGAGGTATTTGAAATGTTTTTAAATTATTAAGTATGAGGGAAGCATAAAAGAAAGCAGGCCTCCCCATTTATTAATTAATCATACTTTTCCTTCAAGGGAAGTATAATAATTAATGGTCAAGGATGATGGGAATTGTTGACCAGCAATATCTGAGGGGCACAGATTCCCCGCCTCACCTCTAAGCTCTCTAATCAGCAAAAATAGTTTTTAACATCATAGAGCCTTGTAACATTCATAAAATCATAGAATTATGGAGTTGGAAGGGACCCTGAGTGTAATCTAGTCCAACCCCCTGCAATGCAGAAATATGCAGCTGTCCCATATGGGAATTCTCCATTTTTTAAAAAATCAGAGCAATCTACTGATTTTGGTGAGCGTGCCTAATTTTCTTGTCATAATCATAATACCTATTTTTTATCCCGTTCATGAAAGCTCATCTCTGAAAACCTAGAGATGAGGCAATGCATCCTCAGCTTTAAAATACTTTCCCCCCCCCCTCCCGAAATGTATCCTTAAACAATATACCTGAAGGAGTGTCGTTCAGTCCGGACACTGAGGTCCCGCTCCAAGGGCCTTCTGGCGGTTCCCTCATTGTGAGAAGTGAGGTCACAGGGAACCAGGCAGAGGGCCTTCTCAGTAGTGGCACCCGCCCTGTGGAACGCCCTCCCATCAGATGTCAAGGAAATAAACAACTACCTGACTTTTAGAAGACATCTCAAGGCAGCCCTGTTTAGGAAAGTTTTAATGTCTGATATTTTATTGTGTTTTTAATATCCTGTTGGAAGACGCCCAGAGTGGCTGGAGAGGCCCAGCCAGATGGGCGGGGTATAAGTAATAAATTATTATTATTATTATTATTATTATTATTATTATTATTATTATTCTAGTTGGTGGGTAATCTTCATTCTGTATCAAGTTGTTCAGTCTTGCTAAAAAAATCACACAGAGATCCTAACCCTTATTTGCTTCTGGCAGTTAAATAAGAAGCCTCTTATTGTTCTGACTGAAATGGTTAAGCCTGAGAAAAGAACTAATATAGCTAAGGTTTTTTAAAATTTATTTTAAAGGCAAGAATTGGTTGGCTGTATGACACAGAACTCCACAGGCCACTGCAGCTGTGGAAAAAGAAGAAGCTGTTGAACAGGATGATTGTGGTTTGCTGTGAGAACTTAATTTTCCTGTTGACCATTTTTGAACAGGAAGTTGAACAAATTTTAGTTTAACGTGCTACAGATTCTGATCTTTAGGTGTAAAATGCTCACAGGGAGAATAGTATCTGTTTTGCTGCAGTGATGAGCGTTGCAACGTGCACAACTCTGGAGTAGTTCGGAAATTCGGCCGATGGTTACGTGACCTAAGTATATATTTTTAGATTATTATTGTCATTGACCTTTTGAAGCTGTAGTTAGAAAAAGTGTTTTTTAAATCCTGAAAGCAGATTCCCCCCTCCCCTTCTTCTATTGTTGTAGTAGTCAATCTTTAAAGTGTTTCTGTAATTGTTTTCTTTCTTCATCGGGTGAGAGAGTGAGGGAGAATGGATGGCAAAGCTATTGGGACAGATAATATGAAATTATATTAGCTGGAAGTGACCGCAGGTAATGTTGTGTCCTCTCCCCACCTCTCAAAAAAATTAAACCTTCTCAAGCATTTACTTCCAGAGAAGTAAATCTTGGGATCTTAAAATTCCTCTGGACACAGAGTGGGGGTGGAGCACTATAGGAAGCACAAAATCTTTAGTTGGAGCAGGGAAGAAGTGATTCAGTTGTTTCCAGTACCACCCTTCCAAAATAACTGAGTGCAAAAACACATTGGTACAGTATTTGAGGGCCCCCCCATTGAATTTTTCCTCTCCTGCCGCACCCCAAAGTAATGAGCGATCACGGTTGCTGTTACCTAGAGCATGTTTTATTTACAGTGGTACCTCGGGTTAAGTACTTAATTCGTTCCGGAGGTCCGTTCTTAACCTGAAACTGTTCTTAACCTGAAGCACCACTTTAGCTAATAGGGCCTCCCGCTGCTGCCGCACCGCCGGAGCCCGATTTCTGTTCTCATCCTGAAGCAAAGTTCTTAACCTGAGGTACTGTTTCTGGGTTAGCGGAGTCTGTAACATGAAGCATATGTAACCTGAAGCGTATGTAACCCGAGGTACCACTGTATTCTTCCTGGCTTTCTGCTTCTGAGGTTGCAATACTAAAGCATGTATATTTTGAATAAAAGAGGTGACTTTCTCCACAAATGCTCTTTCCTCACTTTCTGCCACTCTTCCGGCAGGCTAAGTACCAATACCCCCCTCCCCTTTTTAGCCCCCCTTATTTTATTCATTAATTTATTCATTTTCTATCTCACCCTTCTTCTAAGGAACTCAGGGTGGTATACACAGTGATCTTTTCTATGAATTTTAGTCTCCTGACAACCCTGTCAGGTGCATACATTTGGCAGAGAGATAGAATTGTAGTGTTGCAAGGGACCCCTGAGGGTAATCTATTCCAACCCCCTGAAATGCAGGATTCTTTTGTCCGATGTGAAGCTCAAACCCACGACCCTAAGATGAAGAATCTCCATTCTTTATTTAAGTTCTTCTGCCCTGTTCCTTATAGCCCTACTTGCTTGATTTGACAAAATATCAGCTCTTCAGTCATTCTCCTGAGGTCCAAGGCTATAATAGCATCATAATTTTAATTATTTGGAAGGGCCTTTTCTCCTTAAAAAGCTGTGTACCACCCAAGAGGGTGGTGTGTCTGTTGCTTAAAACTTTGAGGTTATTTCAGTTGTTGCGGTTCAGATTTGTCATTATCTATACATTTACTAATGTGTAAGGAGGGGACTGCCCCTCAGCAGAGCATTTCTGAGAAGTTACAAAATGGTGTTTTTTCCCCCTTGACAGGTTTCACAGTGATAGAAGAACGTTTTAGGTTTAAACCATGCCTGTCCCTCCTCCTCCAGCTCCTCCCCCTCCCCCAACACTTGCCTTGGTAAGTCTCAACTTTTTTATTTTAAAATTTTTATGGGGATAAACAACCACTATCTATTGTATGGATCAATGAAAATGAAGCCAAGGTCTTGGCCAGTGTGTTATAGTGGTTAGAGAGTTGGACTAAGACTCGGGAGACCAAGGTTCTAATCCTCAGTCATCCTTGGTGTCTGAACCTGAACTATAAACCATAAAATTAAAAACTGATGAATCCATATAGGAATTGAACTGATTTTTAAAATATTTTAATAGGTTGACTCCTTAGTTGTAATCTGCATCCTCGGGAGTTATTATGATGTGCACAACATTTAGGAAAAGGAGTAGGAATCTAGTGCAGGAATGTTGCACGTGATTTTACACTTGGGGAAAACATGCTTATTTAGTGGAATTCTGAAGAGGCGTGAGTCAACTTCTGGAACATCTGGAGAAATTTGAGCTGTTTCATGTTGCTCATACAAAATATTTTCTTTTTCTATTAAACTTTTTTTTAAAAAAAAGATGTGTGTGCTTCTGCTAACAAAAGATAATTCAAAACTTTATAGCAATCATGGCAGATTTTAAATATGGAGCCTGTAAAATTGGAATAGCTCTTTGATCAGAATTCTTTAAGCACTTTTAATAAAAAGCATTAAAAGAAACTTTTATTCCCTTCGAAATATACCCAGGAAATCCTGTGTTTGGATATTGGAAGTGTTCGCCTCTATCTGGAAAATGACTCTCTTTGTGCAAACGAACTGTGTGTCAAATCAAATCAAATTTATTAAACGGTCACAGACCAGATTAACTCGTACAGCTAGTCAGCGAAGCATAACACCGGAAAAAACAAAGGACAATTTCAATACATAACTGCAATTTAAAATTAGACAGCATAAATAAAAATTAAGTATTTGCCTTCGCCTGCGTAATGCCATTGGAAAGCTCTTGTTTCCTGCGCCTAATAGCGGCTACACAAAATTTGGCCACATTGATCGTAATTTCAGAAACCTTATCTTCTACCAAGGCTCTCATACGTTGGAGTTCTGGTTCATTTTTAAGCTTTTGTAGAACTGGGGCAATAAAGGTCAAACGTAGATCCTCATAGTAACTACAGTGCAGCAATACATGCAGACTTGTTTCCACTTCCGATGAGCCACACGGGCAAACACGTGACTCATATGGTTTGCCCTCATATCTGCCTAGCAGCAGGGCAGAGGGCAGAACGTTAAATCTGGCCAGGGTAAAGGAGTGTCTGTACTTAGGTATTTGTAAATCAGCCAAATAATTTGCGGGTGAGAACCCTCTCCCAAAGTCTCTAATTATGGCATGTTTATCCATTTTGCCCATATGACATTGCAGCTCTATGTCAGCCCTGAATGTCTGTTTCGTGTTTTTTTTTTTTTTTTTTTTTTTAAAAACTTGTTCATAATTAAGTCAGTATTTAAGAAGAGACACTTTTAAGTTTGCTGTCTTGGAACTGTGTGTCTGTTTCCAAGACAGCAAACTTAAAAGTGTCTCTTCTTAAATACTGACTTAATTATGAACAAGTTTTTTTAAAAAAACACACGAAACAGACATTCAGGGCTGCTATACACTTTGCATCCACAGATGTATGTCTGAAAGTCCCAGCTTATCACTGGTTCTTGGTGTTTAACACATGTTTAGGGGTGCACCCCTGCCCTTCACACACTGACCTGTTTCACACAGGATGAAAGGGGTGGTGACAGTAACATCAGTCCCACTGCATGCCTTGACCTTGGCATTTGCTGCACGTTTGCCAGGTGCTGACATCGGACCAGAGCCATTCTCACATATTATGTTGGGGTAGTGAAGTCCAGCAGTGACTGTCCCAGCTAATTGTCACAGAATCAGCAGTGGTATGCATAACTGCATCCATGTTTGGGAAAGGTTTGTGGCTCGGTCATACAGTATCTGCTTTCAGTCCCTAGGATCTCGTTGTCTAGGACTCAGGCCCTTCAGAATTTAACCTCCTTCTGTCCGGCCTGTAAGACAGAGCTATTTCGCCTGGCCTTTAATTTGAATTCAGCCTGATCTTTTATTTCCCTTCTCTTCCCTCCCCCTCCCCTTTTATGAAGATCACCCTCTCTGAGACCCCACAGCTAATTCTCCCCTGGCCTCCTCGCTGGCCCAAGTAGGACCAATTCAGCCAGCTAGCCCTGAGGATTATCTAATGCTTATTTCCCCTAAATTGATTTTTGAATTTTATTGTTATTCATGTTTTTATACTGTATTTTATGCTGCTTTTATAATTGTTTTAAATTTGTTGTTAGCCGCCCTGAGCCCGGTTTTTGAACTGGGAAGGGTGGGGTATAAATAAAAATATTATTATTTATTATTATTTATTATTGTCCTGTAGAGCAGCTGCCAATCAGAGTAGATGAATCATAGCATTGTAGAGTTGGAAGGGAGCATGAGGGCCATCTCGTCCAACCCCCTGCAATGCAGGAATATTTTACCCAGTGTGGGACTCGAACCCACAACCCTGAGATTAAGGGTGGGGGTGGACTTGTTGACCCTTGGAGTCCCTTCCAGCTCTGTGATTCTATGCTGTACTGACTGGTGTGGCTCTGTATAAGGCCAGTTCCTGTTGGTAGAAAAATGAAACACAACTGGGTCTGGAGGGATGCTGTACCTGAAGGAAAATGGCTGCTTTTCTTAAAAAAATAATAATTAAATAGTCATGCCCTACCTTTCTTTCTGAACCAGACTGACATACAGCTGTCAATTAAGGGGGGGAAACATGTTGGGAAAGGTGATTGCACAAACATTTAAGGAGTCATCCATGTGGAAAGAAGTACAAAAACGATAATGTTACAAACAATTGGTTTTGTATCTTCTGCCCCATTTAGGCATTTTGTATTTAAACCATATAACATATGCCCACCATATGATATTGTGAACACCAGAAATGGTGGGGTGGGGCAGAGCTGCTCTGCTACCTTCCCGACAGATGGGTGGCTGTTGCATATTGGGGAGGGAGAGAGAGGACAGGCCAGGAGGGAGGTTGGCATGGTGTAAACGCACCGGCAGAGCCAATTCGGCACTGCTGGTGGTCTCATTTGGTATTCAAACAGCTATCTATCCGATTTGCAAAAAAATAGTTGGGTAACTATTGGCTCTGAGGTGTAAAAGAAAGGTGATTCCTACACCATGCATCATTGTGACTTAAATGCATCTTTCCTTGTTCTGCTTCATAACTAGTATCGTTCCTTTGCAGGCGAATACAGAAAAGCCGAGCTTAAACAGATCAGAGCAAGCAGGGCGAAACGCTCTTCTCTCCGATATTACCAAAGGGAAGAAACTTAAGAAGGCTCTTACCAATGACAGGAGTGCCCCAGTCTTCGATAGTAAGTGTACTTCTGTGTCTTTCAGTGGGTTAACCGTGCAGAATACTTACTACACCACTAGCCAGACGTCTTGAAGCTGTGAAATGCGTAGGGTTTTCCTCTGTGGTTCTGAATGTATGCATGTAAAGGCTGCGTACACCTGGCAATTTAAAGTGGATTTGATGCATCCCATGTGTGCATATTTCTTGCGTTGTCTATATAACATTGTCCTCATCCACGTGGTAGTCTGCACTTTCCCTTCATTTCCTGGTTTTTCTGATCCATGGATAATGTGAGGGCGAAAAATCCATCCTAATATTTCAAATGGGTGTACAGTACTAAGGTGTGAGCAGGGTTATGTCTGGAGTTGTTTTACTGGGGTGGCATCTATACTGTCTGCTTCTGTTGGCTAGATGCTTTTAGGACCAGGCATGATACTCTAGAAACAAACAAACAAACAAACAAACACACACACACACACACACACACACACACACACACACACACACCCTACTGTTTTCTGAAAGTCTGGTATACTGGAAAATATGTGTTTCAATTTTTATTTTTAAGAAAACGACCACATTGTACAGGTAAATAAATACCTGTGTGCATGCCCACAATGGACCTCAGGTTTCTGGAATGCAGGGTGTGTGAGGAAGTACCGTATTTTTCGCTCTATAAGACGCACCAGACCATAAGACGCACCTAGTTTTTGGAGGAGGAAAACAAGAAAAAAAATATTCTGAATCCCAGAATCCAGAACAGCAAGAGGGATTGCTGCGCAGCGAAAGCAGCGATCCCTCTTGCTGTTCTGGCTTGTGGGATAGCTGCGCAGCCTGCATTCACTCCATAAGACCCACACACATTTCCCCTTACTTTTTAGGAGGGAAAAAGTGAGTTTTATAGAGCAAAAAAAAAATGGTACTAATTTGGGGGCGTGTCCAACAGCACACAGGTGAGAAAATGTGGATGGGAAATATTCAGAGTTCAATGGAAAGCACTCATGTATGCACAAAAGTGCATGCAGAAAAACCAGGTCCGTGTGATCCACATTTGCACTGCCACTCTGTTATGTACATAGCCCAAAACTTGAATGGTCTTGAGTTATCCTAGACCAGGGCTGGGGAACCACTGGCCCTCCAGATATTGTTGGACTCCAACTCCCATCAGCCCCAGCTGCTCCTTGGGGCATGATCAGTCACTGTTTTATTTAAAGCAGGTACCAATAACCTACAGATCCTGTTAGGCTGTGAAGACCTTTCTTCATTCTCCCAGACTTTTCACAAAGTGTTTTGTTTTTTAAGTTCCTTGCATTTTTTAAATCTGCTTTTTCCCTCTGTTGCTATTCCGGGTTTTAATAGCACCATCTTTATTCTGCTTTAGATTTTAGGTATCGATCTGTTTTACAGTTTTAACCTTGATTGCAAATCACCCCTAAGTTCTTGGGTAGTATGGATGGGTAGAACAATCAACCATTTCACGTGGGGGTTCCGTTCCCGCCCCCCCCACGCATGTCGGTGGGATGCCCCGCCCTGTTACGCTGTGCACCACCCATTTACGGGTCACTTCCTGGTTCAACAAGGTGCACACATGCCTGATCGTAGGCCCTCCCTTCGTATGCATGTCAGTTGGTCATTGCTTGTACGTACATTTTTTAAAAATACAGTGGTACCTCGGGTTAAGTACTTAATTCATTCCGGAGGTCCGTTCTTAACCTGAAACTGTTCTTAACCTGAAGCACCACTTTAGCTAATGGGGACTCCCGCTGCCGCCGGAGCACGATTTATGTTCTCATCCTGAAGCAAAGTTCTTAACCCGAGGTACTATTTCTGGGTTAGCAGAGTCTGTAACCTGAAGCGTATGTAACCTAAAGCGTATGTAACCCGAGGTACCACTGTAATAAGAATAATTATGGTGTTTAAATGCTCTCCCTCCCTTCCCATGCTGTCTCTGCAGAACCTAAAGGGTCTGGTGGTGGAGGTGGCTTCACGAGCAGCAGCAGCAGCAGCGGTGGTGGTGGCGGCGGTGGCGGCAGCTATGGTGGAGGAGGACCACCTGGTTTAGGAGGTCTGTTCCAGGCAGGGATGCCCAAACTCCGATCTGCAAACAGGGATAACGGTAAGCCGGGGAATACATTCAGTGGCGCACAGAATATTGCACTTGGCATCCTTGCTTACCCAACGCGAGGAAAGGCCAAATATGAATACAACAAATCCATCCTGGGTGCTTCCTCTCTCTCTCTCTCTCTCTCTCTCTCTCACTTACACACACACACACACACACACACACACACACACACAGGAACAGCAGAGCTATTGACTGACTGGCTTTCTTGGTGCCAAGCAGGCCAGAATGGAGGTTTCATTTGATAATGCCTTCTCAGGAATGAGTGCTGCTTGTTACATGATGCATAGAACCATTTCTCACCTGAAATCCAGGCTCTCTTCACTGCCCCTGAACCCCCTTTTCCACTCGTCCCAATCTGCCACCTTTTCCGTTCTTCTCTCCCCTTCCTTCCAAATAAGTATGGAAACTGCGTGCAGCATCACTTTCCAGTGTGAACACAGCAGCCAAGTAAACTGCAAAGCACCTGCCTTTTATGCCAAGACCCACAAACAGATCTTCTTTTTCTCCTTGCCTACTCGGTGGTCTGCCTCCCTACCTTGAAAGCTGTATCATAGGCAAATACTTCTTTCTGCCCTCCCTCCTACAGCTCTAGCTTATTTTATTCTTTATCACATTTGCATCTTGCCCTTGATTCATGCAGCTTGGGGGTTTAGGTGTGAGGGCACCTTATTTTAATCTCATAGCAATTCTGGGAAGTTAGATTCAGCTGACTTGCTATTATTAATTAAATTGGTATACCACCCTATACCCACACTCTCACGGCAGTTCACAAGATAAAATCACAATAGAAAAACACAAAATACTGTACATAATAAAAACAAAAAGAACCCAATAATCCCCCCTCCCCAAAACATTTGGAGTCACCCAGTCCTGGGCGTAGCCAGGATTTTTGTTGGCGGGACAAGATTTTTGTGGGCGGGGTGGGGGGGCAGAACTGAGCCATCTGCAACGTGATGGTCAGTTAGTTAAGTGCTGTTATTTATTTACTTAATGGGCGGCAGCTGCCCCTCCCTGCCCCCCCCCAGCTACGCCCATGCACCTAGTATAGGCATAGGCAAACTCCGGCCCTCCAGATGTTTGGGACTACAATTCCCATCATCCCTGACCACTGGTCCTATTAGCTAGGGATGATGGGAATTGTAGTCCCAAACATCTGAAGGGCCGGAGTTTGCCTATGCCTGACCTAGTAAGTTGCATGACGGAGCAGAGGTTTGAACTCTGCTTCCCTCAGTGTTACTTAAGCCACTAGACCGATTGCTTCTCCAGTATAGACTGACTTAGATAGATTATGAATAGCATATATTATTGGTAACATGCTATTAACCCATGTCTGTGACAGAAAGGGAGAATGTGTGTTTGGCAATGCTGGCATTAAATACATCCATTTTGTCTCTGTTTGTACGACTGGTTTATCTAGCGCAGCAATATTTTTATTATATTTATTTAAAACATGGCTATACCACCCATCATGGGAAAAAGAGAGTTTTCCCAGGATGGCTTACAATTAAATGCAAAATGCAAAACGATGCCGGCAAAAATAAATCACCTTACAGAGCAGAGAGGCTTCCAAAAGGAATAACAGTATGCATTCTGCACTGTGAAATAAAGTTTCCTTGATTCATGGTTGCATTTATGGGTCAGGGAACAAGCTGGAGTGGCTGAGGCAGGTCAGATTTGTACTTTCCTGATTGCAGGCGTCTCCCATAAGGCTTGGATGTAGCGGTGCTGTTAAAAGTGCATGAGGAGGTCTTTCAGCCTGTGTTTGATACAACACAGTCTTTCAGAGCTGGTATTATCTGTTGTGTCACAGGCTATTTATGGCTCTCCTCTTAATCTCAGGGCACTTAACAAGCCCGAGTTTTTCTGTGAGACTGCCTCTTCTAGACAAATGCAAGTAACCGGACAGAAGAGAAATTCCTTCTGCCAGCCCAAATATACATAAATTGCATTGAGCCAGAGCTGTATTTGCAGGGCTGTCGGTCAAGTAGGGAATATACCATCGAGGATCCATTGCTTCCCGAACAGCATGAAGAAAATGGAGCATGCTTTGCATATGCGCTGACAGCGGCCGTCCTCTGTTGGATTTTTTATTTTTTGAAGAGATCTGTAGTCCTTCAGCCTTCCTTGGATGCTACCGTCCACGTTGCAGTAAACGTTTGCATATATCGGCGGCTATACGTAGGGGGCTCAAAATCCATCCTTTTCCGTGTGGTTTCGGTTCTGTATGACAAACTGATTTCTTTACATTCTCAGATTCTCCAGGAAGCAGGGCTCCAGTGTTCCCACCGGGAGGAAAAGCGACGTCGGCAAAGCCCTTTTCACTCCCAGGTGGTGCAGGGCGGTTTGCAGGCCCTTCTCCCGGGCAAAGAACTGCCGTTCCAGAGCCACAGAGGAGCCGAATGCCTCCACCGAGACCTGACCCTGGTTCCAGGGCCGATATGGGTGCTCCTCCCGTGCCAAATACTCCAAGACCTGTCCCATCAACGCTGTACAATCGAGGACCCCCTCCCGTGCCGGGAGCCAGCAGGCAAGTCAGCTTAGGCCTCACACCTCCGCCTTTCCCCGGAAATCGATTCGGAGGGTCCCTCCGCCAGTCGTCGCAAGGGGGTCATCCTCCTCCTTTCGCAAACAGGCCTCCTCTTCCTCCGGCCCCAGGCAGGCCGACAGAAGACAAGCCTCCGCCGCCGCCGCCCCCAGCAGGAAGCAGGCCACCTCTCAACCGGGAAGCTTCCTTGCCACCACCTCCTCCACCTCAAAACAACAGGCCTCCGGTTCCTTCCACGCCTCGGCCATCCTTTGGCTCTCCGGTCCCTCCTCCGCCTCCTCCAAGCAGGCCAGGCCCACCTCTGGTTCCACCGACGTCCGGCGGAAACGATGAGATGCCGCGGCTTCCGCAGAGGAATATATCGCTAGCGTGTCCTTCTCCGCCGAGCCTGCCTGGTTCCTGTCGCTCTGGACCTCTCCCTCCGCCACCAGGCGAGAGGCCGCCACCTCCCGTCAGAGACCCGCCTAGCAGATCAGGTGAGGCTCCCTGTGTTCTTCCACCGACGACGCGAATGCCATAACACATACAGTCATACCGCATGTTACATTCTTTCAGGATACGTCCTGCAGCGACCCGGAAGTACCAGAAAGGGTTACTTCCGGGTTCGCCGCTCGCGCATGCGCAGACGCGCAAAATGATGCCACACGCATGGGCAGAAGCGGCGAATCGCAACCCACACATGCACAGACGCGGGTTGGGTTCTTTTCATGTTGCGAATGGGCCTCCGGAATGGATCCCGTTCGCAACCAGAGGTACCACTGTAATGCAAGCATTGGGGTGAAGTGAGAGGGGGACGTAATAGCAGTGTATAAAATTTAGCACGGCGGTGTGTGAAATTTTGTGTGTTGTGTAGCTAGAGAATTTTCCATGGATCTTCCAAATTGCTGTTAAGATACCCTTTGCTTCAAGCGAGAAGTTAGAAAGCTAATACAGAAAGACAGCAAATACCTCCTATCTGCTTACAGATAAATGGTCTCTTGTTCCTTCTGTGTAGGATGTTCTCGAGTATGTCTCTGGTATGTTCTATGGTGTGAGTCATACCTTTCAGAATAAGAAAGGGCAATGGGCCCGTTTCGAAATGGGGTGTGTGTGTGGAATGCCGCTGCTGATTGCTTCCAGTATACCTGAAGGAGCGTCTCCACCCCCATTGTTCAGCCCAGACACTGAGGTCAGATGTCAAGGAAATAAACAACTGTCTGACTTTTAGAAGACATCTGAAGGCAGCCCTGTTTAGGGAAGTTTTTAATGTTTGATGTTTTTTCACATTTTTAATGTTCTGTTGGGAGCCGCCCAGAGTGGCTGGGGAACCCCAGCTAGGTATGAATTATTACAGTGGTACCTTGGGTTAAGAACTTAATTCGTTCCGGAGGTCCGTTCTTAACCTGAAACTGTTCTTAACCTGAAGCACCACTTTAGCTAATGGGGCCTCCTACTGCCGCTGAGCCGCCCCTGCACGATTTTTGTTCTCATCCTGAAGCAAAGTTCTTAACCCGAGGTAATATTTCTAGGTTAGCGGAGTCTGTAACCTGAAGCGTATGTAAGCTGAAGCATATGTAACCTGAGGTACCACTGTATTAGTAGTAGTAGTAGTAGTAACCCGAGGTACCGCTGTATTATTATTATTATTATTATTATTATTATTATTATTATTATTCCTTTGTTCTTTCATATCCAGGACCCCTTCCTCCACCTCCGCCGCCAATAAGCAGAAACGGTAGCACTTCACGGGCCTTGCCAGCTACCCCACAGCTTCCTTCCAGAGGCGGGCTTGATAAGCACAGAGGCGGACCACTTCCTCCTCCACTTCCTCCCGACAGGCCTGCTTCTGGAGCGCCTCCCCCACCGCCACCACCTTCGTCCGCCATGCGAAATGGCTTCCAGGATTCTTCATGCGATGGTATGTGTGGCAATCACCCTGCAATCCCAATGCGCGGAGCGGGATTGCGTGCGCCCAGCGACTTCTGTGAATTAAGCAGAACATCTGCAAGAATCCTTGCGTGCACAGTTGTGCCTGGGGAGGGTTTTTCTCTCCGTCTGGGTGGAACCCAGGGTTTCCTTCAGAGAGGGAGAGAACTCCATCCAGTCACGTGGGAGACAGCTCTCCTCTGCTGTACACGGAATAATTTGCAATTTTGCTCTTCTGCCCTCTTGATATGCTCTTTCACAGTGCGTTGGTTTTTTTTTGGTAAGTAAAAGAGGTGTCGGCACTCATCATGAAGTTGTTAACAGCAAGTGCCGCACTTTTAACATTTGGTGGAATATGGTGCCAGTATCCCTAGAAAACAATAACTTCTTCCAACCCCTACATGTCTGGTTATTTTCAAAAACTTAGAAAAAGTGGAGTTACCCAATTTACCAGAAATTAACTGCATAAACACTGTAATATTGTGGGCATGGGCATAGACGGGGGGGGGGGCAGGGGAGCAGCTGCCCCCCAATCCTCAAAAAGCATTAAAAATACTTAAGAAACTGAGGTTCTGCCCCCCATGTCCTATCTTTGGGAGGATTTTTACGTTTTTAAAATTATTATTATTAGTAGTAGTAGTAGTAGTAGTAGTAGTAGTATATTTTGGCAAAGTAATAATCATATATAAATAAGAATAAAATTTTGCATCCCACCACCAAGTCCATTCCATTGTATCTATACAACCTCCCAAGATTTTTACATGTTAAAGGAAATGTCCGTGATCTCCCAAAAATCAAGCTCAGCAACTTTTTGAGACGTTCTTGCAGGGGGTGGGGTGGGTGGGGAGCTCAACGACTGTTTAATGCTTCAGTGCAAACGTTTTATAATTTGCTACCAAAATTGAGGTAGTTCTTAATTATTAGAATGGAGCAGACCAGTTCCTGTGCCAGTTAAAAAATCATAAATCATTTGTAATGCTGTTTTTACTCAAGTACCTACCTTTTGAAGAGGACTTCGTTAACTGCAAGGATTTTAAGGAGCCCTTCCCACACGCTTGCGAGTGATGACATTTTGATAACACCAACACTGCAAGAATGTTGTTTGGGTCCCAGGTATTGTAGAATGATACTAGGGGTGTGCGCCAAATTGGGATGAATCCTGAGGTCAAGTGGGATGTCTTGGCTTGTCAGAAGTGAAGCGGGATTTGTGTGAGGTAGCACAAATCAAATCGGATGCCCCTGGAAAACTCCCATCTTTTAGTTGGGTAGGGTAGAATGCGTGTGTCCTTTTTGCGTTAATGCAGATGAGCACTTTTAGTTAGTAATGCTTTTTTCCCTATCTTTTTTATTTGGTGTTGCATTATTATTATTATTTACCGATTAAATTTGTATGCCACCCTATACCCACGGGGCTTCAGAGCAGTTCGCAGGATAAAATTACAATATAAAAACACAAAATACATAATGAAAAACAAAAACAACCCAATAACCAGCCCCCCAGCACATTTCAAAGGGGCATTGGCTGACAATCAACCAAAGGTCTTCTTAAAGAGGGGTATTTTCGCCTAGCAACCAAAAAATGTATATCGAAGGCACCAGGCAAACCTCCCTGCAGAGAGCATTGCACAAATGGGGAGCCACTGCAGAAAAGGCCTGTATCCTTCAGGGCCACTGCACTGGGATGAGATTTGGAGGCCTGCTTTACAGTGGCTCGGGTCCAAAATGTGGTGATTGTGGTGGACTCAGGTTCAATGCTTGGCTGTTGGCCTGTAGTGTCCCTCAAGGTTCTGTCCTGTCCCTCCCCACCCCCGCTCTTCTAAGAAAGGTTGACCTGAATTTTGGGGTTCAGTGACCCCAGTATGTGTATGACACCCAGCTCCCTCTCTCCTTTCCATCTAAATCTGAGGAAGCTTTCTCAGTGCTATTTCAGTGTCTGGTGTCAGTAACAGACTGGATGAAATTAAAACTTAATCCCGGCAAGACAGAAGTGTGTTCCTGGTCAGTCAAAAGGCACAGGTCAGGAAATAGAGATTCAACCCCATGCTGCTTAGGATTGCACTCCCCTGAAAACACAGGTGCGCAACTAAGGTGTGCTGGATTCAGCCCTGAGCCTCGATGCCCAGGTTTTGGCGGTTGCCCATGTATAATATGACATTGCAGAAAGTTCTACAAAGCCTGTTATTGTTGTGTTTTCTCCAGATGAGTGGGAGAGCAGATTTTCCTTCCATCCTATGTCTGACCTGCCACCTCCAGAGCCGTATGTGCCAATGAACAAAAGCTACCCCAGTAAACTAGCAAGGAATGACAACAGAAGTAAGTATTCTTTCACGAGGTGCTTGGTAGCAGAGCATTTGGGGAGCGATCACGGAGGTTATATAAAAAGGGCTTTGAGCACTCAGAAATGACTACGTACGTGTGAAAGATCGTTCATGTTATTAAATGACACACCTAAATTGCACAAGTGACCATGTGGGGTACTAATAGACCCTGAATTTAATGGCTTTGGACTGTATTTAGTTGTGTCGTTCCACTCATGGAAGGCTCTCTGATCTAGAAGAGGCTTCCATGAACAGAAGGGAAACCGGGGCAACTTTAGTCAGTTTTCCCTCTGAAAACATCTCCCTTTCCCAAATCTGTACTAGCTTGCAGTGCTGAGAGGAGGCCTTAAACATGAGTCCCAGTTTGGATAATGTTGTTGTTTAGTCGTGTCCGACTCTTCGTGACCCCATGGACCAGAGCACGCCAGGCACTCCTGTCTTCCACTGCCTCCTGCAGTTTGCTCAAACTCATGCTGGTAGCTTCCAGAACATTATCCAACCATCTCGTCCTCTGTCGTTCCCTTCTCCTTGTGCCCTCCATCTTTCCCAACATCAGGGTCTTTTCCAGGGAGATTTCTCTTCTCATGAGGTGGCCAAAGTATTGGAGCCTCAGCTTCAGGATCTGTCCTTCCAGTGAGCACTCAGGGCTGATTTCCTTCAGAATGGATAGGTTTGATCTTCTTGCAGTCCATGGGACTCTCAAGAGTCTCCTCCAGCACCATAATTCAAAAGCATCAATTCTTCGCTGATCAGCCTTCTTTATGGTCCAGCTCTCACTTCCATACATCACTGCTGGGAAAACCATAGCTTTAACTATACAGACCTTTCTTGGCAAGGTGATGTCTCTGCTTTCTGCTTTTGGATAATACGCTAAGTCAAACCATGGTTTATCTTAGCATGGTAGCAAAAAGGACTGGGGAGGGCCAAAATGGCTGTGAGCTTCTCCTCTCCAGGAGTCCACCAGTTTGCATGGCCTTGCTAAGCCATGTGGCTTAGCATGTGGTGTGAGCCAGGCCATGTGCAGTTTACATTTTTCATTAAAATTAGGTTGGAATAGATACAGTGGACGCTTGGGTTGCGAACGTGATCTGTGTGGGATGCACGTTCACTACCCGCAGCGTTCACAACCCGCAGCTGCGCGTCTGTACATACTGCGATTCGACACTTCTGCGCAAAGTGCGATTTAGCGCTTCTGCGCATGCGCAACTGCCGAAACCTGGAAGTAACCTGTTCCGGTACTTCCAGGTTTCGGCGGCCCGTAACCAAAAAAAAAGGCAACCTGAAGCGTCTGTAACCCGAGGTATGACTGTAGTGGATTTTCTTAGACTTGAAAACAGTACCAAAAATAAATAAATATTGTTTCTCATTCATGCAGGTGTTCTCTCTTTCTTGCCATTTTTTTCCTTTTTGCAAGTTTTTGCGGTGCTTGAAAACCCTTGAAAACCCACCTGACCAGCAATGTGTCTTTTAAAAATGAACGCCCGCATCTTTGGGCAATGATACGAGTGCCATACTATTATCAGTTTGAAATAAACAACTCCCCCCGCCCCCCATGTATATTTGAACAATGTTGTAGGCTAGCTAGCCACACGTTTGTAACACCTACATGTAATTACGACATAAAATATTTTTGTATTGTTCATATCCATCCATCCAATACTAGTTCAATGAATAACAGAAGAGTTTTTAAAAAATTGAACGGGGATGTTTTAACTGAATATCTTGAGCATAAGAATAAAAAAATAAGGTGAAATCTCTTTTCTTTTGCCTTTTAGGTGGATCCAGTCGTAGAGAACGAGGTGCTCCGCCACTTCCACCTATTCCAAGGTGAAGTGGGGCTGTTGACCTCTTTGGGGATGTGACTGCTTTTCTGAAATTTCCCTTGAACCCAGCAGTCTTGTCAAAAGGTTTCCTTTCATGCCGCACTTTTTTGGGGGGGCTGGGGAATCCCACTCTCGGTATCATTTTCAGATCAAGCTGTCAGAATCCTGCTCAGGTTATTCCTGCCGATTTCCACCTTGGTTCTACAAATCAAAGATTTTGTGAACTGTAATCCAAATCCCCATTGATGGGGATTTTCAGTTACTTTGAAATTAATGGGGACTTGCTTCCAATAAGGTGCTTAGTATTGGGGGAGTGGTATGTTATTATTACTATTGTTACCTTGAAAACTGTCTTGCAAAGCATAGTGGGGACTGTATAGATCACATTTTGGAGCTCAGTCCAAGTCTTGCCAGTACCATCAAAAAGAACCAAGACTTTCAGCTTGTCTTGTAGTGTGGGACAATAACATTTTACAAAATTCAAGTCTCTGTTACATTAACCTGAAACATAGCTTCCTTGACAACCTTCTGTATTTCTTTCCATGATAAAGATGATTCGTAGCACTTTCTCTCCCCCCCCCCCCAAAAAAATTGCAGTCTTGTCTGAGATTACTGATCAAATTGATCAAATTAGTTTGACGATTAGAGGTAGGGGGAAAGAACTACATGGCACAACTTTTAATACATTCCATCTCTGGAAAGAGTTGGGATTCATTGTATGTGACATTCTTACTCTCTCTCAGGCAATCTGCGAAAACTTTAATGAATTGTAGCCCTTCAGAGACCAAAAGAATGTTGCACTGTGTTTGCCAAAGCATCAGTAGCAACTTTTAACAAATCCACCGAAAATGCCTATGTCACAATTCAGGGCAGTACGTGCACGGAAGCAGGCTTCCAAGCATGTAAATCTAGCTGGAGGGAGGGAGGTGTCTACAACCAAATACTGTGTACACAGATCCTCCCTCCTGTCTCAGAGGCAGGGACCGTTTGCTCAGACATCTCCATTTTCTTTATTAAAAAAACAAACAAACAGCTAAGATCTTGCAGGTGGACTTTTCAGCATTGGAAACTGGGGTGTCTTCTAGCCAAACAGCTGGATTGGTGGAGTTTCATATTTTGGAAGAAGAAGAAAAAAGAATTTGGGGCTTGCGGGTGCTACAAAACAACAAGATTCAAGATGTCATTGTCATCTTGGAAGTTAAGCTCTTCTTTTGCTAACAGTCATGCTGTTGGGCTTTTCCTCTGGGGTGAGTTTTACCCCATGGTTTCTGAATTGGTGGTTCTGCAAAACAAATCGTTGTAAAGCTCTCTACTTTGAACTATGCAAGGCAAATATTCAAAGTTAGTGTATATAAGCAACAATAGATGCTAATAAGACTCTTTTTGTGGCTTTCTGCTAACACCTCTGCCCTGAGCTTCCATTTCTTTCATGGTACCATTGGAACAGTTCTTAGCTATGAACAGATTTTTTTACTTGGCTCCTGTGTGCTGAAGACACGCCCCTCTCCTTTGATGTGGCAGCTGTTAATCAAGCATCCAGCTGCAAGCAGGAAGTGTCCGCAAGAGACATTTGGTTGACCTGTTACAAGCTCTTTCCTTTCCACGAGGTGCAAAACAGCGGGACAGCATTTTAAAGTTACGGCTTTGTTGCAAAATTTCATTACTTTTCGCAGGAATTTTCTTGTCATTCTGACAGTTGATAAGTGCATTTACTCTTTCACAACCGATTCACCTTTACACACATGAGAGAAATGTGGTCCTTAATTGGAACATGATTGAGAATGGAATGACTATTTATGGAAGCTCTGAAGATGGCTCTCTTGTACACATTACTATGCAAATTGGAGACAAAAGGATGACTTTTCTGGTGATGTCATGAATGCAAAAGTGGGAAGATGGAAGATGTGGATTATCCAAAGTTAAGTTGTGGTGGGACAGTTGGAGCAAGATTTCCTTAGAGATGCACATGAAAAGTATACTTAGATCTTTGGGGAAGATTTGAAAAGGAACTCAGAAATATTCACAATGGTGCAGCCAAGGTTGCACTTTGCTTTAGACCAGAGGTTCCCAAACTGTGGTGGTCCATGAGCTTCATTCAGGTGGTCTGTGGCATGTCTGTGAAGAACACTTACAATCTGAATTTAATGGAATTCAGATGGTAATAATAGTAAAGTACAATATAAGAAATAAAACAAGCCATAAAAATACAACTAAAGCTCACAATGCAATTGTAATTGCTCATTACAATTGCTACAACAGGCAAATAATAATAATCAAGAGGTCTGCCAAGACCCATAGCAATTATCAAGTGATCTGTGGGAAGAAAGTTAGGAAGCCACTACTTTAGACTATGTGCATTCCCATTGATGATAAATAAAGCAGGCCAGAGCTTTAGGATGGAGAAACATTGCTTTGCATTTACAATCTGTGTGTACAGAAATATGTATGTAAAAGCTTTTTTATGACTCTTTTTCATTAAAAGAAAAAAAGGGTATTGCATAGCTTTAGGTCTTATGTTGAGGTGCATTCCATGAGCCCACCCTTCTGATAGAATCCTTGCAGTTGAATATATTCAGGGACCCAAAGATTCTACCCACACAGGTCTCGTTGCAAAATTGGAAGGACTTTTTTTCAGCCATAAGCACAGCAACGTCTTGCAATACCTTTTGGGATCAAGCATAGTCTACAATAATAATGGATTTTTCAGCAGACTTTTCCTATGCACTTAACAATCCTTTACATATATGCAGTATTAATTAACAGTTCCAGTTTCAGCTCAATTAGTATTGTGTGTCTGTGTGTGTGAGTGATTATTTTTTTAAAGCAGGATGTAAAATGTTAAATTATTACGTTTTTGTTCCTGGAATGGAACACTTTAGCCTTCCGAAGAACAAATGAAGTACAAAGTTTTACAGTGGGGATTTTAAAAAAATAATTTAAAAAAATGCTCCGGAAGCTGTTACACATTGTGTAAGCTGATTTAAGAGCAAATTCCCTCTTTGAATATGTTGATTAAAGATGGCAGAGAGAAATTGATGACAGTGCTTTCAACTGATCGCTGAAGTTAGAAATTTGGTTATGCAATAGAGTGGAGATGGTTGCATTATCTACTCCTTGTTGCTGCCAATGGATTATTCATTGAGTGAGTGAAGTTCTGGAGCTGTGTTCTTCAGCTAGTCAGTCTGGATCTTTGCAGTGAAAAAGCTTGACAGCAAGGAACAGCCATGTAATGAAAAGCGAGGTGTCAAGAGGGCAGACAAATGAAGGAATAAGCATGCAGCGGTTAAAACCTGGTGATTTTACAAGCAACGTCCACTCAGAAACTCTCAGGATTATGGTATTTAGAAACTCTGTGATGTGATTTCATTTGATCCTGCCAGTTGTCTGTACCATTGGCAAATTAATTCCTGTGCAATATTATCTGAAATTCTAACCAAAGCCTTGGCATTTAGAATGCAACGTGGCCTTTTAGAGAGAGAAGCAAAACCTGGAGCTTCCGTCTTCCTCAGAGGATAACATTTTAGCACTTTCTCTCCAAGAGGAATCTTCCTTGGTGTGTGTATTATGTTAAGTATTGTCAGGAAATACTTCAAAGGAAAAACAATAATAGGACTTGTTTGGTGTAAAGCATATTTCTTTTTCTTTCACCAGATACATTGATAGAAGCAGCATTTTGAAGTTTAGCATATCATTTTACTATAGATATTTTAGAGTAAATATTTATTTGACTATGTACAGTGATCAAACAGCAGAAAGCAAAAGATTCTTCCCAGTGGTGCCTTACTGCTACTTAAAAGCCACTTTTAAAATATCCAAATGGCTGCTGTCTTTTTTAAAACAACAACAAAAATTAGATCATGTTCCCACAGCCCCCAGAATTTCAAATATAAAATTGTACTTTATATATGGTGTACTGTTTGAGCCCCATCTCTTTTCCCATTGGTTGTCTTATCATCTAACCCTGAAGCCCACTGTATAGAAATATTTTGGATTTCAGTAAGACTTGTTAAAATACTCTTTTTGGTATGTATATTCAGGCAAGTTACATAGATCAAAACAATTTCCAGATAAATGAGTTTAAGACTGAGGTCTTAAAATGAGCAAAAGTTCATTTTTTGAACTTTTTTCTGAAAAGAACATTTTTTGAACCCTACATACGTTTTTATATGTGAGAGAATGAATCAAATGGATCGTGAACTTACAGAGCAAGTTTCATTATATAATACAGAGCTTTCTAAACGTTCCCCATGCTCCTCCCAGGGCTGGAAAGGGGTTCTTTACTTTAACCTCTTGTTTACTAGTAAAACTGAATTACTGTGTCGTGAAATGATGCATGCCTAAAAAGTGTTGTCACCAACGTGAAAAGTTTGGAAACCTCTGATATAATACATACTCACCACTTTTTTTACATATGAGATTGCACAGGTGTATTAGAGTAAAACAATGCCCATAATGTAAATAAGATTCTTTTCTATTTGACTTTGCTTTGTGTTATTAACATGCATATCTTAAAATATGTTATCACTGTGACTCAAATTGTGAGAAACCAGGTAACAAATAAACTCGTGTCTGTCCAAAGCAAAAATAAAAATAAAATTGGAGCAACTCTTTTGTCAGATGGAACTGTATTTGTTGTGTCCCTCGTGTGTGTGTGTTTAGGATACACTCAGTGTGATCGGACAACTCTTCTTTATTGGAATCATTTTACACTGATCCTCCAAAGGTGCAATCTCAAAAAAATATTAGCCATGTCCAAATACTATTTTCAGTGGGGTCTTAAATATGCTGAACTTCCTCGATTGCACCTCGGCACTAAAGTGAATGACAAAACTGTTGTTGCCTGTTGTATAGTAGCCAGCCATGTGGATTGTAGTTATGGTAAGCATGTAGACTGGCCCACTCACATCCTGTATATCACGGATCCCTGTAGATACATGTAGATGAATCCGACAATTCCCATCAGCTCCTGTGGAGAGATTTCTTCTGTATTATGAATAAGTGTTTTTTAACTAAAAGGGGGGTTAGATCATACACAGAGTTTAAAGATGAATATGAGGCTTCCCTCCCCCCCCCCCCCATGAGGAACTTGGCATGTCTCTTGAATCTTTACTTGGGTAAATAAAGTTGTAAGTTGACAGCTCAGCACTAGAGGGCACTTTTTATCCAAACTACTACATCAAAATCGCCAACTTGCCTATATATAAACCTGCAGGATAGAGATCCAGGACAGTTTGGATACTGAGCTGTCAACGCCAAATGGATCCACCCATAGTTAAAAATACAATAAATTTAATTTACTGGATGATTTAAATTAAATCTAGATTTAATTTAACTAAATCTTAGGAGACTGCCTTATTCTACCCAAATGCAGGTATTCAATTGCAGAAACCACCGGCCTTCTCCATATGTAATGCCCTGTTCAGTCTCTCTTCCTCTCAATTTTTTTTTTGCCCAGATCCTTATTTAAGTAGCTTGTCTCTGTTAATGTCACACCTATAGCAGCCTTCCTAATACCTATCAGAATATTAGCGTCTTGCTTTTTTAAAAAAACAAAAAACAAAACCTGGTTGTGCTTTGCATAATGCATTTCACAGAAAGTCATTTGCCTACAGATAGATTATCATGCAGGCTATGGTACGCAGGGCAAATGAGGGCCAGAGTCGGATCTGGAGAACTGGGGGATTTTCCTCACCTCTCACCCCGCCACACAAGGGCTGCCACGTTGGATCTGCAGAGGAAAGAGAATGGTAAGCAAGGGGTCGGAAGGCCCCCAAGCCCGTTTCTTAAACAGTAGCAGCAATCTGGCTGTTGGGAGAGGGATCTTCTGTGTCCATCTCCCTTTCATCCATAATGGGATGCTGTGGTGGGCAGATGCTGCCACTTCCTTCATCCTGTGTGCTTCTGCCTATAAAGCGCTTTCTTCGTTTCTAAACACTAGAGAGCTACTATCCTAGCGGTTTAGCAGAAGAATGTGAATTCTTAAAAGGGCATCCCAAATAAAAATAATAAGTGCTTTTCTTCCAGAAAAAGGTGTCGATACCATGAAGTTGCTACTGTCACACTTTTAGCCGGTGCTTTTCTTATATATGAATATATATATATTTAAACATATAATACCATATTTTAAAAGGTGCCGGTAGAGCTACCCTTGAATACCTCCAGAAAAAAGCATTGAAAATAGGGGTAAAGATTTAAGACACTCATGGCCCATAAATTTAGGGGTTTCTGGTGAACACAGGCTGTTGGCTTATTTAATCTAAGGCTGTGATTCCCAATGTGATTCCCACAAGGGGGCAATTTGATTTTTAAGAGGGGCAGTTCGAGAATGAGTTATTAACAGTGAAGGGCCTTTTAGGCATCCTCCACGTGAATAGTTCACTTTTTGAATATTAAGAATTATATGTCGGGATGGGGGGAGGCATCAGGATTTTAGAGATGCTTAGGTGGGGCATGGCCCCCCCAAAAAAGGTTGGGAACCACTGATCTAAAGTCTCTGGGAATCCAGTCGTTGACCCCTCACAGAGCTACAATTCCCAGAGACCTTAAACTACAGTTCCCATGATCCTTTATGAGTGGGGGAGGGGTAAGCCATGTGCTTTTATTTACTTATTACTGTATATTTCTGGGCCTTTTTTCTTGGAAGGAGCTCGGGGTGGCGCACGGATGCTTCTCCTCCTCCCCATCATTCCGACAACCCTGTGCTGCCGCGTGGTTGCGGGTGTTACCTAAGAAGCTGGTTACCTAAAGAAAACGGGATTTTTCCCCCTCAGAGAAAAGCGCGTGCAGCCCAAGGCGGCTCCTTCCGTAGAAAAAAACAAACCACCTTCATTTGGCCACTAAACCAGAGAGCTCTTGTGAAAGGACGCCAGGTGCCCTGGAGGCGAGCGGGCGAGCGGCTGCTGCGCGGCGCAAATCTCCAAGGCCTCTGGTTTGCTTTTTACTGCAGCAACAGCAGCAGCAACAAAAAAACACAGCAGCTGCTGCTACCTCGGCTGCCGCCGCCGCCGCCGCCATCTTAAAAACAGCATTTTGCAGCGGGGCGGGTTTTGGCGGGCAGGCCTGCCTCTGCGCTGAGCTCACGCGCCGCCGGCTCCGTCCCACGCGCGCTGCTCCCGTGCGCCCAGGCGACACCGGCGCCGTGGGCCGGAGATGCCCGCCTTGCTTTGCCTGCCGTTGCTGCTGCAGCCGCCGTAGGGCGAGGGCAGGTAAACGAGGGAAAGGGGGATCCCCTTCCTTCCTTCCTTCTTTCTCCTTCCATAACCCCCGCGCCTTGACTCCGCTCCCAAACAGCAGCGAGGAGACGCCGCTCGCCTCTCCACAGGTTCACCTTGGACGGCAGCCACTACTACGAGGGCAATGGGAGACTGAGAGAGCTGGGGAAGGGGATGCTGGAAGCAGAGCCCCCTGCGAACACTTAGGACCATATTATTATTATTATTATTATTATTATTATTATTATTATTATTATTATTATTATTATTTTATTATACCCAGCGGGGCCGCCCCAAAGTGAAGCCACCCCAAAAGGGCCAGCGCGCAAAGACTTGGGACTGTATGACTTTGCATTTGCCAGGTGACTTTGCATTTGCGGGGTTTCTGGGACGTGTCTGTGTGCACGGCTTTTATTGGGGTCGGTGCAGTTGTGGGGCGACTCCCGCCCTCTGGCTCAGGTTGCCATGTGGTTGCGTGCGCGTTGCGTCTGCGTTTAGGGGTCTCCCCTTCGGGTTCGTCCGCCGGCGCGCGAGGGCCGCCGCGTCTGGCTCAAACTCTCCACCAGCAAATCGCCCTCTCTGGTAAACAGGATCCCATTGGCTGCGGCGCGTCTTTCGGGGTGGGTGCAAGGCGTTTGCCGCGGGCGGATTGGCGGCGACCCTTTCCCTTTAAATCAAGTAATCGCAGCCCGCAGCGGTTTGCATCTCGGCCCGGCCTTTTCGCGTGTTGCAAACCGGATAAGCCAAGTCGTGGGCGGTGGGGGACAATTTACAAGGCATTTGTGTGGTTTCTGTTTAAATCGCCCTATCTGCGCTTGAAGCCAACCGAAGACGTGTTTCTTTTTCTTCTTTTTTTGCAAGAAGAGAACAGCTGGGTATCTGGTTCCATAAGGCGATGGTGAATATCGGTTCCCCCTTTTACAGATGAGGGGAAACATGAGTTTTCTTAAAGTCGACAGAAAGTTAGGTGCATCCTGTTCCTATTTAAATCAGCAGATGATTTTTTTGGTGGGTTGAGTAGGTATTTTTCACCACTTTGGAGGTGTAATTGCAGCATTTAATCATAACTGTGGTGTTAACGTGCAGTAAAATATTTTGTTATGTTCTTCTTCTAAACTGCAACTGCAGTTGCAGTTACTTGGTCTTAGGGTAGTGTCTTAGACTTTAAAATGTTTGACTGCTTTTGATGCTGCATAAACCATATATAACAATATACCACTTTGACAAGCATTCCTTCCTGTATGTGAGGCACTATGCATGAAGTGGTGCATGTGTGCCTCATCTAAAAAGGAAGCAAGCATATTTTTCTTTAAAACCCTCCTTTGTTTGCATATCTGGATTTAATTGGGTAGCCAATTAAAGTTCATATAGTCAATCAACCATTCTTTCTTAACTAGGCAGCAGCCCTACAAATAATATTGATAGCATTGTGATATTATACTTAAGATATTTAGGTGGTGTTTTGTTTTATTTATTTATTAATGTGGCATGATTTCAGTGAGACTTGCATGCTTGTTCATAAACAGGGCTGTTTGTGAATATCACAGCTTATCACCATCTGGTCCATTGGCACTGTTTGGATACAGTGCATAGAACTGGCAAATCTCTTTGGGATGGTTGTTTTTGTCAGCCCAGTTCAGTTCAGCCTATTTTCTCAAGTGGCAAAGTAGAAATAGGAATTTAACCATTATCTTTACTGGAATTGAATCATGTTTATTTGGGGGCAGAGGCACTGAGGCGGTTGGCTGGCTTAGAATATGGATCACCTTGTGTTTTGCATTTGACTGGCCAAAAATATTTGTCCTGTTGATTGGTCCACTATTGTTAAAGCACTACCGTTAACGAAAATAGCAATAAAAATAATCGTCAAAAGGTTTGGTATTTATATTAACTACTGTTAGCTGCTGTTGTGAACCTTTTTTATATTAAAAAAGCTGTAATTCAGTCCCATCCATTATTATTATTATATCATCATCATCATCATCCTTGTGCCTTGGTTTGTAAAGCAGAATAGTCTATGAGAGTGTGACTGATCGAACACTCTGGGTTTTTTTATGGCCAATTGAGGGTATGAATTTGGTTGTAGTCTGACCAACTTGGTCTTTTGGCACTGATGACTTACTGCGGCCCTATTTTTGCTGTGGTCTAAACCACAGAGCCTAGGGCTTCCCTATCAGAAGGTCTGCAGTTCAAATCCCCGTGACGGGGTGAGCTCCTATTGTTTGGTCCCAGCTCCTGCCCACCTAGCAGTTCAAAAGCACGTCAAAGTGCAAGTAGATAAATAGGTACCACTGCGGCGGGAAGGTAAACGGTGTTCCCGTGCGCTGCTCTGGCTTGCCAGAAGCGACTTAGTCATGATGGCCACATGACCCGGAAGCTGTCTGCAGACAAACGCTGACTCCCTTGGCCTATAGAGCGAGATGAGTGTGCAACCCCAGAGTTGTCCGCGACTGGACCTAACGGTCAGGGGTACCTTTACCTTAGGTAACCGGGGTGGGGTGGGGTGAAGTTACATTATGCTGTGCTCTTAGGTTTGCTCCCTGACTGCTGTTGCATGAAGGTTAAAAGCTGTCTTCCTCCCTCCTAAAAAAGACAACACCACAATGAAATAAAAAGATAGGCAGTGGCATTCTTGGTATACTATATTTGACCTTGGTGACCAGCAGTCCCTTGGACAAAACATGACTCTTAGAGGCTTGCCCCATATTTACCAACCACGGAGGAAAGCAGATTCAGTAGGAGAACTTGGCAGCAGTCTACTTCCACACCTGTCCTTTGGCAAGACTTAAGTGACGACTGGGACCTTAGATTCATAAGGGCATAATGAATGAAAATGGACAGGCCAGACCTTTGCTTTGTCAACAGAATTAGTAAGGAAACCTGATGTTTACTCAGCCCCCTATTTGTCAAAGAGATTAATGTTAACCCTTCACATCTGCGGTGCAAATGTTAGGAGCCTTTCTGAGAACTTACCGTATTTTTTGCTCTATAAGACTCACTTTTTCCCTCCTAAAAAGTAAGGGGAACTGTGTGTGCGTCTTATGGCGCGAATGCAGGCTGCGCAGCTATCCCAGAAGCCAGAACAGCAAGAGGGATTGCTGCTTTCACTGCGCAGCGATCCCTCTTGCTGTTCTGGCTTCTGAGATTCAGAATATTTTTTTTCTTGTTTTCCTCCTCCAAAAACTATTTTTTTTTTTTTTTTAAATCATATTTATTAAAGTTTCCAAAAAATATAAAAATACAAAGAAAAAAGACAAAAGAAAAAAGATATTTAAAAACCTTCCTTTCATTCCCTACTTTCTGGGACTCCCCCCTCCCCCCCCCCAATTGTATTTCCCTTTCCTTAATTTGGTTCTACAAGCTCTCACTCCCAATTTAAAGCTTAATTTGTTTAACCCACTATCCAGATTGAATTGTACAAATCTTACCACCGTCCCACATCATTAACAGGAAAAAAAAAAAAAAGATTTTCCCCAAGATCCACCCCAGTTCCTTCCACAAATTCCCTTTTTTTTAAACACGTCCGATCAAAATAAAATAACATGCGTAAGTTATGTAAAGAAATAGAAAATAAGAGATATAGAAAAATTCAAAAAATGGTTACACAGCCTTTGGATTTCAAATCTACCCCCTTCCCGGTTTGAATTCCCCATGTCCATCAGTCTATACATTATCAGCTTGGAAGTCTCATTTCATGACCAGATTTCTCCCGATTCCATCTTGCCGGTTTTCTTTTAGTTTATTAATTTAAATAATATTTGACTTCAAATGTCCAATCTAACAAAGGCCTTTAATTTCCTTGATCTTTACCACTCCTCCCGTTGTTCTTTCCGTGTCGTAATCAGTCCTTTATTCTTCTTATTCCTCACTTTCTCAGGTTTCTTGTCCTGTTCAGCTGCTAAAACTTTCTAATTCAGAAATCTAATGTCTCTGCAGAGGTTTGTTATTCAGGAACAAAAACTTACGTCCAGTCCCTTTCTTTCTTCAATAAATATTTCCCTTGGCGTCCTCTGTAGACAAAATACTCTTTCAGTTTTGCAGCTTTCCCAGAAGATAACAAATCCTGTGCGAATCCCAGGGTATTTTTCCACTTACGACCGTTCTTGTAGTATCCCGAAACCCCTCTAGGGGGATTGTAATAACTTTGTATCCTCTAATCCAAAAGTCAAATTGTTGCTTATTTTCCAACAGTTTATATCCATATTATAGCAAATTGTAACAAAATTAACCAGCAAGGTCCTCATAAAGTCCTCTTTATATTCTCCAGCTTTAACAGCCACTTTGACAGCTGTCAAAGTCTCCGTCTCTCTTCACCAGGCTCCACGAATCGCCCCGGTTCCCAGGGGGGGGGTTGCATTTTTCTTCTCACCCTCCACTCTTCTCCTCCAGCACATTTCTTATAATTTCCCATCATGAAATTAATGATTTTTATCAGAGACATACTTCCCTTTGGACCTTGGTTACCCAGTCCTTGTTTTGGAATGCTTACAATAGGGGGGGGGATTGACTTCCTTTTTAAATCGCCCCCGCTCGTGCCAAATCCAAAATTTTGAACCCGGGTTCCCAATTACTCACGGGTTGTTGTTAATAGTCCAAATTTTCAATAGAAGAAGTCAGCGCTCTCCGTCGAATGGCATGCGGCTGCGCTCGGCAGGGAAAGCAGTGGACTCAAAGCACCACGCCACTCGCCGGCACCCGATCCGAAGCCTTTAAAAGGCTCCTGCACGAGTCGGGAGGGCGCTAATGGAGCAAGCCGAGTCACCCATGGCCACGGACTCCGTGCCCGGGGGTTTTACGGGTCCCCGCGTCGCCGGCGCGGTAGGACCCAACCCCTGCCGAGCAGACTCCCTCCGAAGCTCGGAGGGAGTCCGCCATTCGGCGATGGCGCTAACCCGGAAGTCCTTCCTCCTCCAAAAACTAGGTGCGTCTTGTAGAGCGAAAAATACGGTAATTCATATGATAATAAACAATTTTATGTGAAACGTGTGACTTTGTAACATTTGACTGCGCTATTTGTATACAAGCCAGGGGTCTAAAGATGGTTGTTGCCATCTGGGGAGAATAATATTTTTATGATTGTTAGGCTTTGTAGATGTTTTCTATTCTCTTGTTACTTATTTCTTTTAAAAACCTCAGATAAACGTTTTTGTATTGTCATGTGTCTTAGATGCTTTCAGAGAAACAATGATGGGCAAAGAACTGTTAAGAGTTTTGAATTAATAAAATTTGAGATTGCTTAATTTGAGGGAGGTCCTATGACGACTGCTGTTGTGCCCCCCCCTTTATTAACCATCTCAAACATTAAAATACCTTCACAATAGCACTTTTTTTATCTGTCTTGTGTCAGGATATGATTGTTTGATCCCCAGATTTAAAATATGAGGTGACTTGTAGAAGGTTTTGCTTGGTTTACAAGAAGTCTACAATTTATGCCATGGGTAAATAAACTAAGGCCTGGGGGCCAGATCCGGCCCAATCACCTTCTAAATCCGGCCCACGGACAGTCCGGGAATCCGCGTATTTTTACATGAGTAGAATGTGCCCTTTTATTTAAAATGCACCTCTGAGTTATTTGTGAGGCATAGGAATTCGTTCATCCCCCCCCCCCAAAAAAAATACAGTCCGGCCCACCATAAGTTCTGAGGGACAGTGGACTGGCCCCCTGCTGAAAAAAAGTTTGCTGACCCCTGATTTATGCCTTTAAAAAATCTTGAGTAGGGTAACAAAAGGGTAAAATTATGCAGCTAGGTTCCTCCTACAGAGATTTTACTTCAGCTTGGTTGGAAAAAGCTACATTCAATCAGTGTATCTTCCATTAAATAGCAGATAAATTTATCTACCAAGATTCTTTTGTTGTAGAAACATTGTCCTCTTTGACATTTCGTACACTTGGCTTACGATAACATTTTAGGGCATGTTGTTTCAGTTTGATATTTGCCCAAAGTTACCCAAATTAAAGCCTAACAGACATCTTAAATGTGAATGAGACAGAAATGATCACCTTTCTGTAACAATCAACCCCCCCAAAATATATATTTTACTATTTGTGAATATGCAAATAAAACCACAGTTTTCTTCACAATGGAAACTAAATACAGACGTTTGGTGCTGTATCTACACAGTTTACACAAGAATCTCTGCTTTGCCCATAATCATGAATCCTTCCAAAGCACAGTTCATCTGCTTATTCCTGAGTACGTCGTACCTTGGATGTCGAATGGAATCCATTCCTGAAGTCTGTTTGACTTCCAAAACGTTCAGAAACCAAAGCGTGGCTTCTTGATTGGCTGAAGGAAGCTCCTGCAGCCAATCGGAAGCCCCGTCAGACATTCGGCTTCCAAAAATAGTTCGCAAACCAGAACAGTCACTTCCGGGTTTGTGGCGTTTGGCAGCCAAAAAGTTCGAGAACTAAGCTGTTAGAAAACCAAGGTACAACTGTATTCACCTATACTGTATAGGGAATACAAACTTAACCAGCTATAACATTTTGGGGTGCAGCCACACCTCTTAAGAGGAATGTTCAAGATTCCAGCCTACAATGCTGACATGGTTTCGCCAAAGGGGGACAGCTGCCCCCCAAGATTAAGTAAAACAATAGAAATACAGTGGTACCTCTAGTTATGAACTTAATTCGTTCCAGAGGTCCGTTCTTAACCTGAAACTGTTCTTAACTAGAGGCGTGCTTCCGCTAATGGGGCCTCTTGCTGCCGCTGCACCGCCGACACACAATTTCCATTCTCATCCTGGGGCAAAGTTCTCAACTCGAGGTAACTCTTCCAGGTTAGCGGAGTTTGTAACCTGAGGCGTTTGTAACGTGAGGTACCAGTGTACTTAACTAACTGACCAATCATGTCAATTCTGCCCTCCCCAACAAAAGTCCCGCCCCCTCCCCAACAAAAATCCTGGCTACGCCCATGAATGCTGACCTCAATTTTCAAACATTCCATGGCTCCTAGAATCCACTTGGCATTCTTGGCCTTTGCTGAGCTGTTTGTTTATTATGTACAACCTTATGTATGTATGCAAGGAGTGCCCTAAATATATAGACACCACTATCTTAATTTAAGCGGGCTGTGTTTTGCCTTCTAACTCATAGGCATTCTACCACATGAATTGGCCATTAGAGGAAACGAGTGGTGACCTGTAAAAACAACCACCACCACCACCAACAACGGTTGCACGGCATCCTAAGGCACTAACAAGAACACTCCTGTTCTTGGTGCCATCCAGACCTGTGGGGCTCAAGCAGACCTCTTCTCTCTCTCCACCCTTTTTATCTTGGAGGGTAATCCTGACCCTCAACATTCTGTGGCTTTTGCTCCTCTGGATCACCAACATGCCACTGTATAATGAACTGCCCATACAACAGTGAAATGGCAGTTAGGCTGAGAGAAGCACAATTTGCCCATCTGCAGCAGCTTATAATTGTTGGCTATTTGTAGTTTAGTAGCGCTGCGGAGAGCTTGCCGGGGAGACCATGCATTAAAAAGGGACTCAAAAATAACTTAAACAAGGTTTTAATAACAAAAACAAAAACTCCTTTTACACTAAAGATAACAACAAACATGACCCAACCACCAACCCATCCCCCAGGGGAATGAGAGAGCTAGGTGCTGCTCCTTATATACTATGCCCAAATGCTGACACAGCTTAATTGACAAAACCTAGCAGCACCTGCTATGTTTCACAGCTGTAAGACTGGGTCTCGTTATTTGCCCTGGCCCTGGCCCTTAAAGACATACACAACTTGTGAAACAATAATGAACCTTCATATTTTAAAGTGACCATTCAACAATAATAGCAGCTAGCCAGCCAGGTGCATCATGGGAATGTCAAGTTTCCTGCCTTTTCTGTGAGGGAAGATCTTGCCGATACTGCGACTCCATTGGAACTGGATGACCAGTGCATCTTCTTGTTTGCCCTGGAGATGCATGTGTGGCTGAACATGTACAATGTTCCCATTATGATGTGATAAACGGTCTTATCTCTACACTGATTGCATGACAAATTATTGTATTATGGCTTCCGTTGCTAATGAAATCCAGAGTCCTTCTCCCTGCACCCACCGATTTTGATTCTTCAATATGGCAAGCTTCAGTGACCTGACATCAAATCTAGAAATGATTGAAATCATAAAACTTGCTGAAATAGTTTGATTATAGGAAAACAGAAGAAAAAATAAACTTCTGAAAATCATGTTTTGGTATTTTAACATAAATAAAATCTAGACAAACATTTTTTTTCTTATGGAGAAGTTGTGTTATCTTGCTTAAGGATAACAGTTCTTTAGATGTGCTATCTTATCTTTTCTTTCAACGGAATAATATTTATTTCAGCTCCCTATTGGCCTTGTCTCCTACTTCCAGTTCCCTTTTAGGGTTCCTGTTTTTGTTCCATTTTACTGCGATGTGAGGGGCTTTCTCAATCTCACTGCAATACAATAACGAACGCTGCCTTCCTTGTTTTACAGATCAGAATCCACATGCTACGTTTTCAGAAGCGCTGAATGAATATGGATATTTACACGTATGTCAGCACAAAGAATCTCTCTTCTTCAGCCAATATGTCCAATCTGCTTTCAGGCAGATTTGGGTACCAGCTGAACTTCACCAGCAATTCTCCTTCTATGTCAATAAGTAAGCTTTTCCCAGCCTTGTTACAATGCTTTGGCATAATCCTTTGTGGATATATAGCTGGAAGAGTTAACATAATCACATCAACTCAGGCCAAAGGACTCGGAAACTTTGTCTCCTGTTTTGCACTCCCAGCTTTATTGTTCAAAAACATGGTTGTACTGAATTTTTCCAACGTGAATTGGTCCTTTTTATACAGCATCCTTGTTGCCAAAGCATCAGTGTTCTTCTTGGTCTGCATTTTAACACTGTTGATAGCTACTCCTGAGAGGCGGTTTAGCAGAGCTGGGCTGTTTCCTATTTTTGCTACTCAGAGCAATGACTTTGCACTGGGCTATCCTATAGGTAAGAAACAAATTTGCGTATTTTTTTGTTTGTAATGAGATTGTTTCATAACACTCTGTGCCTTAGGAATGCATAGTGACTTGTTTGCATTGATGATGTACACAGTGCATGCACTGTTGTTACAGCTGCTAATTTGTGCTTTTGAATTTGAGAAAGAGCACATTCTGTTGCACTATGAGTCGCATGAAGCAGAACTGATGAAATAATAATAATAATAATAATAATAATAATTACTTATACCCCGCCCATCTGGCTGAGCTACCCCAGCCACTCTAATAAGCAAAGCCATGTACTATCCAAGTAGTTGTTGTTGTCTGTCAGTTTCACTCAGAATTGTTCAATGAGAAGGCATGTTTTCAATGCAAGGTATTCTTGGCAGCACTAGAACTTTTTCATTTCTTTACCACCAAAAACTGATCCAGTTGAATACTTCTTATTTTTCCAGTTCTTGTGTTGATTTTCCGGGGTGAATGGCAATAATGTCCACCAGTAGGTTGACAGACTAAACATTCCCAGTGGGAATGACTGGGAGAAGCCCCTCCTTTTATGGAAAGAGTTTGCATTCTCTGGAAGCTTCAGCTAATAGAAAGAGAAGTTGTTTTTGGTTATTCCCCCCCCCCCCCCGCAGCCTCCCACACCATTCCAGAGGACCCTCAAACTGCCTGGAGCATGTTTTTAGGTGACAGAGTGGTCTGCAGAAAGAAGGGAAGCTGAAACAGCCATCTGTTCCATCCAAGCAGTGTTCCATCCAAATCTATGTTAATATGGCTAAAATGGGAAGAGTTCTTTCTTTTAGAATCTGTATCCAAGATCACCCTTTAGTACCGTATTTTTCGCCCTATAGGGCGCACCGGCCCATAGGGCACACCTAGTTTTTTTGGGGGGGAAATAAAGGGGGGGGGATTTTTTTTGCCCCCCAGGTGCGGGGCTGGAACGGGGGAAGCCCGAGCTTCCCCCGACCCCAGCCCCCAGAACAGGCTGCTATCCGCAAGCCTAGGGAGCCCGGTGGGAACTCCCGCCGGGCTCCCCAGGCTTGCGGATATCTGCCCGAAGCCCGGGGCGCGAGAGGGATCGGTGCGCACCGACCCCTCTCGCTCTCCAGGCTTCAGCGAAAGCCTGCTGTCGCCCCATAGGAAACACACACATTTCCCCTTCATTTTTGGAGGGGAAAAAGTGTGTCCTATAGGGCAAAAAATACGGTAATTTAGTTCAGGCAATTATTTTGTATCCAGCAATTACTTTAACTAGCTGTGATACTTGCTTGCTTGCTTGCGTCTAAGGTCTTCACATACAAAGATTGAGAATGTTTGGCTCCCTGTCGCAGAGAATTGGTTGGATGCCCCCCAAAAAAGAAAAAGAAAACCACAAGCAAGGGTTGGAAAAGTGGCCATTGGCACTGTTCTGCAAACATGTACACAAAGGCTTATCTGGTGTTATAATAGGAAGGTCCTATAACTGTTCTCATGCTTTTGGTTGGGCAGGAAGTTGCCCAGCCTGTACAACTTGCTGTACAAGTGGATTAATATATTGGGATGTAGTTTCATTTTTGTTGTGCAATATTCTAGAACAAGTAAAGCAAATAGTTCCATCAGCAAAAATTCCTGCGCACCTTTGGATACAACTCATGCATGCACCTATGGTGCTGTATACTATTGGAGAAGTCATTATGCCTCACTGAAAACCCTTGTTAGGGGATAACTCAGGATTGGACTTTTAGCATTGTTGGCAATATTCAGTTGATCCAGCAGAAAGAGGCTGCCTTGGGGCCAGTTCAGATGATGACTGCTTTTTGTGAATGGCCTTGACACAGTTAAATTGATTGATCCCTGTTGACTTCGATGCAATTTCAGCAGCACGCCTGCGTATAAAACTGTAGTTTGAGAGGCTTTTGGCTTAGTGAGCAGGTGAATGTTTCTGCTTATGTCCAGATCCTACCAGCTGTGTTCTGCTTTAAGAAAGCAGAACAGAAACAAAGCTTGCAAAGTGTATTGACCCTGGATGTGTGGATCCTTGACTGCTTTGATCAAAGAAGCTTGAAGTTAATTCCAATTCATTCTTTTGTTTCTGGATTTTGTTTGTTTGTTTTCCCCTTCGGCTAGTTGGATTAGTTGCCATTAGTGCTTAAGTTTAAGTGAATGTGATTAAATCACTTCAGCAGAGTGGTCATCAATGAGACAGAATGATAGGGAATTTTAGAAATCAGTATGAAGTCAGTATGCCTAATTTGTTCCTGCACCTGCTAGTGATGGGGAGAGAGAGTGGTTTTTTCCATGGGATTGAAGCTTTATACTTAAAAGCTGAGTTCAATAGAATTCTGCATGCAGTGGCGTTTCTGCATATGTGCAGAACTGCAGTCTGCAGCCTTGAGTTTAGTTCAAAGTGTGTGTGTGTGTGTGTGTGTGCGCGCTGCATACACTTCAGAAGAAACTACAGTCATACATGTTACTTTTGCTTCATGTTAAGTTTTTTCAGGTTGCGTCCCGCGGTGACCCAGAAGTACCGGAAAGGGTTACTTCCGGGTTTCGCCGCTTGTGCATGCGCAGAAGTGCTAAATCATGCTTTGCGCATGTGCAGAAGCGCCAAATCGTGCCGCGCACCTGTGCAGAAATGGTGCTTCAGGTTGCGGGCTTTTCAGGTTGCGAAAGGACCTCCGGAACGGATCCCGTTCGCAACCAGAGGTACCACTGTAGTGAATTTTCTTCTTAACATTGACCTGATTTAGATGGCTGGTATTCCGCTGCCTTGTGGAATATCTTTGGGACAAGAAAAGACTACGGAGGAAACCCTACACAAATTCAAAATGGAGCTCCTAAGGCAGTTGGTTGGCTCCTTCCAGCAACTCCTAAAACCACACTGGTGCCAAACACATTGCTCTGCTTTCCTTTGGACCACATTGGCAAGGCCTTGTCATCTAGCCAGCCCAAGACCGCCTTACTCACTGCCCAGGCTTGCACCCTGGGGAGGTCACTTTGTTGCTGCTGACGCAGCAGTTTGACTTAACTCCTGGAAATGCAATCCATTGTTTCTCGAGAGTGACAAAAGCCAACAGCACAGTTCCTCTGTATTCTGAGACAGAGACCATCAAGCAGTGGTCCACATGCTCCACTCTGCTGATCTCTGGAGCACTGATGGAACACTCAAGAATCTGTGTGGCTCTGTACTTATTTTCTCTGGCAGCTGAGAACGAGCCCCTCTGTGACTCCCATAACATGGTGCTGGTTTTGACAAAGGCAGTGTTGAAGGAGAAAAGCAGCTCATTCTGTGCTCTGCTAATACCCCTCTGCAGTTTTCAAGTGGTCCATGCGGGGGGCGAAATGTTTTAGGACCGGTTCTCATGTTCTCTCACTGCCCCACCCTGATTTAAGAGCATATAACAGCTAATCTGTTTTAAAAGATCATGCTTCTCAGCTGGGAGAGGTAAGCTGAGAGTCCTTGAATGGCGCAATGCGGCAGAAAACATTGGCTCTGCAAATCCCGTGGTTTTTGACTCCCATCATTAAAAGGGACTTAACAGGTCATAGTTAAACATTAGTTAGGTGTCCTTTAAGCACCACATACCATGAGTAATTCTAATTACGCTGAGTGGAGAAATTGTAAACAAAATGGAACATGGGACTTTCTGAGGGAGGAAAATTGATTTTTGAGTATTTTAGAAATCCAATACAGCTAGGAGTTTTTTCAAGACAGGTGAGGTTTTTTGTTTTTTGCATATAGGGCCTGACCTCTTCTCCAAAAATTCCCAGTGAAGTTGTTTGTGTCAAGTTTGAGAATATGCAGACGACTTGTAAGATATGAAACCTGTTGCTACAAACATAAGTGTGGTTTGAATCCCTGTGGCTTCCTTTTCTGGATTTCTTCTATCAAATAGGGGAGCACTTGGGATTTTCTCCCTGTGTTTGCAAAGAGGGATAAGAGTTTGGGTTTGGATTTGATATCCTGCTTTAGCACTACCCTAAGGAGTCTCAAAGCGGCTAACAATCTCCTTTTCCCTTCCTCCCCCACAACAAACACTCTGTGAGGTGAGTGGGGCTGAGAGACTTCAGAGAAGTGTGACTAGCCCAAGGTCACCCAGTAGCTGCATGTGGAGGAGCGGGGAAGCGAACCCAGTTCACCAGATTATGAGTCCACCGCTTTTAACCACTACACCACACTGGCTCTCGCAAAGACACCAAATCTCAGCTTTAGCATTGCTGCTTCTCCTTCCTTCCTCTTTGCATTTGACTGTATCAGGGCATTCACCCCAAATCTAAATTAGGTGGCAACTTGACTTTTGCACTCAAAATACCACCTTGCAACTAATTAAGCGCATGCATGCAAATTATTTTAAGTTGCATACGCCTTCTTTTCTCTATACAGGAGTGCAAAATGTAGATGGCAAGCTGTTGTGATAGCTAGAAAAGCTTCATGGACTGCTGGGTAGTTTTCAGGCACAATCTTTATGTCTCTATAGAACTCTCCTATAGAAATGCCCTCTCTCATATAAAACAGTGGCAGCTTGAGGGAGTGACCTTGGCGTTTATGTTACAGCCTTCTCTGTGGTAGTGTCACATTTTACTTCCTGCTTGGGGAGGCATGCTGTTGTTGCTTTCAGGAATTTTTGACACCCCCCCCCCCAGTACAGTTTTAATATGTTTGCATTGTTTCCTTTAAATATTTTGTGAGCTACATTGAGCGTTCGGTTGCAGTTCAGTGACACCGTAAAAAATGTTATTTAGGTTTTGGCTAGAGGGGGGTGCCTTTTGCTTTCTGTCAATGCTTTCAGCCTCATGTATTCCTGAAGGACCTTTGTGCGAAAGCAGCGAGGGTTTCTGGGCCGACGCTTGTCATCTTCATGCCATAATGTGGCTTGCTAGCATGTTCTGTTACCACAGATGCCCTTTGCTCATCTCCTATGCTTCTAAGGTGGCACCTTAAAAGGGCCAGGCTATATTTATTTAGCCCAAGGCTTCCCTTACTCTCAACTAGTTCAAGGTGAAGCTTTACCACTTCTCTTTGTGTGTTTGAATAGCAGCTGATACCACAGTCTATCACAAATCTCTGTGCTGTGTAACTGGGCTCCCTAGTTCACATTTCATCTCAGACTCGGTGTGTGCTTCATACTGTCTTTTATATTATTATTATTATTACTTCTTCTGCTGTTGTTTTGCAGTTAACCTTGCACCAGCTTTGGAATAGCACCTGTAGCGTTTTAACAGGCGTTCTGCAAAGCTCTTTCCTGCAAGCGCTTAATGTCACCAGAATAACTGCCTGGGATCTTTTATTGTCGCCACATAATCCCTGCAGATAAGGACCCACAACAGAGTCACAGGTTAATATGCTAGCAGCAAACGCTTGAACTCTGCCCGTAGATTAAACAGGGTTGTGAATAGTTAGCTAAGGCAGCAAAATTTCTAGGACTTTTCAGTTGCCAATCTCTTTACAGTCCGGTAACACTCTTGAAGGTACAGATGGGTGCATAAAGAAGATGTGGTTGACAGAAGCCAAGTGGCCCTTTCCTTAAAGCTTAGTAGTAGCTTCAGGCGTCTGGTTTAAATATCAGGGCCCTATTGATGTGTCCCAGATTTGGATGGACCTAAGTCTGAAAGATGGCACTCACACATGCAGGAGGCAGGAGTCTCTGCAGGTATTTTGTACCGGGCATTTTGTACCGGAAAGCATTCTATTAGATTGTGACTGTTTGTTCATGGCGATGGGAGGGATGCAGTCCAACGCTTGGTATTTTATTCCTGCTTGGACTACTGGACTACTTGCAGCTATACTGGTGACTGGTAGTGGCCACTGAGACCATATAACACAGGTCCTGAAAGACCTACATTGGCTCCCAGTACTTTTCTGAGCACAATTCAAAGTGTTGGTGCTGACCTGTAAAGCCCTAAACGGCCTTGGCCCAGTGCACCTCCATGCCCATTGCTCAGCCCAGACACTGAGGGCCAGCTCCAAGACCCTTCTGGCGGTTCCCTCACTACGAGAAGTGAGGTGGCAGGGAACCAGGCAGAGGGCCTTCTCGGTAGTGACGCCCACCCTGTGGAATGCCCTCCCATCAGATGTCAAGGAAATAAACAACTATTTGACTTTTAGAAGACATCTGAAGGCAGCCCTGTTTAGGGAAGCTTTTAATGTTTGATGTTTTATCATGTTTTTAATATTCTGTTGGGAGCCGCCCAGAGTGGCTGGGGAAACCCAGCCAAATGGGCTGGGTAATAAATTATTGTTGTTGTTGTTGCTGTTGTTGTTACTATCCTGAGTGTAGCTCAATGTTAATGCGGTTTCAACAATGGAATGAGGGCAGACCTAATGGGAGCACATTAATGGGAGTGCTGGGTTGTTTTTCAAAGTTCAGGGGGCAGTACCCAAATCTATTAGACTCTCTAAACTTAGGGTCATGTTTTCAAGCCCCACATTGGGCAAAATATTCCTGCATTGCAGGAGGTTAGACTGGATGACCCTCGTGGTCCCTTCCAACTCTTTGATTCTTGTCCTAGTCAGAATAGACTCGTTGAAGTTCATTGTGCACCCTAGCTTCATTAATTTCGGTTGCTCCGCTCTGAGTAGGACTTAGTCAGTGTTAGAAACTCAGATATATAAGCTAATTGCCAAATGGCCCCCTTAAACCAGGGTTATGTTCGCCATAAAGGAAAGTCTAGGCGCCATCCCCACCGCCCAGTGAAAGTGGTTGTTATTATTATAAAGGGGGGGAAATCTCAAAGTGGTTTACAACACCTTGAAACAATCTAGAATAAAACAAATCCATGCTTCAAGGCAAATATTTCAGATCCTTCTCTTAAGTGACATTTTGCTTTCCCCATATTTATTCACCTAAATTCGTATAGCTGCCCCATAAGCAGAAGTACTCTAGGAAGCCAGGGTAGTGTAGACTGCTGGACTCGGACCTGAGTTCAAATCCTCTCTAAACCATGAAGCTCACTGGGTGACCTTGGGCCAGGCACAGCCTCTTAACCTACCTCACAGGGTCGTTGTAGGGATTAACCAAGCCGGGGTGTGTGTGTGTGTGTGAGAGAGAGAGAGAACCATGTATTTCTTGGAGAAAAGGAAGGGATAGAAATGCAATCAATAATCTCTTCTGCTTGCCTGCTTCAGAAAGCTGGAGGGGCCAGCCAGATAGATATGGCAGTTGCCAGCCTGGCATCTGCATCTAGAGAGCAACATGTGGTCACAATTAGACCCACGCCAGTCGCAAAACTCGCCTGGTGCCTGGGGGATTTCTAACACTAGACTTAGCTGCATACAATCTTCAGGATCTGAGCAAAGTTTACCAGAAGAGCAATCCAGTATGGAAAGATATTAAGCCATTCAGTGTTGTCAACACTTTTTTTCCCTTCACCTAAAAATAAACTCTGTGTTGTTGTTTTTGTTTCAGAACTATCTTTACTAATGCACATTTGAATCAGTTGGTTAATTGTGTCAATTTTAGTCAAGCAGTTAAATCAACTGATTTCTTTAATCGCGCAGTCGAAATAACTTTTTGAAGTTGCTGTGCAAGATAAAACCACCAACTTCATATTGTCTCTCTCCCTCCCTCCCTCTCTCTCTCTCTCTCTCTCTCTCTCACACACACACACACACACACACACATATATATGCATATAACACACATATAATGATTGCTTGCTTGCCTAAGAGAGCTCTCCTGCATGAACAGTAGATTGTGGATTAAAATCTTTGGATCTGGGCCCATGTGACTTTCAAAAACTGCATATATTTAAGAATAGAGTGATGTGTGTGGGTGTAAACATTTCCATTAAAATCCTTGTCACTAATTCTTTTTCCATCTCTCTCTCTCTTGTAGTTGAAGCTTTATATCAAACAACATATCCAGAATATCTCCAGTACATTTACCTGGTTGCACCAATATCTCTTATGATGCTAAATCCCTTAGGATTTATCTTCTGTGAAATCCAGAAATCGCGAGACAATCAAAATCTCTCTCACAGCAAAATCAAGATTGTGGGACTTGGGCTTCTTCGAGTGCTGCAGAACCCAATTGTGTTCATGGTCTTCATAGGAATTGGCTCAAACTTCATTCTAAAGCAAAAAATTCCTGAATATTTGGAAAACTTCTTTGATGGACTTGGCAGCTCGTTTTCTGGCTCGGCACTCTTTTATCTGGGCCTCACAATGGTGGGCCAAATAAAGAAGCTGACAAAGGGTACATTTGTTGCACTGATTCTTCTCATCACAGCTAAACTGTAAGTCTGATTCCCTCTCAATCATTTGTGTTTCTATTACTTTCAGTATTGTGTTCATAGCTACTCTCATAGGATAGAAGCGGTATGAAATTGGTGCAGGAATGGTCTCCAACATTTATTTTTCCTGTTAACTGTTAGTATTTTGGGACTACATATTAGGCTGTTTGGGGGAACAATTCTTATACCCATTGGGTTGTATCTATACTTTGCCTTCTGCTAATGAAAAGATTCCTTCAATCTACAGAGAGCTTTTGATCCAGTAGAGAGGGATCCTGTGGACGGAAGGGTGGGGAGAGTGACTTCTTGGCCAACCTTCTTCCAGCACTTCCTCCAACATGGTTGTGTAAGGTCCCCCAACCTTCTGGAGCAGTGGAGGTGCTAAAGGAGGAAGTGGCAAAATGACTGAATTCATCAAGCATCCGTAAACTGTAATTAAGGAGATCACTCTGTAGGTGACTCAACATCTACATCTTAAGCTGCAGCTGATGAATCGTCTGATTAATATTTTCACAAGCATGACTACTTAAAACACACAGGCAAAATTTAAAGCAGAATTCCTATATGTCCTTCCAGCATGACACTTAAGTCTCAGTGGGTTTAGAAACTTTGCATTGAATTGTGGCGAGTAATGTGTTCAAAAGATTGTCTTTGTCTTTTCCTGCTGTTTCATTCCAGTATTCCTTACGGCTGCATTTTGAGGCTAGAAAATATTAAGATTGGCGCTGGGTAATTTGTGTTTCCTTTTCCCCTTCTTTTTTGTAGGCTGTTGATGCCGCTTCTATGCAGGGAAATGGTGGAACTGTTCGACAAGAGCGACAGCGTGGTCAACCACACCAGTTTATCAAACTACGCATTTCTGTATGGTGTCTTTCCATCAGCTCCTGGTGTAGCTATATTTGCAACTCAGTTCAACATGGAGGTTGAAATTGTATGTCTCCTGAACATTTAGTGAACAAATGTAAACTTAGGGCAGACCTAAAAATTGATTTTGTTGGGAATCTCAGGTGAGATATCCACACAGTAGTGGTTGCTCCCAGTACCAGTCATCACACAGAAGCTGAGAAAGGTTTAGATAGGTTACTGTTGCAGAAGATAAGGCTCAGTAAAACAGTTCTGGATGTAGGTGTAGATATAGATATAGATATAGATATAGATATAGATATAGATATAGATACAGACTCTAGGCTTTTGCAGATACAGATATTTACAGATACACGCAAGTACAAAGTATATCAGTTGCTCTATGTAAGTTCAGAAATTCAAGACGTAACATTGGACAAGTGACAACCAGCTAACTGACTTACAGAGACACAGTGCTGAGCAGACATGCATTAATCACAGATAGAGTCAGGGCACTGGGCTGTTACCATGGCAACTGGGTTGGCTATCACCGCACCCGCAATTAGCTCATTCATGGGGTGGTTTATGCTCACAAAGAAAATTAACACCTCGTGTCCAGTTACTCCCAACAGTTTTTTCTTATGCAAGCATTCCTGGCTTCTTAACCCTGCTCAGAGATTAAGGGTCACAATTAATAATAATGCAATATACACTTGTGCCTATTGATTTCAGTGTGCCTAAGAACATTTAGTTATGTGTCAGATTTTGGCTCACATACACAGTAATCTGTTTTGTTTATAGTAATGAAACATTACTGGTTATTTCTACTTCTTCTGGCTTTTTGCAGACATTCAAGGGTCACTTAACTGGTTAAGTTTTATTATTATTTATTTAACAAACTTTAAATACCACTTGATTGTAGTAAAACGTCTACATGAAATATTGAAATTATCAATATAAACAGCCTGAAACACCTTAAAAATAAGTTCAAGGTATTACTATTGGCATATAAAGCCCTTAGCAACTTTGGACCAGTTTATCTGTGAGATTTCCTTTCCCCACATGTGCCTACTCGACCGCTTCGATCAGTGGAATTTGCACTAATACAGGGGCCTCGTAATACCCATTCCACATTTGTAAGAACTCCACCTTTCATTGTGGCAGCACCTGCCCTTTGGAACTCACTCCCCATTGATATCAAACCAGGCGCCTTCATTGGACTATTTTCGGCACCTGCTAAAAACATCCTTGTTTAGAAAATCTTGCACAGATGCTTAACAAGTTGAGATAATTTTAATCTGTTTTAGTATTTTAACTTTTGTACGTTTTAAAGCATGGTTGTGAATTTTTCTCGATTTTACTGTTTTACCTTTTTGCAAAGGTAAAGGTGTTAGGTTTTTTTTATAATAAGGGGTATTGGTGGTTGTTTTTAGAATCAAGAGTAATCAGTATATAAATTTTATGAAACAAATAATAAAATATTACTCCATTGGTCTTCAACCTTTTCATACATGCATCTTTAACCCATTGGTGGATTATGCATTACGGATTGCATTGGATTTGGTTGAAGCAAGAGGGTTATGCTATAGATTGTCTAAATTTCTCCATTCTTGATGTTTTGTACAGTGGAACCTCTGTTTTTGAACGTGATCTGTTCTGGAAGACTGTTCAACTTCCGAAACATTTGAAAACCGAGGATCAGTGGGCTGGCTGCAAAGTCAATGGGGGGAAAAATGAAAAACGCGCCTCAGAAGCCATTTGACTTCTGAGGCACGTTCAAAAATGAAAGCAATTACTTCTGGGTGTTCAGCTTCTGAGACGCTGGAAAACCGAGGTTCCACTGTCTATTGTTTGTTTTATGGTTCTTGTACTAAGCTGTGTATTTTAATATTGCATATTTCCCTTGGAAACCTTTAGATTGAAGGGTGGAATATAAATTTGATATTAAGATTTTGATTATTAATTATTAAAATGGTGCTGCGGGCTTTTACTTGCTGAATACTTTCCATTTATAAATCGCATCAGATGATGTTGATCCACAAAGCTCACACATCATTAAAGTTGTGTTTTCACCCATTTATATTCCTCTCCTGATCTGCAGTTGAAGTCATATGTTCTTGTTGTCACCTTAATTTCTGATTGCAGATAACGTCTGGTATGGTGATCAGCACTTTTGTCTCTGCCCCCATCATGTATGTTTCTGCCTGGCTGTTGACTATTCCATCTATGGATCCCACTAGACTGGCATCTGCGATCCAAAACGTTAGCTTTGATATTAGTATTGTCAGTCTTGTCTCTTTGGTGAGTTTTAAATTTTCGAAACTGCATTGGGGGGGGTGAGGAATGAAGCATGTAAACATGCATGTTCAAACATGTAAGCCTGACAGTGTAAACCTGAGCATGCTTACTTGGAAGTAATTGCCATTGAACACAGCGTGTTTAATTCCAAGTAAACATGCACAGTGTTGGGTTTTCAGTTTCTACCATAGCCAGTTGCTGGAAGACTTGCAGGTTAATAGAAGCTGACAATCTGGGCTATGTGAAATTCTAACCCTTCTTGTTAAAAGGTTACCTGTAACGTTAACAAGCTTTTGATAATGGCAAACAGTCTTGGAATTGTATAAGACCGTACAGGGCAAAAGCGGTTGTCCTGAAAGCTTCAGAATACAGTGGTACCTCGGGTTACATAGGCTTCAGGTTACAGACGCTTCAGGTTACAGACTCCGCTAACCCAGAAATAGTACCTCAGATTAAGAACTTTGCTTCAGGATGAGAACAGAAATCGCGCGGCGGCAGCAAGAGGCCCCATTAGCTAAAGTGGTGCTTCAGGTTAAGAACAGTTTCAGGTTAAGAACAGACCTCCAGAACGAATTAAGTTCTTAACCCGAGGTACCACTGTACCAGACATATTAATAGATTTCCCTCCCCCCCCCCCACGCTGTCAGATGGTGTTTTTTTTACAGGTAGCCCTATTTACACGTATATCTATGGATGTTCCTGTTTTATGAATAAGACACCAAGCACTTCTTGTGCTCTGCTGTTCCAGACTGAGGACTGTTTGACAAATTACATTTTCATATATATGTCTGTATTTGGGGGCTGGGGTGGGGAATGGCCTCTGTCCAACTAACTTGTGCCAGCAGAAGCCAGTGCCAAGGATTCCTGCTAGACTTCCTTCTGTGCCCTCCCCAAGTCTTGCTCAGAAGGGTCAGGAGAACTCTACAGAACATCCTACAGTGGGGGGAGAGAGAGTTGCCAGTGCAAGAATTTCTCCTTGCTCAGGAGAGGAATCTCCTTGGTGCTATGTTGAATGCAGCCCATGTGTTTATACCCTGTGGGTGAAAACTGTACATGCATATTTTCATGTGGGGGAAGTAGGTCTTCTTCTTTGGCGATCACTCGTAGCCGAGTAAGATTGTCTTCCATGAACGCGGTTTCAGCAATGAGTCCGTAAGTGACTGTGGAGGCCAATCCCAGATCCACACGTCCTTCCACAGTGGGGACATTGGTTTCGGTGCAGTGTGGATTTGCCAAGTGTGCCTTCCTCTTAGCGCATTTCTCCCTTTTGTCCTGAGTTCGAGTGTCTTCAAAGCCCATGACACCTTTGGTAAAGGCTGCAAAATAGAGGGAGCTGCATTGAAACTGCATAGCACCTAGCGCTATCTACAGAGTCCTTGTTTTCAGGGTATTTGATGTTTCAGACTGAAGTCTTCTGTGCTTGAAACCAAAATGAAAAACTTGGATCTCTTGATCGGGCTAGCTGTAGCTGCATTCAAAGTTTTTTGTGCAGTGGACAAGACAGGGTTGCTAAGCATGTTGGAGTCGGTGGTGGTTTCTGCCTGTTAAGCAAACGGAGCATTTTTAAGGGGCTTGATAATTAACTCGCTTGTAAAAATCGGAATGCTGACTCTCACAAGAGACAGGTTTTGACCAAACACATGCATGCATTTGATGTGCTCCCTTCTTTGTAAAGAAACTAGAATTTGACTCTCTTACCTGTATTTCAGATCTGGTCCCTTGGTGTTATTCTTCTAAGTAAAAAATACAAGCAGCTTCCTCACATGCTTACAACTAACTTACTCATTGCTCAGGTCAGTATAACGTAGACTATAAACATATGGAACATTTCTTGTAAAAGGGATGGTTTTGAAAGTAATAATAAGCAGGAACTGTTTTGTTTTCTGCTGAAGCTCTGAAGGCGTGTGCCACAGACAGCAATCTTAGTGAAACCAAGTAGGCCTGGCTAATGTATTCATAGGAGATAACCTGGAAATCCCATGCATGTTGCTTTGTGTTCATGATGGAAGAGTATAAACAATGATAGATAAATCAATACATTCAGTTGCTTCTGCAAAGGGAATTCTCCACTGCAGCTTTCTGCGTACCCCAACAAAAGTTTTCCCTGGGAGTTGGGTAGAATATGAGACTCTGGGGAAAGAAACTTGGGGAAATCTTTCAGAGGCACCTGCAATGAAAAGGAGGGGTTGGGAAATTCCCCTTGCCCCAAGCATTGCATTACCTTGGTTTAATAACAGCTTAGTTTATGAACAACTTGGGATTAAGAACGCTGTAAACCCGGAAGTAGGTGTTCTAGTTTGTGAACTTTGCTTTGGAAGCAGAACATGTTTCACTTCCTGTTGAGTGTGTTCCATTTGTAAATTGAGTCCCCTGCAGCTATGGGAAAGCACACCTTGGTTGAAGAACGCTTTGGTTTAAGAACGGACTTCCGGAACGGATTAATTTCATAAACCAAGGTGCCACTGTATATGCAAACTTGGTTCTTTCATAATATTGCAAGCTGAATGTGCAGATTTCTGTGCTCGTCTGCTAGAAACAGTGCATGTAGCCAACCCTGTCCTGCCATCCATTGCAAGTAGTGTCAGCTGATGGGCAGATGAATGTCATTTGGGGGAAATGGCCCTGCAGGGCAAGATTGGCCCGCTGGGATACTCAACAGTGGGATACCCCACCCTGTCTTAGAGGCATTACCCCTTCTGACAACAGGGGGCAAGCATGCCTCTTCCAAGATTATGTCTTCTCTGGCACAAGCATTGTATAATCTAAAATAAAATAAAGCTCTTTTCTGATACTACCTCTATTCTAGTCCATGGAAGGGAAACAGAAACTGCTCCACCTCTTCCCCTTCCCACCCCAAAGTAACAGGGCAAAGGGAAAGCTACAATTAACCTGTTAATCAGTCAGTTCATTAATTACGTGAATTTTAATTTCTGAGATGTCTTCCATTGCATGGCAAACCCATAAAGTGAATTAAAAATAAACCTGATTTTTACCTTTCAGTTTGTAGCCTGTGTTGGAATGGTAATGTGGAATTTCACTATTAAAGAGAGGAGCATCACTCTGCAAATCCTTGTGTTCATCTTCCTGTACAGTGCGCTTTACAGTGCTTTTTTGTGGACAGGTAAGCTAAAAAGCAGTTATACGGGGTATCCATAACACAACTCCACGTGCATTACGGTGATCTTGCAAGTTACCGTATTTTTTGCGCTATAGGACGCACCAGACCATAAGACGCACCTAGTTTTTGGGAGGAGGAAAACAAGAAAAAAAATATTCTGAATCTCAGAAGCCAGAACAGCAAGAGGGATCGCTGCGCAGCGAAAGCAGCGATCCCTCTTGCTGTTCTGGCTTCTGGGATAGCTGCGCAGCCAGCATTCGCTCCATAAGACGCACACACATTTCCCCTTACTTTTTAGGAGGGAAAAAGTGAGTCTTATAGAGCAAAAATTACGGTATTTCCCCTCTTAATTAATAGCGCCTTTGTGATAGAGGTCTGTACGTTTTCTTCCTTCCAAGCCGAGTCAGTCTTTTTTTCCTGGTGTGTCCAGCCTCACCCCTGTCACCGGGGTGCCCAGAATGCTTTCCATTCATATAGCTCTTTCAGTGTGCAAATTACATCACGCACATTAGAATCATCATAATATTCGCAACATCCCTGTAAGGATGGGCCAGTATTAACTTTTATGTTGCAGATTGGACGTTGAGTAGGAAAGTGGCTTGCCTCAAACCACCTAGTTGAGTCCGTGGCTGAGCTGGGAATTGATCTGGATTGCATCTCGTTTCTGTTAGTCGCTATGCTAACAACAGCTTCCTTCCTAGTTTGGATTATCTGCATATGCCAGCCAGCTGGATTGTTGCATATTTTAGAAGCCTGTGCTAGATCAGTAAAAGAGCTTTGCATCCTGGGACTTAGTCCCCTGCATCTCTAGATAGGAGAAGACTCCTGTCTGAAGAGAGTTGCTGCTAGTTTGGCCTGCCTTTCATCGAACCTTAGAATTGTAGAGTTGGAAGGGACCGCGAGGGTCATCTAGTCCAACCCCCTGCAATGCGGGATTTTTTTGCCCATTGTGGGGCTCGAACCCCTGGCCCTGAGGTTAAGAGTCTCATGCTCTACCAACAGAGCTGTCAAGGTGGTCTACTTTGTGTTCGGCATCTTCCTTTGTTCCTGTTTCCTACAGTGTATCCTTATTTCTTAATACCTTTTGTGGTTATAAGGGGATGAGGCATTCCACTTTCCTGGGGGGCGGGGGGGAACGCTGCTTCCTTAAAAAGAAATAAACCAAGTTTCAAACTTTGTCGTTATCAGGTTTCTTATCTTTCTCTCTGCTGCTTTTGAAAAGAAGAGAAGCCATAAAGATCCCTGTCGGATTTATCATTATAGCTGGCTGGGGGTATGTTGGCAGAGGCTCTTTACTGAGAAAATATGTAGGAAGCCAGAAGCTAATGACCTGTGTGGTTCATCTTGGGTTTTTTTGTTTATTGCAGCATCCCAGCTGTTCTTGTGGGAATCCTGTTAATCGCTGGTGAACGCTCGGATAACATCATTGATTCTGCATTCTTTTATGGAAAAGATCAGGTATAAAGGTTCTTCCGCTCCTGTCTTTTAATAGTTGACCTTCCATAGTCAGTGTTCGTGAATTTTGCCTTCCAGGGGAGGGATGTCCTTTCAGCCCAAGCGCCTTACAGCCCAACCTTACAGAGGGCCATAAGGCAAAAGTTGGTGTCGTAACTGATGTAGTTCTTATCTTTGTGTACAGTAAGCTATGTTCCAGCCAGATGGCACACCCCTCTACCCAGGCAAACAAATAGCGTTTCAAGCAGTATTGAAATGAGGGCAGTGATGTATGGCCTGAGGAGAATCACAGTGACTGCTTGGAAGACCTGGATTAGGCTTCCTCAACCTCAGCCCTCCAGAGGTTTTTGGCCTACAACTCCCATGATCCCTAGCTAGCAGGACCAGTGGTCAGGGTTGATGGGAACTGTAGTCTCAAAACATCTGGAGGGCCGAGGCTGAGGAAGCCTGACCTGGGGGGCCTTGTTCAGCTCCTCATCCTTAGGCTTTCCCACCCCTACTATGCACTTTCCGTCTTTATACAGTGGTACCTCGGGTTACAGATGCTTCAGGTTACATACGCTTCAGGTTACAGACTCCGCTAACCCAGAAATATTACCTCGGGTTAAGAACTGTGCTTCAGGATGAGAACAGAAATCGTGCAGCGGTGGCGCAGCGGCAGCAGGAGGCCCCATTAGCTAAAGTGGTGCTTCAGGTTAAGAACAGTTTCAGGTTAAGAATGGCCCTCCAGAATGAATTAAGTTCTTAACCTGAGGTACCACTGTAATGAAACACAACTTCCAAGAAACAAGGTGTAGAATTGGCTGCATCCCTTAAAAGCAATACTTGAGAAGTGCATTAGCAGCCGAGATTTCTATATGCTTGACAGAATTATATGCATGGTGCTGGGTAGAGAAAGGGGATGTTGACAAAGTACTGAGGATTAGATTATTTTGCTTGAGAAGTTGCGAAGCTGACATTAAACTTGACATCTGGTGTACAGTATGAACCAGAGGAGGCACAGGTTTCAGCAGGAAGTTCTAAATAAAGCTGAGGTAGGTGTGTGGCAAATGGAACGTTACTATTGTATTTTTGGTTCCTTTCTCCCCCTCAAAAAGCGACTTGTACTGTAATACAAACATCTGTTCCCAGCCTTTTGACTTTAAAAACCTCAAATAAGCAAATAGTATTTGTTTTATTCAGTATTCTAGAGACACAGTGATGCTGAATTTCTGATTCTTTTCAGCATGGTCACATAGGTTCTTTCAAATGACAAGGAACCTACTGAACTCCTGCCTCTCTCCCTCCCCCATTTTTGCAGATGATTATCACAGCAGTAATCGTATCCATCAGCATATTGATATCGGGTGTATCACTCATGTGTATGAACAGATCTGGAATGGAAGCCAGCTATGAGGTGTTGACCCAAGATTCCCAACACAGTCAAACAGAGGAAACAGAAAGGGAATTTAACGAGCGCAGTAGATCTCCAGACAGTTCTTCTCGTTCGTTGGTGGACCCTTCAATGGAAAGAGGTATGAGAAATCCTTAATAGAAGAAGCCTGGTTACTTTTGACGGCAATAGGGCATACTAAGGCCTCTGTCAGGAGATTGTTTTCCATTTTGTTTTGACCCAGGCATGCATGTTCCACACCTAAACTTGTAGACATTGCCACTTGCGATCCCCCGCTCACCTTGGCAGTGATATCTGAATGCCCGCCTCAAATAATGTACTGCATTCGAATTGCAAACCCATTGCAGGCCCATTTAAAAGAGCATAATCTTGTCTTGCTGTCACAATACCCTCTAGAAAAATAGACACCTTTCTAATCTGCCATTTTTCCTCTAGGGTGCTGTGAGTGCCAAAAGCCGAATAGAAGGTTATGCTGTTCTGAAGGAGAGCCAGGATCCAGTCTTAGCAGCGACCGCGATAACTGCATGACATCAATTGAGACAGGTGAAGCACAACTGTAGTATCCTGTGTCTTTCAAGCCCGTTTACAAATTTTAAAACGGAAGCATGTGAAATTGCACATGTGTTCATTAAGAGGCCTGCATGTGCACGGCCGAGAGTACACCACCCACATTTCAAGTTACGAACCTTTTCACATATAAGCCCTGTGAAGGGGGTCTGTACGCAGGAAGGGCAGAGAGGGTCAGTGGCTGTTGCCCTTTTCTATGTGTGGACTTCCAGCTGCACAGTTAATACATAAAGGGAGCTCTTATGGTTGAGTTTGGTCGGTGTGTGTTTTTTTCCTTCAGAGCATCATGTGTGTACTTCGTATTCATGTACTGCCACACGGGTCTCGGAAAATTATTTGATGGTGACTCTGGCCAAACTGATAACAAGCTTAATTTCCAGTGAGTGAAAAAATGAATAAGGCCAAAAGTAACTTTTGACAGTAGGGGTGTAGGAAGTCATTCACTGCCTCCTGTTATAATTTGGGTGAGGGTTAGAATGGGGGGGACGGGACCGTAGCTTGCTTTTGAGACAGCTGGAAAAGCAAGGCATTATCCCGCTAGCCCCTTTGCACTTTCTGCATGTAGGGACACAGGTGGCGCTGTGGTCTAAACCACTGAGCCTAGGGCTTGCCGATCAGAAGGTCGGCGGTTCGAATCCCCGTGACAGGGTGAGCTCCCATTGCTTTGTCCCAGCTCCTGCCAACCTAGCAGTTTGAAAGCATGCCAGTTCAAGTAGATAAATAGGTACTGCTGTGGCAGGAAGGTAAACGGCATTTCTGTTTCCATCACGGTGTCCCGTTGCACCAGAAGCAGTTTAGTCATGCTGGCCACATGACCCGGAAAGCTGTCTGTGGACAAATACCAGCTTCCTTGGCCTGAAAGCGTGATCAGCACTGCAAACCCATAGTTGCCTTTGACTGGATTTAACCGTCCAGGGGTCCTTTCCCTTTTTACCTTTTTTTTTTACCGCTGCACCATCTCCCGCAATCTTCAGAGAATATTCTAAGAGGCTTTATATGGGATGGATAGAAAACCATAATGTTTGGGGACAACAACTCCCTACGTTCTTTGTGGGTCTATAGAGGATCACACAACGATGGAAGCAGTAGCAGGAAGAAAATAATTTCACCTGTTCGTCAAGAAGGGCAGCATATTCTTTGGCACAGCGAACGACTTGACTAGAGAGACTAGAGTGTGTGTCACTGGTTAACAAGGAAGAGGAAAGGAGCCTAGGCCTCTTGAACTAATCTAAGTTAGCAGGAACTATCACTGCTAAAATTGGCAGCAGAAAGGGATCCAGTGTTCAGCTGCAGCAAGCTCCCTGTATGGGAATTTGTTGACCTCTTACTGCCATCTGGTGGCAGGAACGATTTTTGCGGTCAATAACTTTTGATACTTTCTATAAATACGCCAAATTCAACTTTAGAAGTGGAATTCATTGTAGTGCTTAGCTGTTGATGTATATGAGAAACGAGGTCCACTCGCCAGTGCCAGTGCTATTTTTCTAAAAAAAAGAGGTGTTGGAACTCGCCAGAAACGCCTTCCTTGTTCTCTTATAATAGCAGTGGTGCTGGAACCAAGTTCCTGCTGAAAAAAAGCCTTGTCGCTTGTGCAGTGAAACCTTCCCGCTTCCTATCCCCGCGTGCCCCGTAAATCTTTTCTGGGGCATCACCCAACCCTCCAGAGCAGATTGTGGGGTAGCCCTACTGCACACAACTTCATTGAATCCCGCCCTAAATTCTGTTACGTTATGTTTTACCTATGGAATTTGACGTGGGGCTGAAGAAATAAAATGCCAGCATGCTGATATTCAACTTAGTAAGGCTACACCATGTAGAAAGCATTGTGGGTCGGTATTTTAGTGCCAGTATTTCCTTTCTCGTTTCTCTCCTCCCCACACCTGGCCAGGAAATTTAATGTTGGATTAAAAGCCTGTTCCGGAGAATCGCTTTAGTGCTGTGCTGTTTTAAGCTATTCAAGTGGTAACTGCCCCTGTTGCTTTGTAAGGTCACAGAAATAGGGTAGCTGTTGGCCTGGGTCAAAACTCAAGTCTTTCACTCCTTGAAGCAAGCAGCCAATATAGTCTTTCACAAGCAAAGGGTGTGTGTGTGTGTGTGTGTGTGTGTGTGTGTGTGTGTGTGTGGAATGCAATGGAAAAGAAAGGACATACAGTTTATTTTTCTGATTACTATTCTCTAGTGGGGGGGGGAATGCTTTTGCTTTAACAATATGATAGGAATCAATACAGTATTTACATATCAATTGGGCAAAACAGTTCATTGAAAAACTTAACATATGTCGCACTTTAATGTTTTTCAGCGAATCGGTGCTTAAGTCCATGCAGTTCTCAGAGCTGTGCCTTGGTCCAGGAAGAGCAGCTTCTGCAAACTGGAGACAAGCAGCTGGCTAGACATGTGCTGCTGTGCTTGCTTCTCATTGTGGGCCTCTTTGCTGTAAATTGCATTTTTTTTCCCACCTCTTCTGATAACTGTTTTAGTTCATTGATTCACACCAATGTTTAGGGAAGTCAGTGCAGGGAGGGGAAACTTTCAATGCCATTATAATTTATGCAGCATTTTTTATTTGCTGCATTTACATCCCATCTTTCCTCTGCAGAGCTCACTGCATCATTCTCCTCCACCCCCAATCTTATCCTCACAACATTCATGTCAAGTAGGTTGCTTGCATTTGCACCAGAATTCTAGAGGTCCTCAGCAATGCACAGTGTTAGAGTTCACATTAGGTGGACCAGTGGTCTGATGTGATATCGTCAGTTTCCTATCTACCGTATTTTTCTCTCTATAAGATGCACTTTTCCCCTCCTAAAAGGTAAGGGGAAATGTGTGTGTGTGTTTTATGGAGCAAATGCAGGCGGGAGGCTCTGCTCAGCGCTCCCTTTAAAGAGCCGCGTGGAGGGCTTTTCCCCGAAGAGGGACAAGGGCAGCCCTGCATGCTCTTTAAAGGGAGTGCGGCTCTTGGGGGAGCCTTAGCCGCGCGCAGCCTCTCCTGGGCAGTAGGAGCCTTCATCCCCTGCCTGGTAGAGGCTGCGCGCGGCTATCCCATAAGCCAGGACAGCAAGCGGGATTGCTGCGCAGTGATCCCGCTGGCTGTCCTGGCTTCTGGGATTCAGAATATTTTTTTTTTTCTTGTTTTCCTCTTCCAAAAACTAGGTGCGTCTTATGGAGCGAAAAATACGGTACTCCTCCTTGTGTTAATATAAGAATATTGCATAAACCCCTTGCATGGAATGATGTCTTGAAGTGACCTGCATTAAATAGTGATAAGCCATCTGTTGAGGTGTAATGAAGAGTTATTGCACAAAGAGTAGCTGGCATGGCGTCTTGTCACATGTTCTGGGCTACATTGTCCCTAATCATTGATTGATCTTGCTGACTTGGTCCAATGGGAGTTGAGTCTAGCAACCTCTGAAGGACACCCTGTTGTCTACCTCTGAAATAGGCTACCACACCTGTAGTCATTCTTTCCTATCATGCTTTCAGGTGTTGGTATAACAGCAGACAGCATTGGAGTGATAAAGAGATGGGCTGGTTGTTCCATCAGCTGTGTATTTAGTGAAATGAACATTTCATTAAATTCTTGGGGCGTGGTACTCGACCAAACAGTTTTGTAAGTCCAAATGAGTTGTGTTTGGACATTGGGGCTTCCCCTGTGTGCCCCACCATATCCAAATCTGCTCCATAAGGTAGTGGGAACCCCAGAACAGATTTAAGAGGGTGCACTGTGATGGGGAGGAAGAACATTCTCTTGCGCAGAGACAAATCATTGTGTTGATAGACTGTTCCTCCTTAGTGCTACTTTGAATACATGCAACCCATGACTTTACTATATTAGTACAGAGACAAATGGCTAGTAGCTTTCCATTGGAAAAGCATTTTGTTAAACAGATGTACATTCCACCTCGTTGCAAGCCCTAAAGTGGATTGCAATAAAAATAACAAAATTCACACACAAAAAACGTGAAGCTTTAAAAATATTTGTTCTTCTTGTCTTCCCCCAGAATTTATCCAGCTGTTTGTGGTGGTTGTTCAACCAAGAACCTGGAAGACTCTATGTGGAGCTACAATTCTTTTGCGCTGTATTTAATTTTGGTCAGGTAATATTGACTCTGACATCACACCTCCGATCTTACATTCACTTGACTGAGACAACATCTCACTGAACCCAGTTAGCATGCATAAGAAGATTGGGATAAAAAGAGTTTGCCAGGAAGGGGGGAAGGGGCCCCTCTTTGTTCCTTTGCTTATTATGAACTTAAAGAAAATTATGTTGAAAGTACTCGCTCTGTCAATGTGCTCTGACAAGTTGCACTGGGTTCCTGGCTGCTGTACCAGTCTTTAAAGGGAGGGGGGGAAATACTCATTTCCAATAGACAGATGTTTCATTAGCATCTGTCACCAAGACAGAGGATGGATGGATGTTTCAGCATTATCAGGTGACTGTCATCAAGGTCTGTAGATTTCAATGAGTGCACATTATTGAAAGTAGTCATTAACTTGTAACTTAGGTATTTGTACTAGCACTTATTTTAATTCCTGCTGCTGTTACCACATACACCCTTGTGTGTGTATAACCTGAAGTAAAATAAAAGCCACAAAGTGTCTTGGGATACCTTAAAATTCCTTAGATTTTAGTGGTCTACTTATCAATGTTTCTTTTTAAAAAAATAATAACAATCCTTTCTTTTTCAGGGATTCATTTCTTTTGGAATTTTTGGTTTAGACAAACATCTTATTATTCTTCCATTCAAACGGAGGTAATTTTCCAAATAAGTATATGAATGTGTTAATAATGCCAACTGTCTTTCAGATTTGACTCCCAACTAATGTTATTTCTGCCTTCTCTTCTGTGCAGCTCTTAACTTTTGTACCATTCACGAAACAACATTCACATACATGGAATGGGGCTTTCTCTTCAACTCATTCTCTGTGGCCCTCTGTTCTTGAGAATCTGCTATATGGGATTGAGGGGGGGCTTGAGGATGGTAGGAGATATTAATACGGTGGGCAGGGGTGGAGTTTACAAATTGCTGTCCTCCTTACACAAACAGAGCAGCTTAGGATCCAAGCTATAGTCACCAAATGATGGAACAAGTGTGTATAAATCAGCCCAAAGGGTACAGTCACACCTCGGAAGTCGAACAGAATCTGTTCCAGAAGTCCGTTCGACTTCCAAAATGTTCAGGAACATGGCTCCTGCAGCCATCGGAAGCTGCAGAAGTCGTGACGGTCTTTCGAGTTCCAAATAACGTTTGCAAACTGGAACACTCACTTCCAGTTTGGCGTGGCGTTCAGGAGCCAAAACGTTTGTCTTGCAAGACGTTTGGCTTCCAAGGTATGACTGTACTTGAATTCAGGAGCAGAAATTCACACCTATTCGTCCCGTTTTCTATTCCATGCACAATTTTTCGAAGGCAAAAAACCCCACAAAAATTCTCATACTGCTTCTCCCTTGAAACTAATTATTTTCAAAGACCTGATGTGATAACTCATCTATACATAATAGAAAGATAATGTACGTAGATATTTATAATAAGACGTTCCTATTTCTTTTTATTTGTTGTAATATTTCAGTGGGCTTGTTTCAGATTGACTTTTTCTCTCTCCAGGTTTGAATTCCTCTGGGGAAACAGGACATCGGAGCGCAGGGAATCCACTGTACCCGAGGAAATCCGGATGACGTGCCAACAGTTTGTTAATTACCACAAAGAGATGTGTGTCAGGAGCATTGTCCAAGACAGAAGGTGGGGCTGTATACCAATGTAAAGATTTATTCAAACTGTTTCTATTCTTGGATGATGGATACACTTTGCAATCAGTTCTGGTGTCCTAATCTCTGAGTGTTTTGTGTTGGAAATGCTTCCAAAAAACACTAAATATGCATGTGAAAGCCTCTAGACTTGTGTTTTGTTTTCTAATTCCTGGACTAAGGTATGCTTGGTCTTAAACCAAAACAACAGGAAATCATTTTCAAGATTCTTTTTCTGAGTTAACATAGTGTCAGACTAGTGGAAAGTGGCTGGCATTGCTGAGGGATTCTAAGGAACCAAAAATTCAGTGCAGTTTTGAAATTAGTGATTAAATAATAATAATAATAATAAATTTTATTTATATCCCGCCCTCCCCAGCCGAAGCCGGGCTCAGGGCGTCTAACAACTAAAAAGTGAGTGCTGTCTTGAAAGGTTTGGTGTGTCGATTCAAAATGGCATGCTGTTGTATCCTGAAACTTAGGACAAGAATCTGCTCCTTGATCTCAGCAACCATCCTACAAAATTTGCTTATGATACCTTAAAAGATCTTCTATATGCCTAGAGAACAAACTTCTTTCTAAAATATATAGTAGATCATGCTAGTATGCTCAAATTGTAGCCAATCATTTTACATGCTGATCGAAAACAATTTACGGTACATCTCCTTAAAATACATTTTAATAAATGTTTTAATTTTCCAGTATAACACAAAAAAATCGCCATATAATAAATATAACCCCTCCCCTCCTCATGAGAACAAAGTAAAGAGTTCAGCCAAATATATCCCACCACTGTTTGGCATGCATTGGCAGAGGTTGGATGAAATTGGTTTCTGATATGTATTTCAACAAGGTAATTTTCCATTTGTTGCCTATTCAGTGTTTTTAACTGTTTAGTCAGCTTTTCCAATCCTTTTGATTTCAAGCAGGCAACTGCAAACAATCCAAACCCTTCCCATTTTGTGCAAGCAATGGATAATTTGCAACCAGTAGAAAGTCTTATTTAAAACATTTGAACCTCAAACATTTAATGCAAGAACTCAAAAGTAGTGGTGGGAGAAGCTACTGTTTTCTAACCTGTCATCCTCCACATAGTATTGCATGAAACCAAGAAATCTTGGGCTTAAAACTCCCATCAGATGGAGTTCTTACTGATGCTACTCTTGGTGTATTTTTTAATCACTTTAGAGATCAAACCTATTATGTACCTGAAGTCCTAAATCGGGTGGGGATCTATTCATTCAAGGAGCAGCTGATTAGCAAAAGGGGACTTGGATATGTCCCAAAGCATGTAATTGTGGCTTCTAACTCTGCAAAATCAGCTGCAAGGAGACCAAAGCAGAGGGCCTGGGTGGGTGTATCTCAGCAGAAAGGTACTTACATTCCTGAAGAGATATTCAAAATGCTGTCCACACACCTTGCAATTTCTTGCATGCAATCTTTGGGATGCAAAGTTCATTATTAAGTTTGAGGCTCTGAATAGCTGTAAGGCAGGGCTTGCAGTCCCAACTGTGCATTGTTTAGATGCTCATTCACCTGCACAGTCAGGACTGAGGAAGGGTGTTGGAGAAAATGGGATTGTGTGTCCATGGGGCAATAGCTGTGTGTGTGTCTGTGTCTGGTGTTAGGGGTGTATGATCATATGTGGGTCTGGCCTTGTCCACTCTGAGAATGCAGCCCCCACGACAGCTTTTCACCAGGGTGCTACAGCCCTTGGCCTGAAAGAAAGTTCCCCACCCCTTTCCCAAATGAGAGAGTTGTGTTTGTCACGATGTTTTCAGATATAAGCAGTGAGGTTTCCAGTTCAGGATTACATATTTCCCAAAAGTTTTGTCTTTTGGGATAAGGGGTATATAATAGACTTACTGAAAAGGAATTTTAGAACAGTCCTTGGGAATTCCCAAGATGGCTTGAGTTAGGACAATTCTGCTGAATTCTTTGTTTTTTAAGTTCTGAAACGAAATGCTTTTTTTGTTTTGTTTTGAGTATGTACATTTGTACAGTGCCCTTATTTCCATACTGTGGTGAAATATATGCATTCTCTTGATCCTTTCTCATGTATGTGTTTTTCTTCTAATGTTTTTTCTCTCTCTCCTTCTCAGTTGAATGTTCTGCATCGGTCCTCTTCTGTTGTTGTTTCTTCTTCTTCTTCCATCCTTTTGTGTGTTGGATCTGCTTCACTTCACTAATCCAAATAAATTTTTGCTCATCGTTTTAATAAAAATGCTGATTGGTTCCTTCTTTACGTTGGTTTGCTGCCTTGTGTAGCTGGTCATATTGGCTTGCTCTAACTCTCTAACACATGCTTCCTTACAAGATAAGCAGAAACATTCACTATCACAGGTCAACTTCTGAACAATACCCTTGTGGCTGTGGGTAGTTTTTCTCCACTGTGTCATTGGAAATAGAACTAGATCTTTTTCTCTTCCAAATGTCGTTCTCAGTATCTTGCATATTCACAACAATTTAGGGGAATTAAAAAAGTTCAATTACTGTTCTTATACAGTAATAGAGAATTCTCAATTTAAGTTTGAAAAACAAGTTAACGTAATTGCAATTAAAAGGTAGCCAAGTCGCCGTACAGTCCCCCAAGGCAGCACTTCCCCTGTTTCAAAGCTCCTTGCAGTATGAATTGCCATACAGGATTGGCATCACCCTGCCAGACAGATGCATTGCAGGCAAGTGGTGTGCGCAACTGCACCAGCAACTAGGCTGGAGGGCTTTTGAATGGACTCCTGCTGATTTAGTAACCTTGACTTAGGGGCCAGCGGGTTTAAATGGCTCTCAGTCGGAAGAGAAAGCTGCTCCAGACGTTGTGCTAGTGAATGTTGGAAAGGTGGCAAAACGGTCCCTGAATGGTTCCTCCTTTAGACTGTAAGGGGGGATTGATCACCTGTGTGAATCATCATCATCCTTTTATTTGTATGTCCCCTTTCCATAGTTGAAACTATGTTCAAGGCGGCTTACAACGTGACAAGATTTACACAATTACCAACATAACAAAAGTCATAAGCAATAAATAAAACGCATCAAAAATACACAACCAAATGGAAACAATTATTAAAAGAAATACTTAGCTAGCATGTAAAGATAGCATAATTATATTTCCCACGTTTAGTCCCCAGCATCTCCAGGTAGGGTGGGGAAACCCTGGAGAGTCAGTGTCCACAGTCATGGCCTAGATGGACCCTGGCTTGGTCTAAAGCAACTTTGAATGTTACTCTACCAGCTTGTTCTCCATTTTTTAAATGCAGGCACGCAATCCTCCCCCTGCAGTCTGAAATGGTACAGTGGTTTACTGCCACTTCTGCTGTATATTGTGTGAACCAGGTAGCAATCGGACTGATTGAAATGTGGATTTCCCCTACTCTTTCCATCCTTTTTGTTACACGGAGTGGAGATCTTAGTTCGTATCACTATGAATGTTGAACTAGTGGTAGTTCATGCTATACTAACCCACATAGAGTGTTATTTTATGCATATGCTGGCTTCAAATGACTTGTGCATGCATGTTGATTGTGACTTAGAAAAAAGATAATCCAGGTTTGCAAACAAAAAAACCCCACAACCATGCTTAACTATACACATGACCTCCTTTTTAACAATTCTTTTAACTGTCATGCTGTCTTTCCTTGTTTCCCCCTATTTTTCCCCCTTTGTCTTCACCCATCAAACAGTGGTGGTACGAGATTTACAGAGCATGTGGGTGAATCCTTCCTTTGACATACAGGTGTGGCACAAAGACTGTGGCCGGGGTCTTCTGTGGCTGTGACCTGGTGAACTGGCTCGTGGAAGTTGGCCTTGCCTTAGACCGTGGGGGAGCTGTGGTGTATGGAGAAAGACTGGTGAAAGGAGGCATCATCCAGCACATTGCCGATGAATTTGAGTTCCGGGACGAGCAGTTGTACTATCGCTTTGTGCCTCGGAGATGTGTGGCAGTAGAAAGCCATGGAAATGAGGATGCACTTTGAAGCTAGCCAAAAAAGAGTTGCCCCAACTCTTTCCTGACCCCTAGTTCTCACGCTCTTCTGTGATGTTCTCTTAGTGATAATATGGTTCTGTTTGTGTCCTACCCAAAGAGAATTAACGTCTCATGTGTTGAATACTGACTAATGAGTCATTTCAGGGAATTATTTAAAATATTTTTGATTTTTGAACTATGAACCGCTTCCCAATAGTTTCCTTGCCTGTGCAAGCAGTACTCTGCAAAAGTCTGTATTTGAGGAAAGTGTTGTGTTCTCCAGTTTAATTCTGTTTTTGAATTGTGATGCACTGGCAAAACAGCAAGGGATAGTTACTCAACACATTTTGGCCAGTCCGTTACTCCCTTTTGAACATAAAATCCTCTCTTTGTGCTGACATAATGAGACTGTGAAGATTGTTGTGGTGTCTGAGGATTAGAATTGGGAAATAAGCAGATTTTTGCCATTAGCAGTTCTTGGGTGAACAAGCCAATCATTTTAAAGAATGAAAAAGTAGACTGCAATCCTGTGTACCATCAAGCTGCTCAAATTCAATTGAAATCAGTGAGATTTTAAAGCAGCCTCTGTGCAGCACTTGCAGCCTAAACATGATTTGTTTTCCTAGCCTCATAAATTGCTCTGAAACAAAAGGTTGGCTTACAACTTCTGAACATTGAGCCATTTGTTTTTACAAACCTTAAAGTAATAAACAGATTCTGATGTCTGTGAGGTTGTGGTTATTTTGCACTTCTAAATTAGACCAATAGCCTATAAAGACCAAATACTTGAATTAGATTTGGGTACTACTTTCAATATGCAACTTAAATGAGTTATTTAAGTTTGTTGGATAACCTTGTAATACTGATTTGAAGGACTCTCGCATCTTCCCAAGGCCCCTTAATGGGTGATGCTCAGTTAAATGCCAATAAACCCTCTCATTAGTTTCTCTGTTTTTTATGGTTGTCTACATAAAGGAACACTGTATTTTAAATAATGCCCTTTATTTTTTAAGTAGATACTAGAGTGGTCATTTTATTGACCATTTTATATTAACTTAATTCACTGGAAGGAACAATTTGCCGTGTGACTTTTGTTTCTTCACCTAAAGTCATTAGATCTGTTATGTTGCCTAACCCTTTTTTGCCAGATGAGTGATGTGTGTGCTTTATTTTTATAGAGGTATGGATCAAAAGAGTATTCTTGGACTTGTGGCCGTTCGCCTCTAATAGTAGGGAGTCGGGGCTAGCAGCCTAGTCAACATTTCAGTAGCCACAACTGCATGAATATGCATGCGAAATGTACGAATAAACCACTTCCTTTTGCTGTCAAACGTGTAATCTATTTTATGTCAACCTTACACATGAACTGACAGGCCTGTTTGTATATGTTACAGAAGAAACACTATCTTCCACAATGTAGAAAACTGTGTTTGGTATAAAGTGTGGTTTTAATCTGATCTGCCGCTGAAATGACAGGAATGCATTACAATTACATTTCTGTGGCCAATCACGCTTTTGTCTAATTTGGGAGGAATTATGGAAAAATGTGTTTTGGAAGTAGTTGGCATTTCTGCATTTGTGTGCTCCAGTTTCTCAATAAATCCAGATGTTTAACCTTGGTGTTCTGTACATTCCTTTTCAGAGCTGAATAAAGTCGCTGCCTACAGAATTAAGTTCAACATAATTATGTACTTGCTATTTTGCACACTCACCCAAGTTATTTCCAGAGGAGGGGGAGTTTTCTCACAAAGGTGACCCAAAGCAAAACATTAAAACCCAAGTATAACAACCAGTTACAGAGCACTCTTGGTTCTCTACACAGAATTGCAATTTATTTTTGGCAGTAGAAGCGTTCGTGTTTTAACACAGCATTGCCATTTCCTACATATATAAACTGAAAAAGTAGCATCTTTCCATTATTTTGAATTTCTGTTGCATAATTTTAGCTTTATAGCACACCTTTGTTTGAAGAAACAGTAAACAGGCCCCTCATTGAAGTGAGGGCATCGAAAACAATCCTCATTTACAAAACCTTAGTGGCTTTCACCTGAAATAACTAAGAATTTATTCCTTAATTTTCCATTGGTTCATTTAGCATTCTACCATTATTCTTAGCCTAAGTTCAACACATGTGGCTACATAAGGGCACTTAAAATCTGTATCCACCACAGCCAAATTTCAGCCATAACAAAGATCCAACAAAAGCAATGAAATTTTAGTCACCATTACTAAAGCTTGTTGTTTTCAATGGGACTTTGTGCAGTTAACTTTTGTAGGACTTGTTCTTTCCTAGCAAGTCAATTTTAAAAATTAACCATTCACAATTACATTCTGGGGTGTTTCTTTTTAAAGTCTCCAACCTGAAGTGACAGGACTTCTAACTTCAAGTAAGCAGACTGCACTAGAAAGCATCTTGAGGGTCAATATATTAATATACTATCACACTATAAAGTGAAACTGGTATTTTTCACATTGCCGACTTTCCCTGAGTTAAGAAAGATAGGCCCTTCCACATTTAAATACTGAGAAATCACAACTGCATTGGTTCAGTTGGAAAGTTACACACTTGCTGCCCCCTTGAAATTTAACAGTGCATTTCTTCTTATAGTAAAGTAATCTAATGGGGGATGGAAGAAAATTCTGGCAGAAGTCCCATATCCACAACCCTACCAGCCTGGGCAGAAAGTGGCGGTAGTGCTACGATGGGGAGAAATGCACACCAGTTTCAGTGCAGAATATATGAAGAGGAAATATCTCCATCATTAAAGGCCAGTATTTGGAGGCTGCTCAGTGTGGCGTTTGCCCACTCATTATGGCGATGTCGTACTGGGGGGGAGAGAAAGGGTTAATAGGCTGACCAATAAAAAATCCCAGGGGCGGAGCCTAACTGTTTAAGGCTCAACACAGGTTTTGGCAGTTAGTCTGGTTGGTTTCTTGTGGGTGGGAGGCATAGGAGTCAGAGTAAGTTAGAGACAGAGAGTGAATCGGATTACAGTGTTTCAAAGTATTTAAAACTTGTTTGCGTACACGATAAACTGGAATCTTTGTTAATACGTTACAACCTGACTGAGTCTGAATATATTACCGGGGAAACCTGGTTGGTGGCTGTGGAAGAGATAAGCCGTGGTGGTGCAAGGTCAATAGTCCGTGGAACGACCGGGGGCCCTGTGCAAATGCCACAGTCAGTTACACTCCTGAAACCTAATTCAAAATTTCCTTGCTTTCTAGTCTGACTATACCCATATTATAATATGCTATTTGGCTAGAGCTGGGGATGTGCAAAGAACAAAACCACTTTGAGAAGTAAAACAAATTACCCAGTATTATCTTACGCATATGCCTGGATTTCATCATCTGTGCAGTTTGAGAAAAGATTAACTGCTTGATCAGCATCAAGGCTCCTGTTCTGTAGAATATGCTCCATTTCCTTAATCTTCTCTTTCTCCAACTTTCGGATCCGTTCCAATATCATGTCCCCCTTTTCCTATTAAAAAAATTTAAATTAAATTAAACTAACAATGTAATGCTTGAACATATGAACTCTTCTAAAAGTTATTTCATCCACCATTAAGAGGTTCATATCAGCCTACCCCTATCTGGTGAAGACCTACACAAAATGTAGCAGTGCATTCCCTAACGGAAGTGCTGCTTCTGTTCACAGGCTTCCAGCAGACTAGGAAGCAGCCTATTGCTGTCTGGAAATCATAGGGAATAACTTTCTTGTCTTTCCCACTATGTTAGAGTTAAAGGACTAGGTTAAGGGTGGGCAGCTAAGTGCTTTACTGCTACTTCTTTGGGGGGAGGGGAATTTTATTAGCCTTCGAGCACACATTTCTTGCTCCCTACCCACTAAACTAATGTCTGTTCCTAGGATATTATAATCTGCTGTTGTAGGAGTTCAAGCAGGTTAATTTCCTCCTTGCCTCTCTTCCAGTTTGTTTAACTGATGGGTTCAAAATTACGGGGCTCAACTGTGCTTGGTGATAAGACACCTGCTAGGCTCAGACTGTCTACATGACTTCTAGTTGCTGCAAAATAGGCAGCTCTGACCTACGGGCCAAATTTGGCCTGGCAGGGATCCCAATTTGGCCTGCAATGCTGTTCCTCACACAGCTCACCCACCTGACCCATACCTGATGTCATCTGTTGCGTTGGGTGCCGACATAGCTACAAAGGAATAATCGGGGGGTGAAAGTGATCTCCCACCACTCATCAGTGCATCTTGCTCTGATAACCCTGAAGTGGTTTGCATTGAAACAGCTGCCAAAATGGAGCTAGTGGCGGTTTCAGTGCAAAATGTGTTAGTGGCGGTTTCAGTGCAAAGCACTTCACGCTAGTGAAGCAAGTTGTGCTCCTACTGCCTATTAGCTTGTGGGCAGGGAGTTCAAGCCTGGTTGAAGGTGGCATTTCCCAAGTTGGCTGTAGGGAAGCACTGCACAAGGGACTTCGGCAGGTTGGAGGAACAACTCACCTGTCCGTCATCTGATCCCATAATGACATCAGGTGATTGTCCCACCTACCTGTCAAAGTTGGCCTGCAGGAGAGGAAACAGATAAAGATTTGGCCTGCTAGGTGGAGAAGATTACCCATCCCTTGTGGAAAAAAATTTTTAGCTCCACCTCTACCTGCAATAAAACAGTGTACCTTGGAAGCTGAACGGAATCCGTTCCGGAAGTCTGTTTGAATTCCAAAACGTTCGACTTCCAAAGCATGGCTTCTGATTGGCTGCAGGAAGTTCCTGCAGCCATTCAGAAGCCACGGAAGCCCCGCCGGATCTTTGGCTTCCAAAAGAACATTAGAAAACCGGAACACTCATTTCCGGTTTTCAATTGTTCGGGACCCGAAACGTACGAGTTCAAGGGTGTTCGAGAACTGAGGTAGGATTGTTATTTTGTTGCAAGACTGGTGTAAGTCACACAGTTGCATCGTCCACCCACAACCTGCCACATAAAGATAGTGGGCTGAACTGGCAAGCATCAATACTCTCTTCCCTCTCCCCCTGGGAGCAGACTTTCAAAGAGTATTTGAGTTCAGCTGGCTCTGCTTGAGCATAGGAAACAAGATCAAGTAGCGTATGCTAATATCCTCTTGACCTTTCAAGAACTATGTTTTGGCCCTGTGACTGAAAGGTTAGATGCCAGAGCAGTCTCTCTCCATCCGGAGACTGAAGTATTAAATTACATCAGCATGATTGCAATGGAACAGATTACATAAATCCTTACACTGATTTTTATTTTAAAGTCCATACCCCCAGAGATTTAACTTAAATTAACACACCTTAGAAGACTCCATCACAAGAGCTGCACTTTCATGTTTTCTGTAGAGTTCGTGTCTTCTGTCTGGCTTTGTCTGAAATCGTGGTTGCTTTTTAACTGGATCTTCGGGACCAAACACTGGGGAGCTGGTTTTTAGCAACTGCGTAATATTTGGCACAAAAATGAAAGGTTTAAAGACAGACCTAGAGAATAAATTGAAACACCAAGTGAAAAGAAAATTAGCAAATGCACAATGAATGCTGCTTTCCACCACGGACGTTAAGGTTAGCACACAGCCATTACAATATCTTATCTGTTTACTCCATACAGTCTACAAGTGAGAGTTCCTTGAGCTACTTGTTTTAATCAGATGTACTCAAGAGTATTTTCTATTAAAATCAGACAGGATGCACTGTCCACTAATGGTTGCAGTGCCTAGAACAAAGAACAGAGATTCTAGCACGTTTCAAGACTACCTTTTCTCAAGGGAAATCTTTCATGTTTCCTCATAAGACTTGCTGAAGCCTCACATATTTCAAAATGCATTCAGCTTCTTCAGGAAGAAGGGTGGGATGCAATTTGACTAAATAATAAATATGACAGTTCACATGTAACACTTAAGCCCAAGGTATGGCTTGGTATGAATGAGCAAGAATATGGGTACTCAGGGAGAAAATTGTGGCTGCTTCGCTCCTCCTCTGGTCCTACTGCGACTGCTGCATGACCCAGAGCTAAACTATGGTATCGTGTTAGACCTGAACCCAGGGTCATAGTTTGTCTCCAAACAAACAACGAGCTGTAACCAAAGTTTGTTCTTGGTTTACCCTTTGTGATTTGTCTGGGGGCTGTTTTTGCATGCAATATTAAACCAAACCGGAGGAGGAAAATGGTCACAATTTTCTCCTTGGGTACCTGTATGCCTGCCCATTCTCACTAAGCTTAAAGGTAAAGGGACCCCTGACCCTTAGGTCCAGTCGTGGCCGACTCTGGGGTTGCAGCGCTCATCTCGCTTTATTGGCCGAGGGAGCTGGCGTACAGCTTCCGGGTCATGTGGCCAGCATAACTAAACCGCTTCTGGCGAATCAGAACAGCGCACGAAAACGCTGTTTACCTTCCCGCCGGAGCGGTACCTATTTATCTACTTGCACTTTGACGTGCTTTCGAACTGCTAGGTTGGCAGGAGCAGGGACTGAGCAACGGGAGCTCACCTCGTCACGGGGATTCGAACCGCCAACCTTCTGATCGGCAAGTCCTAGGCTCTGTGGTTTAACCCACAGCGCCGCCCACGTCCCTCACTAAGCTTAGTGTTATGTCAAAACAAGGCCTTAATCTCCAGCCCTTTTGTGTGCTTGAGTTTTTTATGGCTCTTCTTGGTCCTGTCTGTGTGTGAAATAGTTTCATCCATTATGGATTATATTTTGGACTTCAATTAAATTTGGGGCTTTGTGTTTAACATTGTTAAAGGTCGATCATGAATAAGTTGCTCAAAGGAAAGTTAACAGGGCTAGGAATTTAGTCTTTATGATAAATTGTTGAGAGTCACCTGTCAGGGTCTGGAGTTCCAGTGAAGAAATGGATGCAAGGGAGGCTGGTTTCCTGAGGAAGTATGGAAACCATGCTTCCAGTGGTCATAAAGCCTCCTTCCATATTAATGCCGCTGTCCTTATCCCGAAGGATTGCCATCATTGTCTCAGCTGTTATTGTGCCTATGCAAGAAAAAACATTATTTGTTTCATATGCATATTTAACATAGTTTACTTAATAGCACCAATTCAAAAACCACATGCATGTCTGTTTCAAACTAAGGAACAATTAGGAAAATGATAAGTGAAACATGAATGACAGAATCAAAGAGGGCTCCACCATTACACTGTCCAAAAATATTCTTTCCCATGGGTACTAAAAATTAGTGTTGAGACATTAAAGAGTCATCCAGTTTCAAGCCTCACAAGATTTTCCAGAAATGTTCCAGAGAGAAATCACTTCTTTCTACATTAAGCGCCCTTCTGTATGAGACAAAGAATTCATCTGTCTGGCATCCTATCTCAAATAGTGGAAAATCAGCCTCTGAAAAGCTGACAAAATAATACATGAATGGCTATCATATCTGTGGCAGTGAATAGTTTAAATGAATTACGCACTGTGGGGTTTGTTTGGTCTTTTTGTCTCCTAAATTTATTGTCAGTTAATGATACTGGATAATTCAAGTTCTAGTGTAATATAAAAGTTGTTATATACTCCTTAACCTTTTTTGCTGGACTAAAAGAAAACTGACCAAATGTTTCAGCACAAAAAGATGTTCAAACCTCTTAATCTTTTTTGTTGTCATTTTCTGTACCTGCTAGAGAATGGGGAAATTATTTTTCTCTGCAACGTTTTTGGATTCCCTGAAGAATCTCACAAAACAATGGATGGCTCTAATCTTTTAAAATATGTATTTATCATGAAATACTGCTTTATGACATCTTTAGATGTTAAATTTAATCTTGGGGGAAACAGAAATAAAATGAAATGGGTGCCTACATGTCAATGTACTATGTATGGCCTTCTGTGCTCCATTTCCCATCCCAGTCAGCCAGCATAAAAGGGGGTTTGCAAATAAAAATGAAGAGAACCATACTAAATTTGTTGGGGAACTACCACTCTGCAAGGAAACAAAGTTTCCCTAAATGTGGAAAATTTTTCTCAGTGTCTGGGGAAGAATAGAAATGTAAGGTGATATCCAATTAAACAATTAAGCTAGTGCAAGGATTAGATTAAGACTTCCTCTCTCTCCTCTCCCTGCTGTCCCCAAATCTGCTCCAAGAGTTGGGAGAAACCCCACAACAGGTTTAGGGAGGAGAGAGAAAGAACATTCCACTGTATAAGAAGAAATCCTTCTGCTGATTGAACAAGTTGCATGGTGCTACGTTGAATTTTTTTTTTAATTAAAAAAAAAACCAAACTCAAATTCTAGTTAGAATTAAGCACACAGATGTGAAGCAGTGTGTTTAAAATAGAAAATTAGATACAATGCATTTTAAAGATAATAGCAATAAAGCATGAAGAAGTACTGAGCAGAAAAGGAGCTTGCACATCTCTCTTGGCAGGGAGTGAAGTGTGTGGGAAGAGATCCATCCATGCTCTTCTCTTTCAGGGTGCTTACTGTTAACTCTCAAAACCATGAAGTCTCTATTATCTGTACTGCAAGGGTTGTATTTCAATGAGGTCTCTAGCAATGTTTGGCATAGCTGCTAGCCAGAACTCAAAAGTCAGAAGGCCTTCTGGCTGCTGTCCCAGGAGAAATGGGGCAGAATAAGCATGAGCATTAGAAAGTAAGACTGGGGAAAGGAGTGCTCCAGAAGAATAAAAGGAGGGAGGACAAGTCTAATAGGTGAATGAAAACAGAAAGAGAAAATTGGGCTAGAGGAGAACTACACATGGCCAAGCATTGAAAAGGTGAGAAAGGCTGGAATTTATCTATTCACTAGAAATAAGCAGCCAAATACTTGGCTACCGGCCTCTTTGATCTGTATAAATGCATCTATCTCTGTTTTATGCTATTTACATAAAAATACTTTTCCACTTTAGATTTCCATCATTGCCCACCTGGTAGTTCAGAATACCCAGTGGCCATTTTACAATAACAATCTCAATATTAAAAATAAATCCTCTGCACCAATTTTGGAAAATCTTTTTTTTAAAAAAACAAACAAACACCTGAAAGTACTGAAATTTTTTAGAGACTAGTGCGTTACAATAATGATTCATTCAAGGTATGTAAAAAAGAAACAGCTTAAACTGCATCTGACTGATAACTTGAACACCTGGTGTGACTTAAAAATGGTTGAGGTAAGTATCTGAAAAATGGGGATTTAGAATGAAGGCACTGATAGAACCTCAACAAGGCCATCACATTAGACAGGTATTAAACATGTTCAGTATTCAGAACCTACAATTCCCCAAATGAATGTAGGATTTGCATGATCACAGGGGTATTATAGCTTCAAGTAATCCACTAGGAAGCACAGAATAACTGCTACAATTGGGGGCGGCAGGGCTCAGCAGAATGAATATTGAAACAGAGGAGTGCAATTTTATTTGGGCTTATGTTATTATTTTTTCAACACATGACTATACATGAAATTTTGATACACGTGTAATAAGCAAACAATACCAAATGATGGCTGTTATAAGGATCACAAAAGTCGGGGGATGTTCAAATGTGCTCTTCTAGTACCCTGTGTGGTTATATTCATTTTTCTAAAGCCAAAGTCCTAAAAACATGAGATGAGCCATTCTTGAAAAGATGAGTCCTGTCTGGCCTTCAGGACTCTGCAGACCACACCCTGTACAAGCCTGCTCTACACTCCCCCTGAGCACTTATGCCTGACTGAAATGTGTCCTTGAAATCTGATAATGCTCCTTGCTTTCCTGAATGAAGAATAGAGAGGGATGTCTCACGTGTAGAAACTAGCCTGCTGTAGAATTCACATATGTTGCTCTGCCCACTGACCTTGTCCAGCTTGTCACCAGCATGTGGCCCCAGGAAGTGGCCCAGAGGGTAATATCACTCTTGGGCTACAAAGGAGTTCCCTGCCCCTAAGCTAGGGGCAAGTATGGCCTAAATTGCTCAGCTGTTGTATAGGCCTTGGCTGAGCCAAAAAGCCAACTACAGAATCCTGTTCAAGCCGACAAGCTTTTTTACCCGGTTCTTTGCGGGTTCGTAGCAAGATGGTGCAAATGCTATTCTTCTATCCCAGTAGAATCACTGTAAATATTCCATGTGGTTCTTGGATCACAAGCCTGCTACAAACATCTTCTAAGCATTTAAAGTCACTCATGACTCAACAAAGGTACCTTCATGTTTCTTCAGCAGTTTATAGCCTTCACAGTATCTGCCTCTGGTAGTAGTCATCCTGGCAGTATTCACGTATGAATAGGTTGCAGCAAAATCAAATTCTTTTTTTCCATCCCACCAGCCTTTGCTTATAGCATAATTCCTTATATCTGGATGCTCACGCTCAATCTTGGTTGTTATTGATAGCTGATTGGAAATATTCCGTACTCCTTCTGTCGAAAAGTGTGAAAAACAGTATCTTAAACTGCAATAATAAACCTACATACTAGGGAGTGAGGCCTGCTGAACCATAGTGGGACTTTTTTCATGCATAGGATTGTACTGTTAACCTTACTACCCAAGAGGCCCCATAGCATGACCCAAAAGGCCTCCCCAAACTAGTAGGCATTTGGGTTTAGGGTCAATAACATGCTCATAGGAAACAGTTGTCTCTGCCCCTCATTCCCCAGCTCTTGTGGTATTTATTGTCCCATACAGCACACGTTCTCTTAATATATGCATTTTTGTCTCCATTGTTTGGTTGGAGAACTGAATGGCAAAATTTGAATAAATACAAATTTCATGGGATGGCTATGTTTCAGTTCTTGCATAGTTTCAGAAAGTGCAAATTTGGTAAGATTTTGCTTTGAATGCGAACTGAATCGAATTTCTCCCTCTTCCCTAGTGTTGGCCCTGCAAATATGGAATTCAGTTTCATGTGGGATCAGGCTAGGCTCATCCCTAGTTAGTTTCAAAACAGGCCATCTTTTTTACTGTGGCCTTTAGTGGTTAATGTTATAAGGAGTTGTTGAATGGTGTTGTAGTATTGTTTTTGTGCTGGCTCTTTAGCAATAGGTTGCTATAGATGTATTAAATTGTTTTAGCTTGTATTTTATTATGATTTTGATGTATATTCTGTAAGCTGCATGGACAATACTTTTTTTCTTGAAAAGCAGGTTATCAATCAGCTACGGTAAATAAAAATGAATTTCTTCACCTCTTCTCTTTAGCATGTTTCAGACATTGCAACTGAACTATGATTTGAACCTCATGCTTGTGCTCTCCCTCTTCCCTTTACATGTTCTAATACCCTCCTTCACTTTCTGGTTCATGGTAGCTATAGTTTGCTGTGGCAAATTGCAGTAACCACGGCTTGCTCAATTCCAACATCAAAGCATACATACTTCCTGGTTTGAAATAATTAAAGGAGGGATTTGGAGTACATGATGGGAAGAAGAAGCCCAAAGCTTGCGACCGGCAGTCAACAATGTTTGCCACAACATCTGAAGCTGACCTTCATGTATTTATTCTTAATTCTTATTCTTACTACCACCATGATCCACCAGTTTCATCTTGTTTGGTTAAATCACTGCTGGCAGATAAGAGATTATCAGTGAGCAAAATAACTTCATTTGAATGAGGAACTAAGCTGCCTTTCTATGAAAACACACTAGCAACAGTTATACCACTTTTATCACCAAAATTTTCTATGTTCAAGCAGCACAAACAGGCTATATACACTTATAATCGGAGAAGAATTTAATTAAGTGAAGATGATTATCCATACCTTCTACTTTCTCTGCAGCCCAATACTTTCCAGAGGTTTCCAGTATCCAAGCTTCCTTTCTGTCTGCTATCAGAAAACTATTATGGTATGTAAATGCCATATGACTCTCCATACAGTTTCCACCTTGACCATACTTGTCCAGCAAGTCAACAATGACACCAACAGCTTTTTCAGCGGTATTAGCTCTTTCCAGTCCAAGCCTAAAGCCATACAGAAGAGTTAGCTTTTGGGGAAATTCTTATGAATGTTGAATTTGCATATTATTGCACATTTACTCAATGAGTTAGAAAGTTGCACATGTATCTCAAGTCCTGGATAAGGCTTATTACAGTGGGTGCTAATGTAAGTTTTGTATGATGAAAATACTTATTCCCACAAAGAGGCTGCTAGCACCCACAGAACTGTCATTGTCCACCTAGTATGCATGCCACTCCTTACCCCCCCCAAAGCCTAAGCCTAAAAAGATGGTTTAAAACAGGTTAGGAAGGCAAGTGTGGCAGCTTAGTCTTGACTGCCTTTCTGCAGGGTGCTAGAGCTACAGTTGCATCAAAGCAGATGTTTCTTACACTCAGCCATAAGTTGTGACTGACTAGACTGGCAAAATGAAAACCAGTGGTGACAGCTAGTTAAACCATTGGACTATAGGTCCTCCATTGGGGGAAGAGGTATGTTTTGAGATTTCTTTGCTTAAGAACTGATCTGAGCCAAATCTAGGGTGAAGAAAGCTCTTACAACACTAAGATTTTTGCACTAGTAAATAAACACTTAGAATGAGGGGCCTACTTCCAGAGAGCAGCAAAACAAAACAGGGTGTTCTGCTGCCACTACATAGATGCCAACACATATGAGTAGATCACCAAAAAGTATGTGTCTGTCTTATTAATTTTAGTATTAAGCGGGATTTTCCCAGCAATACTGTTTCTATTGTTTATTGATATTAGCAGGGTGTCGGACTTCTGCTTTTACCACAGCTGCAACAGTGTGAGCTCTGATCGCAGTAAGCAAGTCTGTGAGGGGCAACGTTTGGCTAAACAACCCCTGAAAAGGCTTGGAAGGAAGCTCAAGCCAAAGGAACTTCGGCAGTGTCTTTTTGGAGTCCCGGCACCCCTCGCCAAAAGAAAAAAAAGGCTGAGGTGGGAATCATATCATATGTGAAACAGCAAAATTACAACTTGCTTGTGTGAAAGTGTAGGTGATTGCTTACACAAGTTATCAAATGTTGATTAAAAACAATCACAAGGGATCAGTTCATGTGTGAATCAGTCCATCAAGTCTCGCTTTTTACATTTCAGAATTGCATTTTATACAGCTAATTTAAATCATATTGTCTGCAAACCTGACAAGATCCATGCCTAGGAGGGCTTCATCGTCACAGACTTCCTCCTTCCCCCACACTGCTTCATTCCCAATGCAGACTCCATGCTCATTGGCCCCCATTTCAGCACCCCAGAGCCAGGAGGGGCGACTCAGAACAACGGCATAGGTTTCTGGTGCTTGTTCAATTTCTATATAAGTACACTGCAATAAAAAGAATTCCAGAAAACACATAAGAAAAACACTTCCTGAATTCTACACAACGGACTGGATTTAAACTGATGTGAGTGGACTTCCCAACTTTTTGCCTCCCAAAAAGGCTCTCCAAATTGTTGGGAGACAATCGAATAGCACTGAGTGTGAGATGGGAGCCTGCAATGTCAGGAGGGAATAAGTAAAAATCAGGTTCTTCAAATTCCAACCCAGTATTTTTACTGAGTCTAGTAAAACATCCTGGAGGTCCGGGGCCACAGAGAGGTTAGGCTGGCCTCAACCAGAGCCAGGGCTTTTTTGGCTGTGGCTCCGATCTGGTGGAACGCTCTGCCACAAGAGACTAGGGTCCTGCAGGACTTGACATCTTTCCACAGGGCCTGCAAGACAGAGCTGTTCCACCAAGCCTTTGGCCAGGGCACAGCCTGACTCCCTCCTTTGGCAATCTTCACAGAACTCTAGCCCAATGGTTGCCATCAATTTGATTTGAATTAATTTTATAATTAAATGATTTTAGAATGCTGTATTATTTTATTGTTGTTAGCCGCCCTGAGCCCAGCTTCGGCTGGGGAGGGCGGGATATAAATAATTATTATTATTTTGAAAGCTAAACCACAGCTTAAGGGTAGAGTAAATGCCTTGAATGCAAAAAGTTCCATTTTTAATGCCTAGCCTCTCCAGATAGGGCTGGGAAATTCCCATCTAAAATCTGGCAGAGCCACTGAGTTAAATGTAGGCAGTACAGAACAAGACTGGCCTGTGGTGTGACTTATACATCAATGTCCTGTCTTCTTAAGAGATACTATGTCCACTCCCGCTAAACTTCATAACTGACATTCGTGAATGGCTACCAATTCCAGTCAGTTGATGCATCAGCATGAGATTTTTCTTTGGCGGAACTAAATATTTGTTCCACTACTTTACCCTTTAAAGTATAGAAAAAGCATCCCGATATGGTTGTGTTATTTTTCTAAATGCTTTGATCTTACCTCAACTTTTTCCCCTGGGCCATGACTTGCAGCAGGGAAGTACACAATCTCCTGGACTTCATCTGAGGGCCTATCTGAATTTTTCCCAAAGATGATCCTGCTGCCAGTTGTGGCTGGAGGCAGAGCCACAAAAGTATCACAGGAGGAAGGTTCAGTGATCACGGAAGCCATCCTGGAAAATTATGTAATATGATAAATGACCAGTGAAGGAGGAAAAGTATGGGAAACACTAATACTTGAATGAAAGCACAAGGTTGTATAGAATTTTATGTTCCTTTTCCGCAAGTGATGGTGCCATTTATATTAACCCCACAATTCCCACTATTATGGAGAGGTATCAACATTCTGGAGATCAGATGGCCTTCCCCATAACTGTGTGCAGAATATTTGGAACCGGGGACACAAATAATCATGTGTGCACATGAGACTTTCGGAAGCATAGTCTGTTGCAGTAAAACCAATGAAAAGTCTTGTGGCTCTGTAAAAAGTGAATCAAATCCATGTGCATATGGGAATAGGCTATGGGATTGTAAAATGTGGGTCTGATAAGTTATAAAATTCAATAGGTACAGTCTGTGACATTCCTACGCACATATAGAAAGAACAGTGACCATGCATAACAGCAGTAATTGGTGATAACATAACCCTCCTAAATCAGTTTAGTAAAACTAAATCTGTAGTGGGATAAAAAACCTTGGAACTGATTTGAGTCCTAAACACCACCATCAAATTTACTGATAAACTCTATCAACAATTCAGACTTTGAGGCTCCCTTTCAAGTTGTTTGTTGTTCTTGCTGTTGTTGGGAAATGGTGGCTTTCAGGTCAGACGGTACCTCGTGTGGCCTTTTGGCGCCACCAAATACATGTTTTCCTCCATCTAACCTGCCGGTTGAAGATTAACATTTGATGCATCTGACAAAGTAGCTTCTAGTCCATAAAATTAATAATAATAATAATAATAATAATATTTATACCCCACCCATCTGGCTGGGTTTCCCAGAAAAGATATGCCACCGCCCCAATAAACCTGTTGTTAAATTTGTTGCAACAAAAAACATGACATACGTTTTTGTAGACCAATGTAATCCACAAAAACATTGCTGCTGCTGTGCTGTTACATTTGTATACCACTCTATACCCGTAGATCTCAGGACAGTCCACAACATAAAATTACAATATAGAAAGCACAAAATACATAATTAAACAGGCTAAAATGCCACGGGCTTCAGGACTGTTATCCTGCAGGCTGGATGTTATGCAAAAAGATGAGAGGGGTTAAGAAAAAGTGGTTGTGGCACTTCAATAGTCCTTTTTTTTTTATGAAATGTGGCAGATAATAATATTCTGTGCAGACTTGAGCTAGCCCCAGACTAACTCGGAAAGCGTCCCAACATTCAAAAATTATGTTGCTGTTTACCTAATTTGAGATTAGGAGAGACAGCCGCTTGTAAGACACAAGCGCAAAGAGTCACGGAAAAGATGATGTGCTTAACCAAGCTCCCAATTCCCCGTGAAGGCAAACACGCGTGTTGCGACTTCCACACGTCGTTCACCTGTGACCGTAGCACAAGGATTGTTTACGTCTGAAGGAAAACGGTTAAGACGCCTCACGGCTCTTTACTTTTTCATATTCACGAGTTTGATGTTTCAACTGTCTGTTGGGATATATCTATCACCGCTTTGGGGACCCGGCCGGCATTCATTCACACGTGCTGGGCCCGACAAGCGGGGATTTAACGCTGCTGCGAAGCGGCAAGCGAGGAGCTACAGCTGAGCCTACCCGTCCCGCGAGGCCTTGGCGGCCGCCTCAGCTTCACGAGCCTGGCTTCGTTCGGCCTCGCCGGCTTCCGGCCCGCTTCGCGTCCCCGCCGCAGCTCTGAGGCGGAGCAACGGGCAGAAGCGGGAGGAGGAGCCGTCCTCTGGCCTAGGCCCCCAGCCGAGTCTTCCGACTCCTCCTCCAGGAAATGCCGGCGCCTGCCCAGGAAGACCCGGGTCGTAAACACGAGCTCGCCTCCCGCGTAGCCTCGTTCATACTGCGGTCAAGGAGGCAGGCGTCCCATTCCTGAGGTAAAAAAAGGAATTCCCGGTGGCCGAAAGCCGAAGCCGCCGCCATCATGGGGAAATCATTCGCCAACTTCATGTGCAAGAAGGACTTCCACCCGGCCTCCAAGTCCAATATCAAAAAGGTGAGGAGGAGGAGGAGGAGGAGATGAACCAGCGGGTTTCTCCTTTCCCCCCAACCCAGCCGACACGCTTCACACACCGCCAATGCACCCATGGCCCGTTCAGACGTGGTAGAGCCGGCGTGTATTCCTCCCTTTGGGAGGCCTCCCCCTTTTAACTTCCAGTGAGTGGGGGGAGATGCTTTCTGTCTTCTGTTCGATAGTGGAAAGGCCTCCTTCTGGAGGTGGGGGGCTTTTCCTTCCTCGGAGGTGTTTTGTTTTGTTTTTAAGCAGATGGCCCTCTGCCATGGGTGCTTTAGAGATAGGGGGTTAGGCTAGATGACCACCGGGGACCCTTCCAACTCTACGGTTCTAAGATTTCGGGGGGGGGGGGTTCCTCATAGCACAAAGCAAACCCTCACAGCCTGGAATATTTTCAGGTCATCCCTTCCGTCATCCCAGCATCCGCAGCCCTGGTTTTGTGACCACTTGAGCCATGGGACGTTGGGGGGGGGGGGCAATTAAGAGGCAAAGTGGGGCGACTGGCTCTGGCGACAGCAGGGAGGCCATTTGAATAAAATACAGGGGAGCAGGCAGGTAAGCCGCTCCCTCTGGATCACAAGATTATGGTGCACAGCATCAATTGAATGGCAATGCCCATCAACTTTGGAAGGGCCCAGCCCGCTCAAATATTTTATTGGGGGGGGGAGTTGGATCCATACGCTAGGGCAGAAGATCCCGATGCCCAAGTTTCTTTCCCCTCTTGTGCCTTTAAAAAATAAATAAATTATACATTTCACTGTTTTTACAATCATTTTGACATTTTAAAACTTGACTTCCTTCCCCCTCTTTCTGCAGTTCCTTAAATTTTTAATATCTTCTGCATATCCAAATTCACTTAACTTACTCATTTATTTGTTTTCTTTAAATATATACTCTTATGTAACTGCAGGTTATTACAATAATCCTGCCAGTGTTTTTATCTGTTTGCTATTTATCTGTAAATATTCTCTTTCCCCTCTTGTTCCTGATGCAGATCCTCTCTCACCCCTTCTTCCCTGGTGGGTGGGGTGGGGTAGAAATAAAACTACCATTTTGGGGTCTGCCTCAGTTGCCGAAATGTCTTGGGCTGACCCTGGTGGAGCATCTGTCCTCTTACTACTTTTTAAAATTAAACCACCCTGGACAGAGTATGGTGCTGATAATGCCAGTGTTGCAGGTTCAATCCCTGTAGAGCAGGGGTGGCCAACTTCCAAAAGACTGTGATTTACTTTCAGAATTAAAATCTGGCAGTGATCTACCCCTGTTTTTTTAGGGGTGCAGGCTTCTTTAGGGAGGGGAGTTCCGTTTTTGGGAGGAAGGCAAGGGAATTTGGGGAAGTTAACTCACTCACAAAAGCGTCACTATGGATGAAAACAGCCACTCAGAGGGAGCTCCGTCTTCCCTTCCTGAGTTCAAACAATGGAGGGGACGCGGCAGGAATCAGATTTACCTACGCAGAGGAAAGGGAGCCAGAGATCGACCGTGATCTACCAAAACATCACAGGGATCTGCCATTAGATCGCGATCGAGCTATTGTACATCCCTGCTGTAGAGCATGGGTAGGCAAACTAAGGCCTGGGGGCCGAATCCGGCCCAATCGCCTTCGAAATCTGGCCTACGGATGGTCCGGGAATCAGCGTGTTTTTACATGAGTAGAATGTGTCCTTTTATTTAAAATGCATCTCTGGGTTATTTGTGGGGCATAGGAATTTGTTCATTTTATTTTTTCAAAATATAGTCTGGCCCCCCACAAGGTCTGAGGGACAGTGGACCGGCCACCTGCTGAAAAAGTTTGCTGACCTCTGCTGTAGAGGAAAGCAGCATATCCCTGCATTCGGTTGGGTTGGATCAAATGATCCTCAGGTTCCCTTCCAAATCTACAGTTCTATATGCCCTTGATGAGCGCTTAAAATATTTCATATTCTGTGCCTTGTTGTTCAGCAGGGCAATTCTATATATGCCTGTTCGAAAGTAAGCCCCAACTGAGCTAAATAGGTCTTACTCTCAAGGTTAGCAAGTAAGCGCCAATTTGATACAGGCCATTGAGAACTGTCATTGTGAAAACCGTGGGTGATGTATTACATGCATGTACTTCCCCTTCCTCACTGTCCCCTAAAGCCTGCCCCCCTCAATCTGCTCTTTATTGTCACCAAACTACCTGGGTCATATTGGGGAAGGGTGTACCTATGAGGTTGACAGGTGTGTAATTACATGGGTCCCCCTGGATTATTTGTTTACGTATGGGTTTTACGTTGCTTATTATCATCCACTCCACTATGGATACTGACTTTAACATTAAGTTATATATTTCACTTAAAAGATTAATAATGGCCCTCAAGAACACTTGGGTGAATGCCATCTAGCATGGGCAGAGCGGATTATATCTTAAACTGTCCCTGTCAGGGGAAAAGGCAGGGTATAAATATATGACAGAATGGTGAAGCTTAAAAGTTAACGTTTTGTCATTTTTATCTGACAATTATTTTGATGCCCCGCTACCGCTACAAACCTCCAAAAGCTGGTCATTTTACAGATGAGGACAAAATGCTAAATATGTGGTTAACACCTTATTTTCTTGGAAGTTAATACTACTGAAATAAATTGAACTGCAAAGTTAGTGTACTGGTAAGCAATTTCTGGATAATGTGGGATTTTCCAAATTCTACCACCAGCACACCAGATAGTCAAAATACTATCTAATCTCTTAAACCATGTAACTGTGTTTACACATATGCTGGCAGTGTTTCCTAATTTATTTGGATTACAGAATTTCAGTACAGAGGAGGAGGAGTTTGGATTTGATATCCTGCTTTATCACTTCCCTAAGGAGTCTCAAAGTGGCTAACATTCTCCTTTCCCTTCCTCCCCCACAACAAACACTCTGTGAGGTGAGTGGGGCTGAGAGTCTTCAAAGAAGTGTGACTAGCCCAAGGTCACCTAGCAACTGCATGTGGAGGAGCGGGGAATCGAACCCGGTTCACCAGATTACGAGTCCTCCACTCTTAACCACTACACCATACTGGCTCACTGATTGCATATAAAGTGGAAATACTTATATCATATTTGTTCCCTTTAGGTATGGATGGCAGAACAGAAAATAACTTACGACAAAAAGAAACAAGAAGAGTTAATGCAGCAATACCTTAAAGAGCAGGAATGTTATGATAACAGGTGAGAAACAACATTTAATCTTACATTTTAGTAGATAAAAAACCCATCTACTTTTGGTTTCCTAAAATCTAGCAGATATAAGCATCTCAGTTTGGGACTTCTCATACTACTAATCTGTTTTTGAGTCTCAAACTTTTATTTGAAAAATGGTAAGTTGTATTCACTGAAGCCATTGCTATTCCAGAACACTTATACAACGGTACTGTACTTCCTCTCCTTTTTGCCTTTAAACCATTAAGCCTTGGAACGTAACCCACACATAAATGGGGAGTTGCCATTTTATTTTATTTTAAAATGTTTTAGTATCTAAGACACCCATCTCCTGTTTCTTTGTGATCATTCTCATTGTTTTTTGTATAGATTGCTTATGGGTGATGAGCGTGTGAAGAATGGTCTAAACTTTATGTATGAGGCCCCACCAGGAGCAAAGAAAGGTAATTTCTAACATCAACACAAATATATAAATTATCCCTTTCTGCTGAGCTTGGAACTCTGCATAATAGCTCATAGAACTTGATCCTACATTGTATCCAAGGTTTGAATACTATGAAAAGACTTTTAAAGCAGAGTCTTGGGCAGGTTTACTCAGAAGTAGCTACTACTAAGTTTAATAAGATTTACTCATAAGGAAGTATGTATTACTGCAGCCTCAGCTATAAGTCTAGAAATAAGACCTTGGGGTTTACATGACTGCAAATAAATGTGCATTTTTTTAAATAAGGAAAATACTTGGATTTAATAAGTGCTCTATGATTTTTAGAGATGCATGATATCCTATTATCTGGATGTTGCCTGCAATATTGATATCTACTTGTCTTTTCTAATGTTTCGTCTTATCTTTTCCTTCTATGCTGATAATGAAACAAGAGAGCAAAGAGGTAATTTTGAAATTTATTTCCCCCCCCCCCCCAATTATATTCGGCATAAATTTCAAACCAGGTGTTTTTAACAGGACTTTATATTTGTTGTTTTTAGCAAGAAGGAGAGACTGAGTACAAATTTGAATGGCAGAAGGTAGCTCCACGTGAAAAGTAAGAATTATCCCTTTCTTATTTGGATAATGCTGTATGCAGAGTTTATTTTCAAGTATGTGCTCTTAAGTCTGAAAAGTATGTGCTCTAAAGTCTTAAGTCTGAAAAGGTTTTCCTAGTTCCTCAAGGTTGAAATCTTCTTTAAATAAAACAACAGAAAAAGGCCCTCTCAAGTGGTATTATCTTTGACCTGTTTTTCAAAAGTGGATCAACTGAGTCCTATGGCTCCTATTTCAGATCTAAATAAATATAAAATCCATGAACTTGTGGAGAGGTGAATGGATAAAGAAAAATGCTGACCAAACTCAGCTGAGTAAACTTCCAGTATTACTGACATTCATCACACAATGGGAAGATTCATGGAAGTATGAAAAGAGTTCTGGTCCCTGCCTCCAGAACAGCATCAGAAGGGGGTGGGGGTTGCAGCAGAATGGGGGAATCGGTGGGATTCAAATCTTACTCAAATGCCTCTCTTCTCATGCAAGACATGGATCTAACTCAATGCATATATTTATTTAAATTAGTTCTAATGCTACTTTTCCAGTTAAAAGACTAAAAATAAGTTCACAAATATGGAAAAACTATATACATCTTGATGACAGAACAGAAGCAGGAGTAACAAAACAGCAGTCAAGAAAACTCAAAGCTACAGGAAATCATGAGAATATTAAAAAATAATAAACATGGTAGAAAGTGTGTAAACAACATGTTTTTTCCTTAAGTGAAACTTCCTTGACTTGCTGAACATGACAGTTTTGATTAAATAATGATGCTGTAATTTCACAAACTTGTAAAGTATTTGATGTCATTCAAACCCAAAGTTTCACAATTGAAACTGTTCTCCTTTATTCTTAATTCTACATCGTTTGAATCCCCAATAATAGTATAAGTGTTGAGCTTATGTATACTTATATACCTTCTTGTACTTTAACAGATATGCTAAGGATGACATGAACATTAGAGACCAGCCATTTGGCATCCAGGCAAGTTTTGTGCATTTCCTCCCCTCCTGTTTTCATGGTGAATTTCAAATGTTCAGTGATGTACATAATATTTTACTAGGTTTTTAACATGCAGCTGTTTCATTGGACAGACGGGGATATTGAAGAGTAAAATTATGTCAATATTGGCATTGTTTCAGGTGAGGAATGTGAGGTGCATTAAATGTCACAAGTGGGGCCACGTGAACACAGACAGAGAATGCCCTTTGTTCGGCCTTTCTGGGATTAATGCAAGCTCTGTTTCCAATGATGGCTCAGGTAAGCACTTTAAATGTATTTTTATCATTCTATCAAAATACGTTTTGAAATATTTTCTCAAACCCATTCTTGCTCTTTTGTTTTGAAGAAGCATTTTCGTGCCACTTCTCTGAAAGGAATAATGTTCCTTCTGTGTTTTGTGAGCCATCTGATTCAGTGATTCCCAAGCTACGCTGGAGCACTACAGTATGTTGCCAGAGGGACTGAAGTGTGCCTTGAAAAACTAAGGCAATATGCTGGGTGCATTTGTGGCTCCATGCAGCATTGATCCCCTCCCGTCACTGCCAATACGTGGGCAATGACATCATCCTGATGGAAAGCTCTTGGATTTCCTGGCACAACTCACACTACAGCTATAAGGCACAGGGGAATCCCTTAAGTACCAGGAAAGAAAGGAGGACAGGATGCTAGGAGTATTCTCTGGAACTGCACAGAGAGGATACCTGCCCATTGCTCTCAGAGCTAATTAAGAATATACATTTTTTTAAAAATAAATGTAACAGTGCAATCCTATACTTAAAAAGCAAGCCACACTGACTTCAAGGGGACATACTATCCAATAAGTGTGCATAGGATTGTGAGCTTGAGAAGGAAATGTGTAATCAGGAGCAGGGGACCAGATGAGGCTCCCTAGTCCTCTCTGTCTGGGGAGTCCCAGGCCACACCTGTCACTGGCCCTGTTTTGCACCCTGAATATTCTTGTTCAGCTAATGTGAGCTTTAACTCTGCTAATGCCTCTTGCTTGTCTAGATGGAGAAGGGTTTGAGAAGGTGTTTAGAAACTAGCCTACTGTACAAAGTACTGTACTGTACATACACTTTTGCCTCTGGCCCTATCCACCGCTGGCATGCGGCCCCCAAAAGGTTCCCTCGCGCTCAACAAGGTTCCTTACCTCTACACAAAAGGAAGTTGTATTGGGACACAAACACATTCCACTTGGTATCTGCACATTCTACCACATTGCCACATGCCACGTTGGTAGCATTCAGGGAACTGAGAAAATAATCTGAAGTTTTGGTGTATTGTGGACAAGTGCAAATAGTCTCCCTAAATTTATCTATCTCTTTCTTGAAACGGGTGGAGTTTTTTTGCTTCTGCCAGCAAGTTAAGTACTGTTCTTTAGTTCTCTAATATTACAAACTGAGTTGTGATTTTTGCCTTGCCTTTATTAATGGTTCAAATGGTAGATGTTCTTGTGCTCAGTTCTTTAAACTTAAATACAGTGGTACCTTGGTTTACAAACTTAATTCGTTCCGGAAATCCGTTCTTAAACCACAGCATTCTTAAACCAAGGCATGCTTTCCCATAGCAGTGGGGGATTCAATTTACAAATGGAACACACTCAACAGGAAGTGGAACATGTTCTGCTTCCAAGGCAAAGTTCACAAACCAAAACAGCTACTTCTGGGTTTGCAGCGTTCTTAATCCAAGTTGTTCATAAACTAAGCTGTTCTTAAACAAAGGTATCACTGTATTTCCATTCTATTTGTATAACAAATATATATCCTTAGGCCTAGGAGACTTAAGTTAAAATCCCTGCTCTTCTCTCACCTCCCCTGGTGATCTTCAGTGTTGCTATCTATTCATATCAGTGAGAGAGAGAGAGAGAGAGAGGCCTTCTTTCGCAGATTGGATTCTCTTAGGCTGAGGGGGTCCTCTTGGGGCTTTTAGAATTAAAAAGGAAACTTTCCAGTAACCACTGGCAGTGATAGTAATTGACAGTGGAAGGGAAGGAAGGCTTCCCTGTGTACCAGAAAAGAAAGTGTGACTTTCTTTGCTTTGTAGCATTCGTGATTCAGCCCTGCCATTTTAGAGTTGCCATCAGTATTTTGCACTCAACAACTTTGGTTTCTGCAATAACCTCGCATTATAGTATAGCGGTCACTTTTTTTTTGGCCATTGGGCACATTTCCACTTCTAAGTGTTGTGGGTGCCAGTCACAAAGTGGCTGCCATTGGGGACATAGCACAACACAGAATGAGAGAATGTGCACTCGTTGCTGTTTCCCTCTACCCCTTCCACCAGACAACCTCATGCTTGCCAGCCATGTCCCGCCGGTCCTGATTTTGGAAATAACACAGTACAGTCATACCTCAGGTTACGAACGCTGTGGGTTGCGTGTTTTCGGGTTGCAGACCGCGCCAAACCCGGAAGTACCGAAACCGGTTACTTCTGGGTTTCGGTGCTCACGCATGCGCAGAAGCACAAAATGACATCATGCGCAGAAGCGCCAAATTGCGTCACACGCGTGCGCAGACGCAGCACTTCAGGCTGCAAATGCTGCGGGTTGTGAACGTGCCTCCCGCACGGATCACGTTCACAACCAGAGGTATGACTGTATTGACTTTTCCACACACACAATGATGCTGTTGTTGTCTAATAACAAGTACAGTTATTTTCCCTCACCATGCAACCACTCCACATGCACATGCAGGCACTCATCACACACCTATAGGCCACAGACACAGATGCATCACTCTCTCTTTCATACAAATACACTTCACAAAGACACAGCCTGCACAGGCAGGCCATGAAGTGGCTGGAAAAGCTACCCTTGTCACTTTTGGCTAATGAGCTATGGTCTATCTTCTGCCTATCCTTGTGAATTTCTTATTAAACCTCAGCAGTTTGCAGATTATTTTCATAGTTTTTGACGTCTCTGGAGCACCCTCTGTTAAAACTCTGGAGTAAAATTTTGGGCATTGTTAGTATGTTGGAAATAATTTCCAGAGGGGTAACTGATCATCTGCTGCAGTAAAAATAGCAAAGAGTCCTGCGTAATACTAGGCTTAACAGGTATGTTGCAGTACAGTACAGTCAAACCTCTTGTTACATTTGCTTCAGGTTGCGTGTTTTCAGGTTGCGTCCCGCGGCGACTGGGAAGTACCGGAAAGGGTTACTTCTGGGTTTCGCCCCTCGTGCATGCGCAGATGCGCAAAATGACGTCATGCACAGAAGTGGCGAGTCGCAACCCGCGCAGACGTGGGTTGCATTCTGCTCATGTTGCGAATGGGGCTCCGGAACAGATCCCGTTCACAACCAGAGGTACCACTGTATGGGTTTAGGAAAGTGAAGCTTAAAGGTCGATCAGTCCAAGACATAACAGTAGATGCATCCTGTTACTTTGCACAGGTGAATGCCATATGTCATCACAGTGTGTATGACCAATTTCTACCTAAAAGCCACTGGTGATGAATTGACATAGGAAGATAGTGGAAATCAACACCTAAATTAAGTCAGTGAAATAGCCAGCCAATTCTCTATTGAGTCCACAGTATCAGATTTGCTAATGAATTCCAGTTGGGAAGTTTCATACCGGAGCCTCCTTTAGAGGAAAGGTGGGACAACCTCACCCTTGTCACAATCTTGAAGGTGCCATCCAGGGATGGTTTTCCAGCAAGAACACACTGCACCTAGCAGTGCTGGTTTCAAAGCTCACTGGCTGCATGGCAGGAATCAACTGCAGCTGGTTCCACTCACATCCTGCACTGATCTGCCCCAACCAGATGGCATCCGGGGCTGGTGGAGCTGTCGAGATGGGGAGGGCAGATTTATTTATCTCTCTTTCCTCTTCCATTACAACTTACCACCCGATCTTGGAGTCTCACAGTCAGCAGCTCCTTGTGCTTAAGAGATGGGGCAGAAATAGATAGGCTAGGAACAGGTAAGGAAAAAGCAAGGTGAGCGGGTAGGAGGAGCAGAAACAGTGAGGCTAAGGGCTGGGCGAGAGCTTTTTGTGTGTGCTGCACTGAGAAATGAGAGCTTTTTCTCCCAGTGCAGCACATAAACCAAACATTCTTGTCGGCGTTTCTTGTCTCTGCTTTAAACCAAAGCAGCACAGCCTGTCTGCTCCTTCTGCTGTTTTCCTGCCAAACCTCTGAAGTGGTGTGTTTGCTAAGCTGCTCTCTCTCAGCACAGAACTGCAACAGCAGCAATGTGTATCCTAAATGAATCAGAATAAAATTGGGGGTGGGTTGGGGGGGGGAGAATATTTTTAAAGTACTTCTGATGTATTGGTTTTGGGTATTGATTGATTGAACAAGCTACTTTATGTAAATTGCAGTAAATAGCTGTGTCCTGATTGGCTAGGTGTTTCCAGTCAAGGAAAGAAGGCTATTTAGAGGAGGAGTGGGTCTCGTTACCCTGCCTGAGGACTGTTTTTCTATAGGAAATGGCTTGCAGAAATAGGTGTTTTTATCACTCACTTGCCCCTTTCTGGAGAGTTGGGGGGCAGGCGACAGCAGTGCAAATTCCAAGCGGAAAGATAGGCCATGGGTGATTTTAGTGTGCAAGTGGGAGGGGGTTAGCACTGTGATTAAGCGGGGGGAGGGAGACTGGGGCTGTTATGGGGAAGTGGCTGCATTTGGTGGGTCGCTGCGCTTTTTTTGCCCTTCTGGACCAGCAACCCCTGCTTTGTACAGAATAGCATCAGGGTGATTGCACCCATACAGTTTAAAGCCCCTGTTTGGTGCTGATGAGTGCCTTGTTCCTTAAGAATGGGTGTCTGTTTTTAACAATACAAAACAGCACAGCTCTATACTGTAGCAGACAGAAGAAATAACATGCATTCTGTCTGTGTGGGTTTCATTTTTCCCTTTGTATACAGACCATAGTACTAATCCAGTTGGTGATTCAGACCTTTAAAAAAATATAATCTCTCCGCTTTCACAAGTCTCCTATTGAATAATATATCTTGCTGGTGAATGGAGATTATTTTTGCAATAAGGCAATTTCACTGGATGTGGTTATCATGGGATAATCACACCCCTGGGGTACAGCCTTGTCTGTAATCTCCCAGGAGTGTAATTATTTCATGACAACTGCACCCCCCCTGGTGTTGCATTTATTTCCATTATGAAATCTTAGTTTGATATATAAAGTAACTTACTTTGATCACTGGAAAGCTACATGGTAGTCTGAGAATATTCCAGCTGCGAGGTTTACCGAGACCAGCTATAAGCTTTACTACAGCCTTTACAAAGTTAAATTAGGCAATCAAAATGCTTCTTTAGGCTAAGCTGGTTTTAGATTTTTTTAAAAAAATATTTTCCCCCACTGATTGTAACTTTCCAGGTTCATAATCAATATAAGGTAGCAATTAAATGCAAAACTCTATCAGTTGAGGTGAACTGGCACTGTGTATTTTCCTGAAGGTGTGGTCAGTTGCATCCAAAAGATCCCTAATGTTAATCTAGCTTTTTTGTCTTCTAGTTAAATACCAGCAAATGCTAATTATTTATACCATTGATGAACTATGACAAAACTGCTGGAGGAGCACAATTACTTCTGCTTCTTCTGAGGGCCAGATTGAACATTGCAAGAAATGTGTGGCTACCACTAAATATGGCTGCTGGGAAACTGGTTCTCTCTCTTCCTTCTGTTACAGTAGAACTTGCCTCATGTTAAAACAAAACAATGTTCTACATTGTGCTCTTCCACCATGCCCATTGCCAATGGGTTCTACTAACACAAAACAAGAGCAGGGAACTGCAGAACTTGGTGATATCATGGGATCAGCTGTTTTATCATGGGATTTAGTTTTATATTTTGTATCTTATTCTCTGTACAACAGGTAGCAACAGAACATGGCTGCCATTGACAATTGCTGCTATCTTAAAATTTACTGTCTGGCCCTCAATCAGGGTTTGTTTAAGATTTACACCTTTTAAATATGTCTTCTTTTCAGATGGAATATAAATCCTTTTAATTACAGTGCGACTTGCTGCCAAGTAGATAGGTTTAGAGGGACGCAGGTGGTGCTGTGGGTTAAACCACAGAGCCTAGGATTTGCCAATCAAAAGGTCGACAGTTTGAATCCCCGCGATGGGGTGAGCTCCCATTGCTCAGTCCCTGCTCCTGCCAACCTAGCAGTTCGAAAGCACATCAAAGTGCAAGTAGATAAATAGGTACCGCTCCAACGGGAAGGTAAACGGTGTTTCCGTGCGCTGCTCTAGTTCACCAGAAGCGGCTTAGTCATGCTGGCCACATGAACCGGAAGCTGTACGCCGGCTCCCTCAGCCAATAAAGCGAGATGAGCACCGCAACCCCGACTGGACCTAATGGTCAAGGGTCCCTTTACCTTTACCTAGATAGGTTTAGAAGTGCGATCTGCGATCTAGAGCAACTTCAAAATGCAGCCAGGGCATTAAAATTTAGGGTAGGTTTTTTTCATTCAATCCATATGTATGTGTCTGTGTGGTGCTATCGTGGATGCAAATCAAAATATTGACTCCAAAACAAAAACAAAATACAGTGGTACCTTGGTTTACAAACTTAATCCGTTCCGGAAATCCGCTCTTAAATCAAAGCATTCTTAAACCAAGGCATGCTTTCCCATAGCAGTGGGGGACTCAATTTTCAAATGGAACACACTCAACAGGAAGTGAAACATGTTCTTATTCCAAGGCAAAGTTCACAAACCAAAACATCTACTTCCGAGTTTGCAGCGTTCTTTATCAAAGTTGTTCATAAACTAAGCTGTTCTTAAACCAAGGTACCACTGTATAAAAAACAACACAGATATTGGGAAATGTTTTAAAAATGAAGCCAACAAGAATTAGAAGCTGTGGAAATAGAATGGTTATTTGTCAGCATCGATTGTAAACTGTGTGCGAAGAAAGTTTGCACACACTTGCTTGAAGAATGGCCCTATGAATACAGGTTAAACCTGTGTTTCCTACAATAGCTAACCATCAATACTTAATGGTCAGTGTGCACATACTTTATTGCAGCAAGGCAGGGAAACCAATTCCTATTTTAAATATTCTAAATTTGACAGAATTCGTGGCATAGTGAAAACTGACATTGGTTGCCCCCAATGCATTTCAACACGCCCTGACAAAATCACTCCTAGCAAAGAGGAAAAAATGGAATTGCTCACTGTACTGTTGTGCAGTTTGCCCTCTCAGCAGAGTCCAGATTAAAATGTTTTACTTGTTTGATTCACTTTGTTCCCACATTATAGCTTAAATTAGAAAAGTTAGAGAAAGTTGGCATTGGCCATTTTGATGATGACATAATAAGCATAAGCAACCAGTAAAAAGGGCTGCCACATGAAGATACAACCCAGAGACATTTCAAAAAAATCATAATGAAGTTTTGCCACCTTACATGAGCTTGAAGGAGAGAGAGAGAGTGTGTGTGAGAGTGTGTTTTTAAATACTGTAGAGGGTTCTGATTTACTTGTCATTTTCAGAATGTATCCTAGCCAGCCACTAGAGGGAAGCATGTTCACTTTTAGTCACCGATAGCAACCTTGCATTTTCCTAATAGCAACCAAGTCTTGTGCAAAAATTGTCTCCTTCTGAGGCTTGCCTTTAAAGCTAACCACCTCAAGATGGAACTCTGCATGCAGGACTCAATGAAATCTCTTTGTCTCTCTCTCTATTCTTGACCTTCCCACTCTAACACAACACACTCACACTTTTAATATATCACCATTTGTTGTCCTTGCTGAAATGCTTGTAATTACATTTGTGTTGTCTGGCTGTACATATATCCCCCCCCCCAAAGCATCTATACAGGTTTCCCTTGTCAGAAGGGCTGTTTGACAAAGGAGGAGCAGGATTGGGCTTGGAGAATGAGGCCCTTCACTAACATGACATTATAGCAGGTTAGGGAACCCCAGTCCGCAGGCCAAATTTCAGCAAAGCCATATCCACCTGCCTGACACGTGATGACATATATGACATCAGGTGTGGGGCAGGTAAGGACAGGGCTTTGAAATGGGATTTGTGGACTCTGTCAAAACCCCTTTGACAGCACTTCCCAAAAGCCCAGCAATCAACTGGTTTCAAGCACTTGGTGAAAGCTGCACAAAGTGCTTTGCAAGTCCCAAGTACAAAGTGCTGCATTTTGACAGGTTTCAATCACCTGACATCAAATGACTAACTAGTGAGTAGTCCCACCCTCCTGTCAGAGGTTGCCTGTGGGGATGGGGTGGGTGTGTGATAAAGATCTGGCCTACTGGGCCAAGAGAGTTTCCCACCCCTGCATTATGATAACAGCCTAAATTACACTTGCTGTTACTTCATTATCTACCCCTTATGAGAACAGCTACCAGAACAAGGGACAGATCTGGAGAACCAGACTTGCCCCTCCCTCATTCTGTCCTATGCTTTGGTCATGCTTATTGTTCCTTTTTTCTGCCTCTTGAAATCCAAATCTAAACTTAAGAAGCTAAGAAGTACAGAAATCGCCTTCAGTTGTGAATCAGCATGCACTTTTTGATTTGCTTAAGCTGCAATGCCACACACTGCTACCCTGTTCAGATTTCAGTAAAGAGGACAGAGTGCATTAAGCAAGATTCAAAGGCCTGTTCTTTGATATAATTAAGAGTTGCATTATTTAAAAGAAAAGTAGTATATCTAAGAGCATTTGATGTGGTTACTTTTATACCACCTTATGAGAAAGGAATGATCTTGAGGAATAATAACATGGTTTGAAACACCAATGGGGGAGGCAACTGCCAACCTGTGTGTTTCCCAACTAATGCCCTGCGTTTATTTCAACCACATCTCAAGCAACACAATCCTATGCATTTCTGCTTGGACGCAAGTTCAGTGAGACTTACTCCCAGGTAAGCATGTATAGGATTGCAGCCTATGTGTGTATGTATACATATTAGTAGCATCTTGAAGAGCACCTCTACGTATCTGCCAAAGGATCACCCTTTATAGCAATACTGAACACTCATTTTGTACCCTCATTTTGCAAATTACTCTTTTCTTTGACATCAACTGAATCTGTATTCTTATAATGCCTTTTTTATACATTTCACTGAAGATTTAGAGCCTACTGAAACACTGCTTTCATTTTATATTGGACAGGGGGAGGAGAGATGTTTATATCATTCACACACGACATTGGCCTAGCAGTTAAACTCTGTATAAGTGTTCCACTTTAAACGGCATTCTTAACAACCACTAGGATTCTCAGATATCGTGCTGTTTGGCGATGAACTAGAAAAATAAATAAATAAAACACAGAACATAAGGCTAGATTACAGGGCCAAGCTTTACAGAGCAGTTAAGGTTGGCGTTTAGTGTGCTGAATTAGAAACCGTAACTGCTTCAGCCTCAAACCCACCCTACTGAGGAAATCACATACCAACAACAGCAACTTCTGAAGAGAGGGCCTGTGGTGGCAAATCAATAACCTCAAGGAAGGTGACTCGGGATGTTAAAAATCCAAAGTTCATCTTCTTTTGCGCCTTGCTTGCGGACAACTTTTATCCTTATATGATCCTATATGCACACCCAACCTCTAAGGCAGGCAAATCGTAAGCGCACTGATTTGGAAATAACTTCAGCTGACATTTAGCAAGAGACAGTATTAGCAGCACAAGAGTACTTTATGTGTTGAGTCTTAAAAATATCTCAGTTCTCTGAATGAAACCTCCAAAATCGATCTTCGATATATTATCCCTACAACTTCTGGCACCCCAACTTTCATTGGGCTGCGAGCATGCCCTTGTGAGAGACAAACATGTACCTGAGCATGCAGAGGTGTTGTGCTGTGAAAGCAGGTTGTGGGCACATTCACACAATTTCTGAGAGCTGCTTTAAACAAAAGGTTTGGCTAATAAATGAATGACAGCAGATAGAAACAGCAAAAGGTGAGAATGAAGCAGGTAGCTCTGCCTAAGTTGTTGTTACTGACAACAAGAACACTATCACTTGGTAAGTAATAACTAGCTAATTCATAGTAATGCTAAGAGGCTTCCAGTACCAAATGCAGCAAACCACCTCTTTTTTCCATAATGAATGTGCCATCATGCTGATGAGACAGAATATCATTTGGAAGTACAAATTTAAAAAATACTTATGGCTAGTGTAACATACTGGCGTTTTGCCAGGTTGGAAGAAAAAGAAAAAAACAGAATAAGAACAATTTTAACATGCAATTCCACCTGAAGAGCAAAAAGGTAGTTATAGTCCAATCCTATACATGCCAAGTATGCTGTGGTTAAGGTTAAATGTGGTTCATGTTGGTACAGATATAATAATAAGGCAGGTTCCTGGGCTGGGCAAACATAGCAGAGAGGGGAAGAGAGCAATCCGATTTTTGAGCCACTAATCACAGTGAGGAGAAAGGAATCATTACATTTGTATCTACCCATAGCAAAAACTCATTGAAGTTTTTCTACAATCAAGCAGTATATAAATTTTATGAGTGAAAATTAAATATTTAAGACATCTAATTCTTGTGATTCTGTAGACCTTCCACAAATCATGGGCCATGTGACTTGCATACTCTCATTTGAGATTTATATTGTAAGCATTTTAAACAACATTTAATTTTCTGAAAACTATTTTTTCTAACATCTTTAAAGTATCCCTCTTAAAAGTATGTGTTCGTATTTATTCTTGGTATCAGAAAACATTTGCATCTTAAAGTTGGCATGGCTTTCAAAGCTTCCTTTTTTTATATTTTTGTACTTTTATCAAAAGCTTACAGGCAGACAATACCTAAAATATATTGTTTTCAACATGACAAAGTTACATAAGAAGAGAATCCCCTTGCACTTAAAGAAAAATGCAATTATTTTCCATCTGAATCTCCAGACTGCTGTTTTAGAAAATCATATCTGATTATTTGCTCAGCAGAAGATTATTGAGTTGATTTAGCTGTGATTTTACTTAACAAAGCTTCAACCGAATTCCCACTGTGGAGTCCAAAAAAGGTAGAGAGATATAAATGATACATTCAAACTGTGATTTTGGTGAACAGGGCCATCAATGCACCCCTCGGAGCTAATAGCGGAGATGAGAAACAGTGGGTTTGCACTGAAACAAAATGTACTGGGGAGAAACTTGACCGCAAATGATCCATCACAGGTAATGATCTTTTTATCAGTAAGCTGAAAATGTCTGTAAATCTAAATGTGATTGCTTGTGAATTGTTACTTAATGTTTTTATAATATGCATATCCATGGGAAAGCTGAATAGATAGAGCAAGGGATGTGTGTCCCGAAACTTACTGTGTTTTCCATTTCTTCTTTTTTTTGTTATCAGAGTGACAGGTGTAAAATAATTTTTCCAACCCATAGTTTAATAAATGAAATGCCTCCTGTGGGTTAGTAGTGATTTAATACCTGCCAGAGGAAATAGTTTTAGCTTCTGCTACCTTTGCCTTATCCTAAGAGGCTGCCTTAGCCAGAGCAACCAGTGGGTGAAGCCAAAGGGGAAATAATGAAAATGTCCTTCAGGCAATGCCATGTTTGGAAGGTACAATCCAGAACACTTCCCTTGGGTGCTCCAGGAAGAGGATACAGGTAAGTTTGGAAAACACATAGCAAGTCAAGGCATGTTGGGAGATGACAAAGGGTCTGCCGCTGTGGTCTTTCCACTGGCTCTCCCCTGTTCATTGGTGACATCCAAAGGAGACAATTGGAGCTGTGTAGGCTTGCATTTACTGGTGAGAAAGCTTTTAAAAGCTGCTTCTTGGAGGGCAGCCCTTCTCCCTCCTCAGGGAAAAGCCCCCAAGAGCCGCACACACGCTCCACGCGGCTCTTTAAAGGGAGCACTGAGCAGAGCCTCCCGCCTGCATTCGCACCATAAGACGCACACACATTTCCCCTTACTTTTTAGGAGGGGGAAAGTGCGTCTTATAGAGCAAAAAATACGGTAATCTCTTCTCAGACTCTTGGACAAGTTACGCATGAAGATTGCAGATCTGTGTGTTTAAAACACAGAGCTGCCCTAGTCCAGGCTTCCTCAAGCTCGGCCCTCCAGATGTTTTTTGGCCTACAACTCCCATGATCCCTAGCTAGCAGGACCAGTGGTCAGGGATGATGGGAATTGTAGTCTCAGAACATCTGGAGGACCGAGTTTGAGGAAGCCTGCCCTAGTCACGTATAAAAAATGGAGAGGGGTTCTGATTTTAAATGTTAAAAAAAGCACACAGGTGAAAGGACGTGACCCCTGTGGCTTTTCTCCCTGTAGTTCCTCTTCAGACACTTTCCCCCCAATTGGGACTCCAGTATTAGATGTGTGCCTGGCTGAGATAAAAGTGCTGCATGGAGATAAGCCTCAGGAGGGATGAGGATTCTGCTCCTCTCACTCACACGCAACCTTTGTTTTTAAAATTGAACATCTCCACCCTCTCCTTTCTACATGCAAGTCCTGCATTTAAAGACATGGACCAACTGCTGTCACATCTAACTTGGCCCTCAGTGTGGGGTGTGCATTTTATGTCTAATTTGAGTTGTACTTCATAAAAATTGAGCTCCGACCAGTGTGCAAGAAATGAGAAACCAAAGCACATAAAAGGATCTTAAATGTTAAAATGGAAACATATCGTTTGAAAAGGGGAAAGCCTAAAATTGGCAAGTAAACTATTCAACCAGTCAATACCTCCATAAAGAGTACGGTCTTCCTCAGTTCAGAATTATTGGGACTTTGTGAATATTTATTCCCATACTGTCTCCTTTTTAGCATGACTTTACAAAGCTACTTCATTTAAGTAAATTTTAAAAACCTCTATCCAAATACGTAGGTTGCTTTGTTGTGGCATTCTTAACTCATTTTCTTCTCAAAAAAGCCATATATTTACTCAGTCAACTATAAAATAACATGTTGTTGTCCTAATATAATAGAGTCGTATGTTGGAAGTCAAACGGAATCTGTTCCAGAAGTCCGTTTGACTTCTGAAATGTTCAGAAACCAAGGTGCAGCTTCCAGTTGGCTGCAAGAAGCTCCTGCAGCTAATCGGAAGCTGCGGAACACAGGTCGGATGTTCAGGTTCTGAAATGTTCAGAAACCAAGGCGCAGCTTCCAGTTGGCTGCAAGAAGCTCCTGCAGCTAATCGGAAGCTGCGGAACCCGGGTCGGACGTTCAGGTTCCAAAGAATGTTTGCAAACCAGAACACTCACTTCTGGGTTTGTGGCATTCAGGAGCCAAAATGTTCGACTTGCAAGGCATTTGGGAGCCCAGATACAACTGTATAATAATATTCATATTGTTTGTCATGGTCATTAAGGTATAAGATAAGTGATGCCATTTCTGTTTGTATTCCATAGCAACCTATTCCCATTTTCATTGTATAGGAATTTGTTGCAAGTGAAGGGGAAGATGATCCAGAAGTGGAATTTTTGAAATCCTTGACAACTAAGCAAAAACAGAAACTTCTTAGGTAACTATAATGCTAACAGATATAGTAGTACTTCTTTAAAAGTTACCAACAAAACACCCCAAAGGTTTTTTTATTTATATATATATATATATATATACACACACACACACACACACACACACACACACACACACACACAGTGGTACCTCGGGTTAAGTACTTAATTCGTTCCGGAGGTCCGTTCTTAACCTGTAACTGTTCTTAACCTGAAGCACCACTTTAGCTAATGGGGCCTCCAGCTGCCACTGCACAATTTCTGTTCTCATCCTGAAGCAAAGTTCTTAACCCGAGATACTATTTCTGGGTTAGCAGAGTCAGTAACCTGAAGCATATGTAACCTGAAGCGTATGTAACCCGAGGTACCACTGTATAATATTGGGGGTGGATGAATCCTAAGCGATATTGGTGATAATGTACTGCACCTTTAATAAATTTTGCTCCAATATTAAATGCACCACTTTGGAGCACTTCCCATGTTTTCAATAGAACCTCTCAAGGTTGGGGAGTTAAAGCTGAAATTCTGAAATACCTTTCCCTCTATTTACTTTGTCTATAGTGTGCTCTTAGGCCTATATATGGAGGAGATGTTTCAGCTAGTTCTTTCTAAGTCTGAATGCTGTCTTTTTATATATTTCATCAAGGGCAGACAGAAGGACTCTCTCAATAACATGAAATGAACGAATTATATATGGCAACAACCTTCTACAGTTGTAAATATGTTCAGTTGAAAAATATATACAAATATGGGGGGAAATGATACTTGTTCTTACTGGATGAAATGTTAACCGAACTCCTTAATCCAGAATAATTAATGAAATTAGCCACAACAGTTTTGGGAAACTAGGACTTACACATAACTGAGCCTCTTAAAACAGCAGAATGCCATTAATTATTATTATTATTATTATTATTATTATTATTATTAACAACTTTACTTCTTCCAACAGTGTTGCATTTCATTGTGGATGGAGTCTTTAAAAAATAATAATTGTTTATTACTATTGCTAGCTGCCCTGGGCAACTAGTGTCTAAAGTCAAGACTATAAATTTAAATAAAACACACTCATCTGCATGCACAGCATCTTGATGGGGGCACATGTAGCACCTTCAGACAATAAGCAGCTGTGCTTGGCAGGGAGGAAGGGATTCTAAATCCAACCCAGCCATGCTGCCTCTTCCAAACAGTGTGTTTGCACCGTCACTGATCACCAGGTGAGGCTATGCATGTGCAACCATTGCTGCTGGATGGGCTGAGAAGTAGGCATGCATATACAATTCCCCATCCACGCAAGCAGGATTCTGTTCCTGCGTGGCCCCTTGCTGGTTTCAGGCTCAGAGGGGGTAGAGGGGAAGAAGCATGTGCCCCAGGCAGCGTGTTAGGGGGGCAAAAAGCATCCTACCATATCCGTTTTTTCCATACCTGGCCCTTTTGACAGGACTGGAGCCATGATACTGTGCCTCTCAAACTTTGTATAAAAAATAATATTACTCACAGGTAAATAAGGTATCTAGATCCTAGAACACTGGAAGAAATGTTTTATTTAAAAATATTTAGAACATGTCTATTTTTAAAAAAAACAAAACCAAAGCAAAATTACCTTTATGGCCCAGGTGCAAATTGCTCCCTTTGCCCCTTACATTTCATCAGCAGGTGGCAAGTTTGGGAGTAGAGTGTGCTCTTATTTTTTAAATAGTAAACTTGTCACAGTCTGATATTGCGTAGGGTCTGGCCTCTAAAATATAACATTATTCCCCTGCCATACTTCTCTGCTTAATTGCTCTCCTTTTCCATGCTCAAAATAAAAGGAAACTGGATCGCCTGGAGAAAAAGAAGAAGAAGAAGAAGAGAGACAGAAAGAAGAAAAAGCAGCAGAAGAGAAAAAGCAAAAGTAAACACAGGAAACATAAGAGCAGGTCCTCTTCCCCATCCTCCAGTGACTCTTCAGAAAGCAACAGTGATAGTGAGACTGACAGCCGAGATAAAGCAGCACAAAAGAAGATGGATTCTAAGGAAAGAAGAAAAGCCAAGTTTTCAGAGGCTAGCAGCAGTGATTCTGAAGAGAAGGCGAAGACTAAGGGGAAACTTTATGAAGATCCCTCCAGCAGTCATGGTAACAAGGACAAAGATAGAGAGAAGTGTGGACTTTTAAAGCAAGATAGTTCTGGAAGGAACAACAAATGGAGCTCCTCTGAGAGCAGAAGAAAGCCCACAACAAGCAGAAATGATAACACAGACAAGAGAAGAGAATCTGAAAGGTACGGGAGCGGAAGCAGGAGCCAGAGCAAGGAGGAAAGGAGCGGGAGAGACGTTGACAGGAGGTACAGGACTTCTAGCCCGAATGAGGAGCAGCGGCACAGGAAAAGTGAAGCGAAAAGCTGCAGCTCAGACGTGCGCAGAGAGCAACACAGAGAGAGCTACAGAGACAAATACAGTAAAATGGAGCGCAGAGAGAGAAGCAGGAGCAGAGAGAGGCAAAAATAGATAATGTGGGTGGCAGATGTACTGCTTGCATCTTTTTTTGAACTCCTTTAGTAAGGGCTCCTAACATACACCTCTCGTTCTTTCAGATTGACTGTTCTCAGTAAATTGTCTGTCTCTCTCACTTCAAATAACCCTTTGCATTTTGTATATATGTTGCAAACATGTACAGGCTTCAAAACTTGAAGGGATTATTAACAAAATAAACGTGTCTTCAGTTTGTGTAGGAAACCATGTGATTTTATTTTGGCGTGGGGTAAGTGGAGGTTATTGTCCCTTGTTTTAGAAATTCACGTGCAAAAGTACTTTGCAATCCTCTGTAGAAGTGGGAGCTTCACTAATAAATAAAATTTATCCTTGCTTGGTGATAGATGTAAATACTCTTGTGAGGAACGGAGCAAGAGTTCCAGGTTATATTAAATGATTCCAATAGTATCTGGGTAAAATCACTTTTACGGACAACAAAACGCTTGATTATATTTGAAGCAAGGCATTTCCCCACCCCAAGTTCCCCCTAAGAGGTCAATTTCTTAAGTTAAAACAGCACAGCAACATAGTTCCACATAAGTGTGTAGCCAACATTTTTGACCTCCTGTGGAGTATAACTTGGTCAAGGCTATCTAAGCATCTTGAGCCCTAGTTGGTACATGTTACCGCAGTGTCGAGTTATTTCTCAAGACATGGGAAGTATATTTACTGCCTTCACAGTTTGTAAATATCATGTGCTGTAGGAATGTTGTGTCAACTCTAGTCTTAACCTTGTCAGACAGTAGATTTCTCTTTAGGGTTTGGGTTGTAGTTTTTTAAAGAGATGTTCAGGGATGAACTACATTAAATAAACTTTGATTCCCCCCCAAAAAATGTTCACTTTATTCTCTGGGATATCTCTGCTATTTTAAAGGCACAGATAACAAGGGAGTTGGAAAACTAAGAAGTGCAATTGAATTCAAGGTACAGACAAGGAGTGTTTCTGCTTCTTCATTTCTGCTATAGTTCTGGTGTGTTTTTCTACCACCATGCAGAAGCTTTTGCATATCACAGAAATCAGTGTCCAGTAGAGGTGCCTTGCCTTTCAAAGCTTAGCCTTTGATGCATCTCACACCTTCCTATGAGTGTTACCTTAAGAGATTAAAAGATAATGGAAGTATCAAATGCTAAAAGTAGGTGTGACTGCACACTGCCTTAGCTTGTTAATGCTGTCATTAGAAGAAATAAACTAAATGGCACCAGGGCTGAAATGCCATGAATTCTTACTTTGAAATAAGACACATTAAATTCAGTGGCCCTTCCTAGAAAACACACATAGGATTGAGTGGTGAAAAAAGAAACGATTGCAGGATAACCCCTAAATAATGGTAAATCTAGTTCACCTAGCAGCTTTGTCATTCCAAAATTGTGCTTACATTTCTAGCTAGCTCTAGGTCAAAAGGTCCATGTGGCTAATGTAAAAATGATGTATACAAAATGGCTATTGCAGTTTACCACAATAGTTTACCATCTTTAACCCCACATGTCAGAAGCTAAAACACACAGGTTTTACAGCACTTCTGACTTAAGCTTTAGAGAGAGTACTGAAAGTGCCTTCTACAGTGATAAAGTGCTCATCAATAACGCTTCTGCATTTATGCTTTCTGTTTCTATTTGATCCAAAGATGGTACTGTTTCAAGGATACTCATTTTAAATACTATATTGGAGCGTAGAGGAAAAGGCAGTCTCTTATGCTGGTTTGCCCAATAAGATGTCGCCGTCTCCACTAGATGCTCTGAGAAGCAATACCCTTATACCTGGACACAAAATCCCAACATCGTTGTGTTCTTTGTTTCTAAGCCGACACAGGGCAAGAACTTAATATGAAGTGCCCAGGGCTTACAATTTCAGAGTTTATGCTTGAGAACAAAGAAAAGAGGACATAATTTTGGCACTAAGTCTGCATTTGAAAATGCCTTTCAGCCCGGTCAAATTTGTGACCCCACTTGGAAAGGACCTTCAGAATAACATAAGCAGTACAAGGCATCTTTTTTTTTCTCTGAAAAGAGCAGTCTCTCCCCCACAAAAAAACAACAACAGTGGCCTATTTTGTCGCACATAGAAAAGGGGCATTGGTTCAAGCCTGTCTGTGCTGGCAGCTTGCCACCCAGCTGCTGCTATTGCTACACTTAATCCTCCTGTGTGAGAGAAATGTGTTTTCTCTATTTTTAGTAAGCATTTCTGTGTGCTCCAGTTTGGTTGCTGTTAGGGCAGTTCATCAAAGTAAACCACAAACATGTGGCTTTATTTATTTATTTATTTATTTATTTATTCCTGTGTTTCTGGTCGAATGGAAAGGCCTTTAACGGTCTCTGTTCATTTGTCTAAACCTGGCCCATGCAATGCAGAGCAGACCCTAATACTGCTCATTGCCTCTTTGCAATGTATCTCAGACGGATGCAGTCATGAAGAATATTCAGCTGAGAAGCTTACGGTGAATATTTCTGTGATTGTGTATTTTGAGATCGTATCGAGCAAGCACCTGTATCTCCAGATCAGCCCGTGGAACTTAGTTCTGACAGAGCAACAGGCGAGAGCAAGTTTAAAGCGCATCTTGCTGTTTTGCCCTTTTGAATACCATTTTGAAGTATGAGCAGAAAGCTTTCAGCTTATTCACAGTTTTTTAAAAAATATATATAGAAAGCTACTAGAATTGGGTGGCTTAAGGCAGAAGATGTGCAATCAAGGCTAAAATTTTGCCCTTGTGAACAGTGTAATATAAGGCTATGTCTATGGATGAAAACCTTTCTTGCTGCCATTGCTCATCCTTTGGGAACTCCACAATATATAAAAATCAGCTTAATTTTGCTGAAGGAGAAGCTCCAATAATCCTGAAAACCCCAGCATATAGCAAGAGAGTTTGGAAAAGCACATTAACGATACCAAACTCTCTGCCTTTTCACACATTTACCTTTTTAGAACTGCAAAGTGCTTTTTTCTGGGGTACGCATACCCCTAAACATTTTGTGAATCTAAGTTTGGTCTCATTGAGGGGCAGTATTTCAATATGAGTAGGAAAATGAGAGTACCCCTAAACATTTTTTGGGGGGGGAAAGCACTGGAAGTGCACCAGATATGACAAGAATGTACCCAAATATATATAAAAGTGTGGCTGCAGCGCCTACCCTCCGCAAAAAAAAAAAAAACCCTTGTAGAAATGCGTTGTCCCTAACCGAGTCTGTTTTGTCTCGTGGTGAATCGGGGGGGGGGGGGGTCGGTTTGGAGAAGGAAGTTTGGAAAGTTGTAAAAAAATGAACCTTAGGGCTTGCTTCTAACAAACGGTTTCTGAGTCTTGCTGCCTACCTTCGTTGGACGATGGCAAAGCGAACCCTGCAGGAGGTGCTGTTGGTTTGCAAATGGTCCCGGACGCCGCCGCCGCTGCGGAAAGCAAAGCAACCCCCGCGACGCCTCTCCAACTCTGCGCGTCGTTTGCGCGCGCATCCCTCCCTCATCCTCAGCAGCTGGGCTCCAGAGTTGCGCAGAGAAGGGGCAGCTGCAAACTACTGCGCCATTAGAAACCTCCCTCCTGTGAGGAACTTCCCGCTCTTTCCTGCGGGAGAATCAAGGATCTGAGGGAGGAGGCCTGCCTGCTGCTGCAAAAACACGACTCGCCGTTGCCCTGACAGGCTACCCCAGGCTTCCCCAACCTGCGGCCCTCCAGATGTTTTGGACTACAATTCCCATCATCCCTGACCACTGGTCCTGTTAGCTAGGGATCATGGGAGCTGTAGTCCCAAAAAATCTGGAGGCCTGCAGGTTAGGGGTGCCTGGGCTACCCCGTGGGAGAAGCTGGGCCCTCGCGCTCTCCTCCTCCTCCTCGAGCCAGCAGCACCCGAAGCCCTCTAGCCAGGCCGAGTGACGAATCCCCTCGCCTCGGCCCGCGTAAATTTCGCCTGAAGCGATAGGTTTCGCGCGCAGGAGATTCCTGTCCCCACAGATGCCCGCGGACACTGAGGAGCATAGCTGTCAACGTTTCCCTTATTCCGAATACGATTCCTCGCAAGAAAAGGGAAAAGTTGACAGCTATGCTCAGGAGGCGCTTCTCTCCCGCCACTGACAGAACCGCTTGCTCTGAGGAGACTCGCTTCAGCCGGTCAAAGCCCAGTGTGGTGTTTTCTCACCGGCTGTTTTTTTGCCTTGTTGTAAAATAAAAGGCGCCTTGTCCCTCAGCCTTCGAAGGGATAATTTTTTTTGGGGGGGGGAGGAGGGGAATAATAAAAATAAAATAAACAAGCAATGGTTCATTACCACCACTACCTGGCATTTCCCCCGAGAGGAGGGCCGAGTTGCCCACTGCTGCTCTCCGGGGAGGCGGGTCAGATACTTAAGCAAGTGGAGAAGAAGGACGAAGTGGGGGAACGGAGTCTGCCAAAGGCAGCAGAAAATATACAAGGAGCCTGAAGAGCAACGCGTCCTTCCATTTGCTGCACACAGTCAAACACGGCCCGGCGAAAATTGGAGCTCGCCTGGCGGCAGAAAGCAAGAAGAGTTAGCTGGCTGCTGCGCTTAGCGAGAAAAGAACAGGGCCGGTTTATTAGCGCCTATGCGCAACCGTAGGTAGGTCTGCTCAGAGGTCATTCCCACGGAGTTCAGGGGCACTTACGTACGCTCAGGGAAACGCGTACGGGACTGCAGCCTGAGCGAACGACGACTGTCTCCGAGTCTTACTGGTGTCTCACGGGGGCTTACTTCTGAGTAGACCTGCATAGGATGGCGCTGCAAGGCTGCCGTCTCCTAGGGCATGCCAAGGCCCGAGGAGGAAACATAATTGGGATCTCTCGCAAACCCCGCAATTCCAGGTTTGCACCATCGAGTCTATGTCATTGATGATCAGAGGTGACGGGGGGAAAGAACGTGGGGTAGGGAAAATTGTCCACACGTGAAAAGTCTGGACATGGAAGAGGGTACGCTATTCCCATAACCATTTTACACACACCATCCTGCACTGAAGAGCTGCTGGAGAACGATCGGGGCTCCTGTGCACTTGCGCCCCGTCCAACTTCTGTGGATGGCGGCTAACGACTTGAAAACGGTTTGTGGATCGCAGCGTGCACAAACACTAGCGGCGTTCAGCCGTGTACTTGGCCGAGAAAATCGGGATATGTGTGTGTGTGTGTGACCAGTTCCCAGTGGAATTGGGCTCTTGGGTGGAAACCCGCTTGATTCGTCTCTCTGCAGCACCGAGTAGGTGCGAACGCGGAGGGAGAGGGGGGAAGGGGTCTGTGTGTTTGGTGCGTAATAGCGCGCGCGTTTCCATTCCGCAACTCTCCAGCTCAGTCTTAATAGGACGCTAAAGAAAAACCTAGGGTGCCCTCTATAGCTCCTACGTAGGCTCAATGGGGCAACGAGAGAGAAGGGCTCCCTTTTGTGGGCCTGGATGTCCCCGGATTTCGGAGAGGTTCTGGGGGAGTCTATGACGGTTCCATCCCAGTCTGATGCTCTACTTGATTTATAGAGGCTGGGGAGGGAGGGAGGGAGGAGGGCACGGGGAATCAGCCGACAGCTTCGAAATTTAGACGGCGAAGAAGCATAAATTATTACTAATTGAAAAGTAAATAAACAGGTGACTTTTCGGCTCAGATTCCCTCTTGGATCGTTACAATAAATATCCCCTAAGGAAGCTCTCTATTTATGTTGTCATTGATTAATTCCCGCTACCTCATTTGATTTCGATTTAGAACGATTTGATTCTAATTTAATTAGCATGTAATTTGGATGTACATAATTACTGTAATTATGACATTCAGGTAAGGCAGCTTTAGGCTGAAAGGCATTTTTTTTTAATAATTAAAAAAAATAAATCGCCTCCCCCCCCCCAAGCAAAAAAGCCCTACTTTGTAGTAGGGTAATGGACAAGGACTTGGGGGCCCTGCTATCCAAGTAGTAATTAGCACATCTTGGAAACAGGCAGCGCGGGGAGACGGATATTAAACCGGCAGCAAGCGAGGCAAAAGCCCAAACTCATTGGGCTGCGCCGAGGGAGAGGATGGCGGCGGGGAGGCGGAGCCTGCCGTGCAGAAGAGCAGCCACGTTTACATAGCTGACCGCACCAAAACGCCCGGGCCTCCCGCAGGCCTGCCCTTCTTCTTGGCTAGGCGGCGGGGGAATCAAAGGTTTCCGTCCGCTTGGCTTTTTCCAAATGGGCGAAGCGGGGTGAGGCGGGGCGGGGGGAAAGTGTGAGAGAGAGATAGAGCGAGGGGAAGAAGAAGAAGAAAAAAGTCAGCCTCCTCCTCTGATCTTCCCAAGCTGCTCTATCCTTCCTTGAGCCTTATATTTACAGTGCGCCGCAAAGAGCTGCAAGTGGTTCTTGCGCCTCCTGCGCCGTCTAATGCAAGCTTAAAAGCCAGGAACTGGAAGTATTTGAACGGGGAAATTTAAGCATTTTTGGGGGGGCGCAATGGGAAAGTTGGGGGGGCGGGGACGACAGGAGGTCTGATCTCGAGCCAAGCAACCCTTTTCCACCACGTTACGGCGTTTCTCCAAAAAAAACTCTCGCGTTTCCAAACTGTCTTACTCTGGTGGAATTAGCACCCCATTATTTGTGCCAGAGCGAAAGCGGATAGAAATGGCTTTAAGCACCAACGCCGCCAGGCTCCGAACTGCTCCTAAGGAGCGGCAGCAGGCGGCGGAGCCGGAGTCACCATACCTAGGTGGCGGCGGCATATACGGCCACTTTCCCTTAATCCGTAGCTTTTGCGCGCAAGGTCTGAAATCGATCTGCAACGCCACGATCTCAGGTCCTTGGCCAAAGAAAGAACGGAAGGAGCTTTTCAACCTCTCTCTCTCTCTCTCTCTTGCAAATAAAATGCACCGCTCGGCACGTGGCGCACAGAGGCGAAAGAGCCTTTGGCCACGCCGCGCTTGTCCAAACCTAGCACCTCTTGGGAAATGGCCTTAGCTGCAGCCATCGCGCGCCGGGGTCTTCAGAAACATGGGAAGACTCCTACCGATGCCCCTAATATATGGAATGCATAAAGAGGAGAAGAAAAACGGAACAATGACCTGACTCCCAGAGTCAGAAAGATTTTTTCTCTCTCCTCCTTTCGGTTTATGTACTATTATTAGTGTTCACAAATGCACGAATTCAGTATAAGTGGCATCTGTTGAACATTCGGTCCTAGCTGCTTCGTTGTAGATAGATTTAGGAGGTGCCGGCTTGGCCAAAAAGGGAGGGGGAAAAAGTGGAGGTTTGTACCACAATTCTCTTAACAGAGAATATAACACAAGACGGTTTTCGGAATGAATCGGAAAGGAATCTCTTCCCCCGCGACGAGCTCTAGATGGCGCCAAAGAGTCAGAAATTATCAGAATCCTTCCCTCCCACCGGTTCCTTCCCCTCCTTCTCCTCTTCCCCAAGGACTCAAAAGTGACTGTCAAACATAAAAGCAAATCAGAGTTTTCAGGGTTTTTTTTAATACGTTAAGAATGTTATTCCTTAAGGAAATTTGTAGCTAAATTATTCTCACTTAAAATAAACACTTAGTATACCAATTACCCAAATAGGCCGGATTTTTCTGCAGCATATTCCTCATCTGCTTTTTTTTTGAGCTCGGAAAAAGATTCTTGGGTGAATACAGATAACGGCTGCAAATAAATTAGAAGATAAACTTGCTGCGTGTATGGGTGGGTGGATGTGAAAAATAATCAGCTGTCGCGGTTATACGAGGATGAGCACACACACGCGCGCAAATATAAACTTCATAGAACAAAATTAAACAGAGAGGCATTTGAGCAGAAAACCCCAAGGAGCATGCATGAAATAAGGGGCGAGATCCGGTTGAATAGGACAACAGATCGGCTTCAGATACCCTCCCTCCCTGGTAAGCAGTGCGCGATCCCTCCCCACTTCAGTCTCTACCACCTAAAGCACCATCCTCTGCTGTTTTTGCTTAGCAGCAAGCCTAGGGAAGCCATATTTTGGGTTGCAGCCCCGGAGGGTGCGCGTTGATGTGCCTGCCGATCTAAACCGCGTGCTGAAACCAGCCCTCTTTTGACTTGTGTGTCCCCCTCCCCCGGAAGTAACAATACCGGGGTGAGAGAAAGTACAAATAGTCGTTTGGGTGAACCTCATGCGTTAAGTGCCATCCAGTGAAAGCAGTTTTCTCTTCCCCCACAATCCCGCTCAGCCATAAACACACACACACACACACACCGCCCCAGCCTATATTTTCCTTCCTGGTGCCTTGTCTAGGCTCTCCAAATCCCCTTTTAAGAGGGCGGGGGTGTCTCTCCACTAAGACAAATGGAAAAGAGTTTGCCTCTGCTCTCATCCTTTCTTATGTGTGCATAAACACACACACACAAACATATGGGACTGCGAAAATCTGAGAGTTCTAACAATGATCAGATTTGTTTCCGGTTATTGGATAAATATCCCCCCTCCTACGGGGGGAGGAAAAAAAGTTAGCATTCCTTCTTATTCCCCTCTCGGCCAGGCTCCGAAGTATTCTCCCTTCTCCGTTTCTGGGGAGTCTGTAAATGATGGACGTTTCCTGACCTCGAAGGGGCAAAAGGAATGCAAAGAGGTCCTTGATCATTGAGCTGAGAATTGTAACCCCGGCCTGGCAGAAAGTGGGACCTGGACGGGGAGCCCTTTGATCTGGGTTTTATTTATTTTTTTATTTATTTTTTATTACAGATCGCAAACAAAGCAGCCTGCTTCCCAAACAACCCAGCCAGGACGCATTCCTTAGGCAAGCCCCACACAACAACAGCACAACTGACCGGGGAGGGAGGGAGGCTGTATCCTGCATAGCTCATAAAGCTTTCTGTTTATTTTGCCCCTTCCTCAAGCGTGTCCTCTGTCCCCCCCCCCCAGCTGCCGTTGTCTTCCCTCTCCTCCTTCCAAAAACCCCAATATAAACAACACAAATGTATTGTGGAGACTTGGGTCTGGGGCATGGAGAGATTCATACACTTAGCAAGCGCTCCCCTCCCCACCGCCCCCCAAATTAAGCTTGCCAGAGTAGGGAGAGAGGAGCCCATTATCGACACCGCCCTGAGTCGGGCGAAACAAATAAAATAAATAAGGATCGTATTATTTACCACCGACACCGGTAGACAGATAAACAGCTCAAAGTGAAATTGCCCCTTTCCTGCAGATAAGCTTCTGGCAGCCCTTCTCAGCTTTGCATTGAAAGACTCCGGGTTCACAATACTGCTGGAGACATTATAATCTAGCCCCGGTTTCAGCGGCTGCATTTCAGCACAATTACCGAGGGAAGCTAAATACGAGCCCTGCTAGACACAACAGATGTTTTTATTCAGGGATTCTTTCGCCTACTTTTGCCAGCAAATCCAGCGGATAGGATAGGATCGGATCGGCTGGGTGGCTTGCATTTGCATACGCAATTTCGTAAAATAAAAAAAGGGGTTTCACATATATTTTCGCCTTTCTTTCTGGAAACGTGCAATCTAAATTAACTTTCTCCCCTCCCCCCCCCACTCCCCAATGTAACCTCTTTCTCTCTGCTCCTTCGCAGAGTCTCTCTCTTCCCCCTTAAAGTAGCGCAATTATCTCATTGGAACGATTTTCCCTTTAAAGAAAAAAAAGATATCCTGCGACTGTTAAGTTGGTGGTCAGAAGACAAAAGGAGTGAAAATAATTTTCATTTCAATAATTGCCTTCTGGTCAATTTAACTGTGCCTTATTTTGAAAGAGCCCGTCTAAATGAGATTCCTGTCCCAAATGTGTTCCCAGGCCTTATCCCAGGCTTTAATTATTCCTGAGGTTTTTTCCACCCCCCTTTAGAATAAGACGCTGCACTGCGTAATCACAAAGAAGTCAGAGAGCATCCTTGAACCTTTTCAATAGCAGAGCTACTGATATTCAAATAACAGGCGAGGACCATTTGACTGCATGGGGGAGACATAAGCATTTCCAATTCACTATTTGCATAGATCAACTGTCTTTTGAAAAGGGAAAGGAGCCAGTTGTCTTTCCTAACATTAAAAAAAGGACCAGTTATCAAATCAAGTGCTTGGTTTGGGGGAAGCTTTTTAAAACGTTTACATTTTATCTCAGGTTGCCCTTAGCCGTTTGACATGCAAATTCGGCGCAGTTAATTTAGACAATTAAAAGGATCTTCAAGGGAAGCTTTGTCACCGAGAATATTCTGAGGGTTTTCCCCGCGGACCAGCTGAGATAAAGTTGGCCAGAACAAATGATGTCTAGGAGATTAATTAGATATTTGATAAGACATGAATCTCTAATAAGGGAATACAAGGCACAGGGGGCTGCTCTGTGCTCCAAGTCAAAATTAATAACATTTAACAAGATTTTCATTTAGGCATGAAATGTCTTTTCCGGAGTATTGACTCTAGCTATTTATTCCCTTGGGGCTGCCTTCCTCTCTAACCTGAGCAACCTTGTTGGATGCGTTGCAGGCTTTTTAACACAGTAAATACTTGCTCGGCCCCAGGTTTATCTTTAAACTCTTTATAAGAGGCAATTCATTTATGAAAATCTCCCAAGATCGGATATGGGGTTTGAAGATGGGTCTCTTATTTCTTTCTGGGGAGGCGATGTCTATCATTTAAACAATAAATAAGTCGCTTTAACAAGTTGGGTTTTCACATACTGGGCTGCTGCGCCAGGCGCTCTAGGATCGCAGCCCATCCAAATCAACGGGCGATTTTTGTCGCTGACCTTTCAATAGGATACGAACAACAATCCTAAATAAGGGGACTTGGTTTATTCAGATTATCTATTGTCCTTGAGGGGTCCTGGCTGACACCAGATCCTTAGTATTCATAGCATTCAGCATTTTCATTCGGCCTGAACACATGGAACTCACAACCCGGAAGCGTGTTTACCCGAAGGAAATCCTATGGAATTCAATGGGCCCCTGGTGCCTTAGTTAGTGTGTATAGAATTGCAAGTCTAATCCGATCCCATGTACCTGGAGATAAAACGATCTAAGTAAGAGGAAGGCAGATCGCAATGCAAAGTCCTTTGGCTGAGGCAGGGGGCGGGGTGGAAATGAAACCCCAGAGCGCATTGTTCAGAGTTCTTTAATAATACCAAAATGAAAATATTATGCCAAGTGTCGTCGTCCCCCCCCCCCCCAATACAGATAAACGCATTTAATTCCTTTAAACAACCTTAACTTACTGGTGTGAGTGAAATGTTAACTCAACATGTTAAATATCTCTTACATATATACTGACCTCCACAAAGTGCATCAGAAATAATAATAATAATCATAATAATTTCTTTTTTTAAAAAAACAACTCCCCTGAATTTCAGGAATTACCCCCTCCCAAAAAAAAAAATCCCTATTAGAATTGACATTTACAAGGGGAAAAGAGAGAACGCGATCCTTTGTGTGTGTGTGTGTGTGTTTTGAAACCCTATTTATACATTTGTTAGATGATACAGAGATAAACTGTCTCAACCGTTTTCCAGTTTAATTTCTCACCTTAAGCCTCTGTGTGTGTTTGTGTGTCTGAGTGTGTGTGTAAAGGACGATTTCTCCTTTTCCAATATTTAAATAGAAAAAGCGTCGTGGTTGATTGCTTTGTCGATTACGACTTGCTTTAGTCTGCAGTAGGTTTATACGTATAGCTATATTATAATAATCCACTCCAAAAGGGCTGCAAGGTGGGGTCCTGGGTGGCGGGTTGTTGTTTCGTTTGCTTCATGGTTTGGTTTGGTGTTGTTTTTTTTTTTTTTTTGCCCCCCTTTAAATTTTGCTTGGTTTAGTCTGATTCCCCCCCCCCTTTTTTCTTTTCGGAGAGGGGAGCCTGCGCGTGATCTCCAGCCGCTTCTATTGCTGTTCGCCAGGAAGATAAGGTCGTGGTTTATTGTTTACTGAATGGTTGTTTTGTCTGCGTCTCTGCCCTTTCCGGCCGGGTTCAAGTCTCTCCAACAACAGTCTTTATATATATAAAAAAGGTCTAAAAAGCGCGCCCTCTGCTTCACCTTTTTCACCCACTCCCACCCCCTTCTCTCCCCCCCCCCCTCTTTCGAAAGCTCCTGGAAAAGTGGAGCCAAAGTGGCGGTGCTGCTGCTGCTGCTGTTTCTGGGGTTGCCTTTGGCGTCCCCCTCCCCTCCCTTCCCGCGCGCGCCGCTTCCTCTCCCCGCGCGCTCTCTCTCTCCTCCGGCCTCTTCCTTGGCGCGTCCGTGTCCCGCCAAAACTTCTCCCGCCAAAACTTCTCCCGCCGCCGCCTCCTCCGCCGCCCTCCCTCAGCCCCTACTACGAGTCGTTGGGCCCCGCTGTGGAGTCCTTGCCCCGCGCCTCGTGCAGGATGAGGTCGGGCGACTCGGAGCGCGGCGTCTCCAGGTTGCTGGCGTCCGTGTCGCTGTCGCTGCCCTTTTTGCCCCCTCCTCCGCCGTTGTGCGTCTTAATGTGTTTGCTGAGGTGGTCGCTGCGCATGAAGCGCTTGTTGCAGACCGGACAGGCGAAGCGCTTCTCGCCGGTGTGAGTCCGCAGGTGCCTCTGCAGCTCGTCGGAGCGCGTGAAGCGCTTGCCGCAGAAGAGCCAGTTGCAGACGAAGGGCCGCTCGCCCGTGTGCCAGCGCAGGTGCGCCTTGAGGTGCGACGTCTTGCCGTACACCTTCCCGCAGCCGGGGATGTGGCAGCTGTGCAGGCCCTTGCGCCTCAGGCTCGCCCCCGCCGGCCCCAGACGCTCGGCCTCCTGGCAGTTGGGGCAGTCGCAGGTGGCCCTGCCCGAGTAGCGCCGGGCGGAGCGCGCCGAGCCTCCCCCAGCTGCCGCGGCCGCCGCGGCGCCGGAAATCATGGCGCTGGCGGCCGCCACCGCGGCGCTGGAGTCCGTGTACGAGGGGAGCACGGGCTTGAAGCCCTCCTGCGTGAGCAGGTGCTGGCTAGTGGAGAGCAGGTGCGACGCCGCCGTCGAGCCCAGGCCCGTGGAGCTGAAGGCCGAGTGCGTGAGGGAGCTGAAGTCGGCCGGGTTGTAGGTGCCCAGCTGCGAGTGCAGGGAGGCCTGGGGGGCGCCCGAGTGCAGCGGGCTCTGCAGGCCGCCGGCCGGGTTCTGCACCTCCAGCCACGAGCCCGGGTTGGTGTGCACGTCCCACCACGACGACGCCGCGCCGTTGGCCACCTCGCCCGCCGCCAGCGTCGAGTGGAAGCCGGACTTGTACCACGACTCGTAAGGGTGCGCCATGCCCACGCGAGGGTACAGGCTGTCGGCCGCCGAGCTGTGCACTTTGGAGATGAAGGCCGACTGCCCGCCGGCCTCCTGAGGGGAAACTCCCGCCGCGGCCGCCGCCGCCGCCGCCGAGTTGGAGAAGAGGCCGCTGTAGTCGCTGCTGAAGGCCGACGACGTGGGCGACGTGGAGGCCAGGCAAAAGGCGCTGTTGGCGGTGCCGCTGCCGCTGGCCAGCCCGCTCGAGCCGCGGCTCGTGGCCACCGTGAAGCCGGACAGGCTGGAGCCCAGGTTGCAGCTGGAGGTGGAGCGCTTCCACGGGTGGAAGCTGCCCTTGGCGAAGGCGCTCGACTCCGGCAAGGTGGTCAGCGGGCTGGTGTTGCCGATCTTGTTGCAGGTGGCGGCCAGCATGGCCAAAGGCGTGGTCCCGAAGCGTGGCTCTTCCTGTGGAGGGGAGGGAGACACAAAAACCAGCCCGTCAGCCTCTCGCGCCCAAGCCCCGGATCCGCCGCCGCCGCCGCCGCGGGGAAAGGCGCGCGCAACAGGCCCCGAAAGCCACGGCCACGGCGTCCTGGCGAAAAGTTCCGCGCAATTTACTCGACCTTTAAAACAAAACGAAACCAATCAGACACCCCGGCCATCGCATCCCGCCTAGCTGGGTTTATTATTGTTGCCGATCTTATAATTTGGACGTGCTTTTCACCGCGATCCAGCAGTAGGAAACGGTGGGACCGATGTTTTTAAATGACAAGGGTCCAGAGAGGAGCCACGACTGAAGCAGAAAGAAAACCACGCTTAAAAAAAGAAAGAAAGAACGGAAATAAATCGTGCGTCTGCTTTTTTCTAAAAAAAAGATGAAGTCGATGCATTTTTCTCATCTCCCCCCGTCCCCCCTTTGTGGCGGTGGTGGGGCAAACAAATCGGCCTTAATGGCAAAGATCCCGAGAGCAAAAACTATGCGCTCTCCAAAAGGTCTAAAACTACGTTGCAGAGAAACCTCGAGCGGGAGATGGGTTACGAACCGGGAAAACCTGAGCAGCCTACGTGGGGGATTCGCGCAGAAATTTTAGGAAAACATGGCAGGGCTGCAAATCAGATCGGCGAGCAAAAACGAGCTGCTTCTTTACAGCAACTGCAATCGAAAGAAAGCAAGCTTTATTTTACCTTTACGCTTCTACCCCCTTTCTCCAGACGTGCAACCACAAACTGCTCGCTGCGGCGACAGCAACAGTTTTAAGGTTCGCCCATAAAAAAAAAAGAAGACAACGAAAGCCGAGGTCCTCAAGCCCGGAAGCGCCTCCCGACTTACCCCAAGTATAGACGTAGCCATAGCCAAGTCTCCCGGCTGGGCGGCGGGATCCGAAGGGGGGCTCTGCCTTGCGCGAGCGTCCTCGGCGCTCCCCGCTGTATTTCCCCCACTTGCGCTAAGTACACTCCTGTCTCTGGACGGCTAAACTCAGCCTAAGTGTGGGGAGCGCCTGCTTTGAAGTACCGCTGGCTGAGACTCTCGCCCAATGAGGGTGGAGAAAGAGCGAGCAGGAGTTGCTCCGCAGCCAATCAGGGAACTTGGAGATGTAAGAGCCAGGGCTCTGGGCGCGTGCCAGTCAAAGGCAGAAGGTGCGGGCGGGCTCAAGGCGTGTGGGGGGGGGGGCGCGTTTAAGAAATCGCACCAGCGTGCTTTGGGGGTCTTTTAAAAACATTATATCGCAATTAACTTTTTTTAAAAAAAATAAAAAATAAATAAAGCCTAGGTTTAAACAGCGTCAAGGTTGTGACAGAAGAGAACATGATGACACTTCCTCTCCCATTTCGGGGGTAGGGGCGTAAATGGGAGAATGCAAACTCCTTTTTTTTCAATTCAGACCCCCCCGTCGCTTTTCGATCCCCCCCTTCCTATCCCGAACATTACACAGCTCATTAATTCCCCTCGTTCATTAAACCGAACTAGGTGTGTCACGCCGTGCCACATAAAGAGGCAGACTTTTTACCCCTACAGGCCTCCACTGTCACCCTGGTCTCTGCAGGGCGCAGGGATGTCTAGCATCGTACGGGCTCCAAGAAAAGCGTTTGCAGAACATTAAACGATAAAAAAGCCTGTTCACTTTTTTTTTTTTTTTTAAATCACCAACCCACCGCACACCCCATAGTCATTGGCAATGCTTTTATACGTTTGCTAGATTCGTTTGGAATAAAAGATTTAAATATAAAAAAATGCAATATTTGGATTATATAACATTGGGGAGGGGAAAGTATTGTATTATCCTAGTTCACAGACATCTGGGTGGTTTCCTAGCGCTCCTCTGCCAGAGAAGGGCAAGAATGTCCCCCTTTAAAGGTGTGGATAAAGAAAGATGAGACCAAGTTTGCAGAGTCTGCGCTGGACCTTTTTCTTGTCCTCACGAATTCCTGCGTGTTTGTGTGTCTGTAAGTAAGAAGCATTCTTGGACAGATACTCCCCCCCCCCTTCCACACGTACCGAGAAGTTACAGAGACTTTTCTATCCGTTCCCTGCACGTGACAAATACGGAGAACTTCGTCAACCAGCCGCTCTCGGGCGGCCATTGCGGAGGATGACGGAGGACCTTCAAGAAATTGCGTCAAACTCACCCTTTTTCCCGCGGCCGGGCGAAAGATCAACTTTTTTTAAAGAAAGCACACGCGCGCGCACGTCTCCAAACCCTCCAGATGTTCTCTCTGCAACGCTGTGATTATCCCATCGTTGTTGTTTTGTTTGTTTTTTTTGTCTGCCCGTCTAATCCTCGCTGCGGTTTGGAGGGACAGGGATGGGGAGGGAGGGAGACGCAGAGAGGTAAAAAACTTAGGTTTCTTCCTCCTGCTTAAATCTTCCTTTCTGCCAACATCTGCTACCTCCGAACCTCGTCAGTTCGCAGATGCAGAATACACGTGGTTCAAAGGCAAGGAGGGGGGAATCACGATTTCCTTCTCCCCCCCTCTCGCCACACACACACACAGAGAGCTTTCCTTCTGTCACCATTTAAAGAAGAAAAGAGAAACAACACACACACACACACACACACACAAAAGTATGCATTAAAAGAAGAACCCCGTTTTGTGTCACGATACACTTTCAAAGCAATCAACAAGCTGGCTTCGGTGGAGCTCCTTTAATTATTATTATTATTATTATTATTATTATTATTATTATTATTATTATGCTTTACAGCCAGTGCTGTTTTGCTTCGGCTGGAGTGGGGCAAAGGAGTCCACAAAAGTCTAGAATTGTGGAAAGGGGGGGGAATCTGTGCCCACGATTGCTGCCCCCAGTGCAGAGGCACTGGGAGTGCCCGTACAGCAAAAAGGTGCGCCAGGGAAGCTCATCCCAAGACTGCCAAAGAGGAGCGTTTAAGTGCTAGAGGTGGGCAGCTATGGAAAAACGATTGTGCGTGTGTGTGTGCACTTGAGGTGGAAATCCAGCCTCCCAGCAAAGCTGTAGCGGGGGGTGGGGTTGGGGGTGGTGGGGAAGCCCCAGAGGGCCACGTCTCCAGAATCCTTCATCCAACAGGTGACACAGCCTCCTGCACCCGTATCTGGAGGGAGGGAGGGAGGCGAGCTCTCCTGTTTATTTATAGAAAAAAGCCGCCGTTGCATTTGCTAATAGAGGTGGATTGCTAAGTGGCGGCGAGGCGTTTCTGGCTAGCCAGGGGGCAGTTCGGGGAGGAGAAAGGGGGAGTCTTTCTCCCACCCTCTCTTTAAGGAAAAGGCTGACGAAAGGATAAATATAATAATTCTCCCTCTCTTCCCTCGACCCCCCCCCATTGATGCCAATTCACAGAGCAGGGGGTGTGGGTGGGTGTTTTCTTTTGTTTTAATCACTCATTTTAAGATGACGTCTGTGGGCACCCACAACAGATTCCCCCACCCAGTGCCTCCTAAACAAGCAAAACGCGCCTATCCCCCGAGCTGATTGCTCCCCGGGTCCTGTTTTGCAACGCGCAGGGGCGTCGTCTCCTCCTGCTGCCCGTCTTTAATCCACCGCGTCTTTGCAAGTAAATAAAAGTAAAGTGGGATTTTGGCTGGGAAGGACGACGACGGTGCGCGCCTGAAAGGAAGGGAATCAACTCAGCGCTTGGAGGAGAAATCCCTGCTCCTAAATCTTGAGAGGGGGTCAAGCGTTTTCTGTCAGATTTCTTCATACTCCAAAAACCCTAGTTTTTAAACAAAGATCAGCGTGTTATGCCGAAGTGTTGAGCTGACTGTTAAAACATTTGGGGGGGATAATGACAATGTAACAAAGGGCCCTGGTTTGGAGTGAATCATCACCCTTTTAAAAGTTAAAGCAATTTTCAGGAGAATGGCTTTCAGCAACCGCTTTACATTATTCAAAACGGCCAAATAATGCTCTATTATAGCGCCTGAATGCTGCCAGTCAGCCCATAAGTGCAATTTGTGCAGAGGCTCGGTGCCTTATCTCTACTTCTTTATAAAGAGGTGAATATAAAACAATTTCTTCCAAACCCAGACAGAGAGCACGAAAATTGCTTCCCTTTCTGCAATCAGGGCAATTTAACTGGAGTGCAATTAGCACTATTAAATGTCGATTCTGCATAAACAAATCCGACTAAGAAGCGAAAGTGGGGTGAGAACCTCATATAAACTGAAACTGATTTTTTAAAATTATGTATCCGGGTCCTTTACAATTGATCCGTGACGTTTTTTTTGTCTCGGAATATATTTACATGGTAAATACACGGGGGCTTAAATCAACATGCATCTCTCCCTCTCCTCTCTCCCCCCTTCCCCCCCTTTAAATCTCAATATGAATACTAATAAAGAAGAATGGGCTAATTAAAGGCATCAGCCCTCCTTCCTTCCAGCAAATCCAGTTTCCCAGAGGTTCCCCGCGTTTCCACGGGCCCCTTTGATCCGCACCAACTCCGAAAGTTGCAAATCTTCAGGAGGTAGAAGCGCTAAACAATTGGTTCATTAGAGATGATTTGGAAAGGGGGGGCGGCTTCGCGGGTTCACACTCCAGAGCCTTCCGATGAAATGGCGCTTTTGCACCGACGGGCCTTTTCTTTCTTTCTTTTTAAGCAATTCTAAATCCATCGACTGAAGAGCAATTGCTGTCAAATATACCAGAGACCGAGTTTGCCCGACTGTTGGGTGCGTCCTGGTCTGCGCGCAAGGGACTGCAGGGGGACTTCTTTTTCAGAAGGGGAAAACACAGCCTGCCCCAAAACATTTGTTCAAATAATTGCATCCTCCTCCCTCCTCTCTCTCCTCCTCCCCCCCCCCAAAAGCAACAACGCTCCCCCCTCCTCTCCCTGCCTCAATTACCCCTTTCATTTACATGATACAGAACCAGATTTTACCAGAGACGCTCCGAGGGGGGACGAATTAGGAACTTCGATTAAGAAAAGGCTTCTCTTAATCTTGATACAAAAAAAAAGTGGGGAGGGAGCTTGCATGAGTGGGGTGGGGGGGGGGAGAAAGAGGGCAGTGAGGACCAGCTTCACCTAGCACAGAGTCCTTGGCAGCCTAATCCCTTTCGCTGGGTTTCTTGTTTGGAAGAAGCGAAGGACGCGTGGCTATTTTTTTTTTTTCTTATTCAAAAGAACAAGGACCAGACGGGGCGGGGAGGGGGGGCAGAAAGAAGCAGCAATCCGGGGATCAAACGGATCCCGGAAATTAAAGAGGAAATCATGGGACTCCCCAACACCCCCCCCCCACCGGCCTGAGCTTTCATTTTCTATTTGTTAACGCAGCCCCCCTCCCTCATTTCCCTTGCCACCCCTGCAAATAAAGCCCCTCTAATGCGGGAGCATTTGATGGACGGGGCTTTCATCTCTGCCTGGTGAGGGAAGCGGCAGCAGCAGACAGGAGGCGCCGCTCGGACGACTCCGGAGGGGAAAGCGGACGGATCCGTTCTCTCTCTGATGTGCCTCTCCAAATGTGCGCCCCCTCGAAGGCCGCCCTACCCACCCACGAGCTCCTCGTTTTCCCCATCTCAGCTTGTGTGGATTGGGATGGGGTGGCCCCCGACGCCCCCTTCTTTCTCTTTCTTTCTCTGTCTCTCCTCCTCCTCCTCCTCCTCTCCCCTCTTCCGCAGAAGGCACGTGAACAATTAAAAGGGAAGACACTGTTGTGTCAAAGGAAGGTGACTGGATGATGATTTTAATTACTACAATTACGGGGGATTATTCAACAAAACGTCTTTAGGCTTGTTTACAGCGCCAGGAGAAGGACGTCGAAGGGACCATCGCCTGAAAGGGGTTGTTTAAACCCCGTTGGCGAAGGAAAAGAAGAAAAATAAAGATGCGCCGTCGAGGCTGCAGCGCCACCTGCCCGGCGTGGGCCCCGGGAGCAAAG